TTTCATTATGTTCACCATTCATGATAAAACTTGAGAAAAGTGAGAAAAGTGATATATCCAATCAGAATGCAGATACGACGTTTTTCACCAGTGAAGAAAATGATATATCCAATCAGGTGTTCGGAAATTTTAGGCATATGATTTTTATTTCACTGTTTTATTGCGGATAAATTTTAATACTCCTATGATAAAGTGTTGTCAATGTATTCAAATCAGGCAGCACAATCGACATTTGCTTACGAATATCACACTTGCAAAAATACTTGCATTACTTCTGCATTTACATTTTGCTTAAAGTTATCGCTCTCGGGCAATAAATGAAATCGAGTTCATTAATTCGCTGGTGGTTTCATTTCGGACGACTATTTAGTTTTATCTTGACCCTTGCAGGTCAACTGGAATGCGTTCATCTTTACTAACTGGGTGGTTTTATTGTGACGAAAAATAAAATTTAAGGAATTTTCCGTCAAGTTCGAGTCATAATACCAACAACATCTCCAAAAACAATTATTCATGAAAACCTTAAATTTTTAAGAAATTCGCACAAAGTCGAGCGATGACAATGATGTTTTGCTAAGTGTCACCAGAATTTCCGGGAAATACATTTCATTTTGAGTTGCAATTAAATCTTGGAATATTTTTTTCACTTCGAAAGGGATATTTTTATTTTACACTCGTTTTTGTGCGAAAGGCTCAGATGGGTGTATTTTGGAGGATTGACTCAAAATAACTATTATAAATTCTCGTTTTAATATTTATTGAACTAGTGAATACTTAATTATTTTCATCCTTCCGTGTTCTTTCATATTGCCATCTTTCAGCGTGTTTATCAATTGAAATAGTTGATTCGTCACAAATGTCCGCTTTTGAATATTCACAAAATGTAGTGGGATTGACACTTGGGCCGCAGAGTTCGTTTGCGAACATCAACTGGGGTTTGACATTATTTAATTGGATGATTTCGAACACTGCACATGTTCTATCTGAGATCAAAAGCTTCGTGAAGGCTCTGTTGCGTTAAATTTTGTGTAGCTACTAGTAAACCGAAAGTTGTTTGATAACGTATTGCGCACGATTTTCTGTCAATCCGGTATGAATCCATGGTTTTAATCAACACCTTGTGTTTGCCAACCTCTCTGTTGTTATGTAAGTTGGCCAAGGATTAAGGTCAGAGCCCTCTATAGTATAAGATAGTTATACTATAGTTATACTATAGAGGGCTCTGATTAAGGTTGGTTGTGCGTATGTCACATGCCCTCCTCGTGAGCCGAGCAGCGGTGTGTCACTATAAACAAGATACTGAGTCTGTGCTCATGACTGGTGAGTTTTTAAAAAATGTTCTTTGCGGAAGTAATTGTTTTGGGTTAGCATCATCTGAAAATCCATAATTTGACCACCGAAAAAAGATTTCGCATATATGCTTAACGAAATTGCAGCTGAGCCGTAATAAATTAAATCACCGACATGAAAACATTGCAGCACTTTTTTGCAATCAAAGAAGACAAAAACACATCAGTTTGTGGCGGCTTTCATCCCGTGCGATTGAAGAGAGTGCGACTTAAAATGTTATGTCTCATGGTCTGGCAAATATGACGCGGCTTGATAGTGGTACTTTTTCAAACATGCGTGCGCATTATGACGATTGTTATTTCAGTGCATGGTGTGCGCGAACTTGAGATTATTTCTATATGCAAAGATATGGTGGCATGGGCTAATATACCTGGTGCCACGAAGTCGTGATGGATCACAGATGCCTGTCATTCAATCACAATTTCTACCCCGGGTGTTCTGTAATCGCGAAAGGTAGGAAGTAGCTCAATTTTGCACATTTTACCAGATGTCTGCGCATGTTTCGGGTTGTGCGTATTTGCAGTAGAAAGTGATAAGTGAAATGCAATTTTGTGTAGCGCATTCTTGTGATTTGGGTGTTTCTTCGATCGCGAATACCCTTTAGATTGATTGTTGAAATTGCGCTTCATGATATAAAACCGTATCTCAATTTAAATCATCTTTTGCAGAACTAAAAAATGGAAATCACAACGGCGCCTTTTTTCCTCTTGTATGTATAAATTTCCTCAAAAGGCTTTTACTAAAGTATGTGTGTCGGCTTTTTCGCCTAAATTACAGTCTTCTGGTCTTTCTCTGCTGAAGAATGTTTTCTTGACTCTATGTGCACTTAAAAACTACTGCGTCATGTAGGTCCTGAAAAATAATTAAAGAAATACTCATAATTCTAAAGATCGCAAATATCGTTGTGAATGGTAAAAGTAATATAATAAGTTAATAGTTCTTAAAAGAACTGTTTTAAGTAAAGAGTACTAACCCAATAGTTCTAAAATAATGTTTATTAGAATATAATAAATATTGAACTATTAACTTATTATATTACTTTTACCATTCACTATGGTATTTGCGATCTTTAAAACTATTTGCAGATTTGTCACCGCGATAGTCTCTATTTTATTAAATACTCATAACTAAAGTTAAATAAACTTCACACAAAAAGAAAGTTTCCTCTTCATAAATTACTATATAATTGCTACATGAATGGATGCCAACCACTCTCTTAAAGCTCAATTTCGACTGCTCTGTTTTGGCACGATAATCTAGGCCTTCTGCTTTACAAGATGACGGTTACCAACCGTCTGAATAATAAGTGAAACTTATACACTAATTTTTAATCCTAAATTTGAAGTTAGATGTTTTTCAATGACGTTGTGTTGAGTAAAAATCCAAATATTTAGTAATAGCTATTAGCTACTACTAGCCACTTTCTAAATAATTTGAAACGACGAAGGAAAAATTGAATTGACCGGTTTTTATGCAATTTTTATCTCTCATAGTATTTTTTACTGGGAGCCATTATTCTCAATGTTCGTGGTTCAATTTTTTGGTGTTCAATTTTTCCAACTGATGTTTGACTTTCAAATTTGCAACTATTTGTTGTCGTTTAGCTCCAGGCTTCGATAAAAATATCAAATCATGGTATCCTTTACGTCTAAGAATTCAATAGATCTTTCCTCTGAGTGTTGAAATATAAACAGTTTGTACACAAGGTTGTACACAAGGAACACAAAGTTTGTACACAAGGAGCACAAAGTTTTAAAAAATTTATTTCAAAAGGAACACAAGTTGTACACAAGGAGCACAAAGTTTGTACACAAGGAAAACAACGTTTTAAAAAATTTATTTCAAAAATCAAGCCTCGTGGAGTTTTCATCTCTGATTAGTTTAGTCCGAGACAGGATTTAATTCGAAAATTATTGCACTCTTTAGATTAATTTGTTGTAGTACGTGCTACTAGCACCGATACATTCGACTGCCTATTTTCGCGTCAATTCTACAAAACACAACTGTACAGTTTTCTGAAAAATTTCTAAGATATATAGAATGCTTGGAATAAATTTCTTTTATAATTGTAGCTAGTGATATTTTCATTCTCATTTTACCGTAAATTTGGCGGTAACTGCCATTGTGGGAACTAGATTTGAAAATTACGGTATACGGTACACTCGACTGCTATTCTTTCAAATAGTTTGCTTGAAAAAACATGTTAATTACATCTTTATGTTCTGAAAAACTTCTGTTAGTGCAATTAGGTTTGTTTCTGTCAAATTTTGAGTTTTCTCAGCTCAGTAGCGTAACTATGAATAAAGCTGACAAAAACAACGTTTGAACACAAATTCAACAAACCATGAACTATAGTTACAAGAGAAACGTGCCTCAATGTGGTAGCCAGCTATGATTTAGCTTGCGCGTCATTTAGAAGTCACAGCTTCTTCGCGTTTAGTCATAATATCAAGGTTTATATACGGATGAAATGAAAATTGAATGTTTACTCTTCTTTTTAAGACTCGCCATCGTCAATTTTGCTAAAATATGCCTCCATATAGCTATGTGTCGACTTAAAAATCCCTCTACTTTGTGATTTTAGAGGATAATAATATAGTAGGTCAGTGAATGCGTTGAGAGTGATTAGGCCGCATGATTTCGGATAATGTTTACATCCTCTGTGTGTAGCATTTGTAGTCTGTGTATGGTATCAAAAAGACATAGATTTTCTTTATTTATGTTTGTGTGAATTAATCGCCCTATATAGTAGATACAAATGTGTTGTTCCATAGCACAGTGTAAGAATTCTGACAGGCTAGCTGGCTGAAAATGTTATACAACTCGTGATTGCAATGTTGAACAAAGGCATTTTGCATTGGTTTTAAGATGATTGACGTTTCCGTATGAATATTGTTTCCTTGGTTTGGGTTTAACGGCGGGAAAAGAATGCCAGAAGCTTCGTTTTAGGCATAGTTTTGTTTTGGAGATCATGCTTTTGGTAAACGCTTCCTTAGATTAAGGCGTGAACATAATTTGCTGTCGAACATTTGAGAACGGGCCGGATTTTCAGAAATGCGTATTCAATTTCAGTTAATGTTTATCAGCTGACTGACAATTTTGCACCAAGGTGAATTCTTTTTTGTAAAAATTTGTGAAATATTTCATGACTGTAATCGTTGGGATAATGGAATGTTCTTGAAGTTCAGTATTACTTTCTTGCCTGCGTTTTTTGACGGAAGAGTTGGGGTTTTTGCGATTTTAAGCGAATTAAGTCCAATCGATCCCCAAAAGAAGCGTTTTCATTTTTTCGCCCGTTTCGAATGCAATTCAATTAGAAGGCGTATCATATGTAAACCTGTTCTCGTTGCTTACACTTATACTCCATATTCAAAAGCGACAATTCACGTGAACCTTCTTATAACTAAAGCCCAAAGACACATATTGCGTATGCTCATGTACATCAATTTATGTGTGGCGAGCGCCTCATCCCACACGTGCACAGGACATCAAGACACGTGAGAAGAAGGTTTTCAATAAAAAGCTGACGAAGGAATGTTGGTGTTGACAAATGCTGAAGACGAAAAGGCCAATGTTACGGGGGAAGTGCGCTATTTTAAATCACTGTAATTGAATCCGTACTCAAGGCTCAGCCGGCTCATTTGCATAATATGTAAACCGGTCAAGGGGAGCAATGGTTATTTGCATGTTGTGCGCCCAAGCAGGCAGCATTTGTTGTTTGGGTTCGGGCGTAAAACATGGACGAAATGGACGAAATTAGCTTGGAAATCTTTGAAGAAATAGCGGATAGTGGAACGCATGGTGAGAATAAAAGTGTTTTTTTTTGTGCGGTAAAAGCTTTTTGACTGTTTGTGAGATACTTGTCAAATAGTCGAATTTTCAGCTCTTACAAAACCCAAAAATATTTTAGACTAAAGTACTGCAGATTATCCCGGTCAATGTGCAGATGTTTTTTGCTAAAATAACAACAATTCACCGGGCTTGTATGTAAAAAGCTTGCACTTTTAGTACTTTTGAAATATTTTCAACATTAGCAAATCAAACAGATGCCTTATGCAGATATTTGTAACCTTCTAATGTTTTCATGCAACAGCACTATTCAATAAAGCATACCTTGTACTTCACTTTGGTTAGGCCAAAGTCGGAAACGTTGCTTAGATTGAATTGAGGCTCTTTTGTAAGTAAACACACATTCGTTTTTTGCATGTTCTATTATCAAAATATCTTGCTAAGATCCTATCTTTTTATTTAAAGTTTAAATCAGTGCATCGACTTACAAACCTGTACCTCTTGACGAGTTACACCGTCCAAGAACACTACATTTATGTTAACGAGAGCGGACGGACTTAGCCGTTCTAAACATCCGAGCTTGCAAAACGCTCTTTCTACCCAAACGAATTTGTTTGAGATGCCAAAATTTACTCGCATCGTTGGTTTCTCAATCGCCATTCGCTGCAGTTGTACCTCCCGTCGTAAACGTTTGGTAGGGAATTGGTGGTACATAAAACGAAGTTCATAACATGCTTTTAGTAGATTTTACTGCCACATTTGACCTGCAAGAGCTCGTGTTAACATCGCCACTCTCTGCCCGGAATTTTTCGTCATCAATGGCCCAACTGCAGCGATACATACGTTACAATGTCGTTTCGGGAAAATTTCTTCGCGGACCTCGTTACGCTTCTGTTTGACTTGTTTACCCTGGGTAAAAAATCTAATCGGTTTTTCAAAGATTGGTGCTTACCAGTAAATTCCCCACAAGTACCGCGCATATTTTAGAAGAATTGAAAGCGAGGCTTTGTTATCTAAATAAAAAAGCAGCTTTTTCGGATGAATCTTGGAATTGTTCGAGGATTGTTTTATTTTTATTAACGGCGGTGTTGAACTTGTTCAGTTTTTTTTGTATTTTGTTTGTCTACATGCCCGACCGGAAAAGGGGTCACCTTTCGTGCACGGCCTTTGCATGTAGTTCATGTGCCGTTGTTCAGAGTCCACGGTTTGAATTAAAAGGAAACAGACCATATTTGAATTATCTCCACATCCATGACGTCACTTCACGCAATGAGCACGTGTTGTGCTTGAATGTCGAAGAGGGCAGGATGCAGGGCATGTGTTTCCTTGATGAGTTAGAAAAGCACTAAATTAGAAAAGTACATTGCATTAAGTTGCTATAATAGCATTATCCATTCTGCAGCGATATGTCGCTACGTAGTGGCATGATCCGTTTTAAACGCTTTTTCCAAACAAAACCTATTGTGGTTGAATCTCTCGTGAAGTTCAGTACCGAAATCAGGATTACGAAGATTGAATTATAACTGCTATTTTTAAAATACCTGAAGAACGTTGCCTGGTGTTTTTTAGTTATTTTGGCTTGTGGAGTTGTACTGCGTCTATTTTCATAGAAGATCAATGAACATTTTTTGTTTATTGAATGTTCCTTGCTGATATTTTTTGTCGGAAAAAAGTACCATTTTTGCAATTTTTCTATGCTCTGACTATGCTTTTAAACGACTCGAAATCATTTCAAGCCTCGCTAAATCCCGGTTTTCCGGGCTCATGTGAACAGTCTTTTAGTGGTACGTGAGCTGCAATGAACTACAAAAGCTGAGAAATTCTATTTGTTGTGTGAACCTTCATTGTTTTATGCTAAAGGTATCAATATCGTCGACCATCTTAACTGGAATGATCCTGTTCAGCAAGTTGACCATAATCTGCCGTTTGACACGTAAGTGAACTGTCTACTTCCTACTGCGGTTATTTCACTGTCCGGCCAAGATCAGTTGGGAAACCGGGCCGTGTTTTACTCCTATGTTGCTAATATTTCCGTCTTCGCGAGAAACACAAAGTCCGCAGGAAAAACAATGAACAGAATTAACTTTCATAAGAAACGAATAGAAATTTTTCTGATAAAAAGTTATTTATATTTTTCATCGCATGCCATCGTCGTTTTGCATGGCGAAAAAATTATGTTTTTTGTCACTGTATCCATAACGATAGGTTTGTAGATTAACGCTAATGTCAAAGGAATTCAATTAGCTCGCTTGACATAACAAAGTAATTGAAAATGGGCGTGGCCATTGATTTCACAGCATGAGATTTTCTAATAAAAGACACATTAATGCAGACCCTTAACCAGGGGGGTGAACTAGTAGCACGAGCTCCTCTCCACCCGTCATACATCTCTGATGTCCGTGTTCAACAGTTGGGAGGACCCAATTTTATTGATTTCAATCGCGCGTTTCTTTCTCTGTAGGCTCATTTTAAAGCGCATGTATTATGTTAAGCCAGAACTTAAAAGGATATTTGAAATGCCAAGAAAATCATCAGTGAAAGTTGGTTTTTTTCAAACGTGCACCACCAACCCCCACACCAATTTAAAATTTCTGGTTACGGTCCTGTTGATGGAAAAATATCTGACACCTTTGATTTTTTAATTTTATGCAATTTTTCGAAATTATCTTTTTGTCCGGTCTGTTGTTCTTCTAATTTAAAAATTAGAACATCAAAGTTCAAATGGACTGCTATTTGGGAGGGGGAGGGCCGACAATTTTACAACTTCGAAAAAAGTAACTAAATCATGCGTAACTCGTTACATAACCCGTCTGTTGTGCTAAAGACGTCATAATCCGACTCAATCCGAAAAACGGCTTGGTTTCATAACATACATTTAGATTGTTAGGCCAAAACTTAGTGCAGTGATTTTCAATGTATGGCGCTGTGGTTATGAAAATTTCGGCTGCAAACAACTAATATATGAACGATTTTTAAAAACTGCTCACATGTTCGTCTAAAACCTCTTTAATTCATACTTTAAGTCTTACAAGCAAAATTTCAACACAATGACATTGCGGCCTCCTATTTAAGATTTCCTAATTGATAAAGTCTATGATGTTTCCTTTTTAGTCTATCCTTGAATTCATCTATCCTGCCATTAACCCCCCCTGGATCCTGCCCTGTCACACCCACGTCCATATTTGATGGAAATGTTGATTTAAAAAACACCGGTAAGTCTTGATGAATGTAGACTTTGCTCCTTCACGTGTCATCCATAGGTGGAGAAACCGGTTTTTTGCAATCGGAGACGCTCTAAGACATCAAGCAATCGTTGAGCCTTTAAATGCGCGTTTTGCCTCAAGAAATCATGTGAGACGCGGGTCAAAATATTCGGGGCTGGGTAGGGATTTAGACTTGGTTTGCACTACGCCGGAGCTAGAAAGTGACGCAGAATTTGATTACATTCACTGTGATCCGTTTGAATTCTGCTACAGTTTTGCGGGTGTTTACATATGATGTCTCTGTTTATGTAAGATGGCGCCTTTTTTTTTTCCATATTGCTAGATGTTTATATCTCTAGGCATACGTCATAAAAAACAATGATTTGTAATTATTACAACGGAATCAGTTATTAAAAGCTTTCCACACCATGAAAGGATCGCCATTTTCAAATATGCGCCACAACGCAGTACGCATTAAAGAGAACTGGTATCTAAAGTGTAGAGAAATATGAACGGTTAGCTGTTTACACGACAAGCATAGCGCTCCGTTTTCGTTCGACGACGTTTAGAAAGTGTGGTAGTATAGCTCCGGAAGTTTTAAACAAATTCGCCCCGGTGTTGTATAAACTTCATCCGGCTCTGTTACTTTATTGCGCCGTTTTCAGACAGGTCCGGAGTAGTTTAAACGTAGTCTTAATTTTCCCTAATATTGCATATTTTTGCGAATTATCACTAGCAAAATGATGTTTTCATACGATTTTATCGAGGGGGAGGGTGGGGCGAGGGACTCTCCAGCTCTCTAGGAGTTACGGTCTTGTAAATGGAAACACTTTGAGGCACGCCAGGTAGGTGAGGGGGTTGAGTTTTCAAAGAGCGTCTTCCCCATAATTTGGCTGACTTATTACGAGGATTTGGTGTGTTTTGATTGATGAGATAAAGTTTTAGGCTTACTAATGAAGGTGTGCACTTGTAAAGCCACGTGAAAACATTTATCTTACGTTGTAATGTTATATCGTTTAAAACCGATAAACCGATAATGTTTAATTGTAGCGATATTCTACACCTATTATCTGCCGCAACATATATGGTGAAGGGTGATGATTGCAAGTGCGAAGTTCGATGCCGGACTTTGTTCTTGTGCACGTGGCTCATGTGTGTTTTTTTGGACAGCAGTCAAATATTTCACATCGGATGCCGTACATTGCTTCTTACATTAACGCTCTTCATTTCCACTTGTAGTTCGTCTGCTGCAACACATTTAGTTAAGTAATATCTGCAAATGGTTTCCTACGACGCGTTCTCCTTTATGTTGTCATCTGCCGAGTGTCGATGAAAACGAGTTTTCTTCAATGAATTTCATGCGCAAACCAGGCATATACTTCTTCTATGAGCTCATCTTAATTATAAAATAATCAGCGTTTTGCGTATTTTACAAAAATGAACGAAGTTTATTCGCTATATAGAGAATAAACTCCACCGGTATTCGAGACATCGGAAAATGCCGTAAATGGTATTAGATGACAAACATTGCATCTTGGACAGACGATGCATCTGCAAAACTTTCAATAATCAAGCCAAAACATAGTAGACTGTTTCAAATACGCCCTTGAGAAAGGTTCAAATGCATAGAAAATTAAATTTTCTTTCCAAATTCATCAAACGCACAGTTGAATTCCAAGATTCCTATGTTCAAAACATCATGATTCCTTATTTCACCAAACATCCTGTCGCAATCACACATAAGCGCATTGTCACAATTCCAACAAGGTGCTACAGTATCTCGTTATGTACTTCATCGTGGTCTCACTTGCAGTGGACTAATTTATTCCATCTTAAGCTTATCGGAATGAGTTAACGTTGAAAATGTTTTTACTAGATTCTGGGCAAGCCTGTTTAACTGATGCACCAGAACTGGAGCACTATTTGAGACAGACAAAGTGAGTATATGCTCATATTACAAGTCTCGTGTTTATGTTGTAGCCATTTACAAAACCGGTATCGTGTTTGTTTCACATTTTGCCGTTGTACCTTTCTGTTTTTGTACAAAATTGGTACATACGAAGAATTCCAATCGGTTTGACCCTTTTTTCTGTTTAACGTTTGTACCGGATGTCGCTGCACTCAACCGGGTGCAGCTCAGTGCAATCTGAATTTTGCGTAATTACCACGTGCCATCCGAAAACCATACTTCTTTTTAAGTGTAAACTAGCTCTTACATAGCTTCTTCAAGCGCTGGAGTTGTAGTGTGCATGATGAATAGGAAAAAAACTAAGAGGTAAGATTAAACAAAAGAAATATCAAAATAACATGATAGAAAACGCCTTTAACGCTACAGCATATTGCGTTTTTGTAGCTACTTTTCAAATACCACATTTTAACATTGATTATGAATGAGCTGCGATATAGTTCGTGGGCAAAGAAGACATGCTATCGTGTTGCAGAATGTGGGAATGATTTGTAGTAAGAACAGTAGCGTGACCAGTCTACAATTTTTGGTCTCATTATGTAAATATTAAAACTGTTTATGAATTTATTGTTTCCGATTGAGAATAACAAGGAAAATCTTACGTAGCAGGACTAAATAAGCGTGTCAGCTATATATATATCAATGGAACTTCATCTCAAATGATGAAATTCAGCGCTGCTGCAGGTGGCGATGATTTTTTCTTTCGATAAATTTTCTATTCAGTTCATGTCAAATAAGTGTGTTCAAAAGAAAATACATATAATAAATTTAATTATGTTTCCTTTAGTCCTTTGCAGAGTTCAAACAATAAACGCAAACTTTCCATTGAAAGTGAAGGGGATTGTAAAAAACGGACGAGATTGAAAAGCAACTCTCAAAGTGAGTTAATGTTTTGGCTTCTTATTATTTATCATTTCGTTTTCTTTAAAATGTTCAGGAAGTTGTGTCAGTCAACATTGGTGAAGTTATTAATGAGCTTTGCGTCGTAATATACTTAGCCGTCAATGTTTCTGTTATGGCAAGACTGATTTGTTCGGTTTCTATGTACTAGTCTGTACCTAGAAGTCTTTCTCTTGTTTTTGTGGCACAGTTTCAATATCGATCTGCCTTGTTCTGAAATGATTTGCGATTTGTAGTGTGTGCTTTCGTGCTAAATTCGTGCGTTGTTGTACTAAATTGTCGTCGACTACGAAACTGTTGCTTGTGCTTATGAAAATTCCGTGGTGTACATTATACATTTAAAATATGTAAAACATTTATTACTTTTTCAAAACTTGTTCAAAACTTATTATTTGCTAAATTATTGTCATTTATTTTCAGGTGATTCGGGTGAATGTTCTCAACCACAAAATCAAAGATCAATCAAATGGACTCAATGTGATACAGAGGAATGGCATAAAATATACGAGTCTTCTGTTCAATCGTAAGCATTTATTAATTTTCTTGTATGAAAGTCTATATCGTTCAGTAATCTTTCATGATAAACAGGTTATTTGAAGATACGGTTTTGGTTCTTCAAAATGAAAAATCTACTTGACAGTTAGCTTATGGCTTTTATAATATTTTCCTGTTTCTAGAGAAGAGCCATGTCTTCATGTCACCTGTGATAAAGGGTTAACTTTTTCCCCGGCAGAAAGTGTTTTCATCTGCCAGAAAAAGAACCATTTTCAGGTTTGAAAGTTGTTTTTATAGTTTTCTCCAAGATTGCTATATTTGGGTGCAATGATTCTCGCGGCGCTTCAGTGTGAAGATAAACATTCTCCACAAATTGATTGAATTACAATGAAATAAATTGGAGCTAAGGAATCAAAATATTTCGCTCTTTATAATCCACAAGATGCGATAGGTTTCGAGATTTCGTGAGAAATCGTTTTGACCATGGCATAAAGCAGGTCAAAATGACTCGTTTCCTAGCAGAAAAATGCCAGAAAAAGAATCATTTTCATCCATTTATGCCTCTAGATTTCTCTTCGCTGCTTCGTTCCTGTTTTGTGCTGGTACTTTTTCTCCTTTTTTAGCGTTAAATTTTTACATTTTTATGTAGCATTAAGTGTCGTTTTTTCAAAATCATATAGATTTCTCTGAATCTGGAAATGGTTATTGGAAATTCAACTCTTGTGAAAGTGAATGTGAGTGAACCATGACGCTTATGCTGCTTTTCATTATAAAGATTAACAAATCAATTATACAATTTCTTATCTTACTACAGGATGCTTTGGAAACAGTGAATTTTGTTAAAATTCATCTATACGCTATAAAGGTAGCTACTTGAGGTCATATATGGATTCTCCTATCTTCTATTATAGCAGCTACACATTGTTTTTGTCTGAAGTGATTCATTACAATGAAACTTTAGTGTGTTTATAAAATTAGTTAATCCAATGTCCTTATAAAATTAGTTAAGTTTCTTTATCAAGAACGAGCGTGAAGCTTTAGTTCTCATGAACTCTGATTTGAAGTTGTATTGTTCTGCGAGCTGTTTCGTTCTTTTATAATGAAATGTATTTTCTTTTTAGGCCGAAGCTCCACAAAAAAGAATTACAATGGAGCAGTCAAGTGCCGATAGATCAAAACGGCCTTATGTGCCAGTGAAGTAAGCCATTATAACTTTTTTGAAGTTGTTTGTAGATATGCCATGATGCCTTTTAATATACAAATTGTCGACTAGACAGCGCAAATGATGAATTTGTGCATACGGAACCATGCAGAGAAAAAATGTGGCGTTTGCTCAGGTGCTCACAGCGTTTTGATTAATACAATATCTGTGAAAACTTTCGAACTAGAACCTATTCGGTTCAGTATGTTTTAAGAAGACCTGTAAATTTTTGCAACCGACCAGGATAAGCTTGCCTGCTGTTGGCAGGTATATTTAGTAAACAACAAAATTCTGATTTGTATTCTTTGTCCTTATACAATAGACTTCCCAATGGATCACCGCTGAAAACGCTGACAATTGGTCGTTTACATTTCAGGTGAATTACGTTTACAGTTCGTTAAAAATTTTTATGTTGATATTTTAAAAGTTTTTAAGATGATATTTTCGAAAAGCTGTCAATGTTTTTTGAGGAAACTGTTGCAGTTAGTCTTTACTGACTGCTCACCGCTTTTCTCTAAATATTTTAGAATTTGTTGTGGCTGACAAGGCTTGTAGAATAGAATATTGCATAAATGTTATATGTTCTTTCGCTTACATTTTTTTGAACCTTGTTCACACCGGTTTGTCCGGGTTTGTTATTGTTCACAAACGCACTTCTTGTTTGTCACACACAAACCCGATATTGATTTCATAAGTGCTGTCGTAGCAATTGCTATGTGTCAAGTAAAATCGAAAAGTACGAATGATTTTTTTACATTTGCAGTGAAACGACCTCAAACAATATGAGAAAGAAGGGCAAGCTAAATCCGGATCAAAGGTAGAAATTTCAGTAATAATGACTAAATAATAAGTTGGAATAACTTAAGGGGCATCTACACGAATCATACTCTCGGAAAGCAAATCCTTCGTTTTATTGCTACGAAGATCCCATATATGCGCAAGTGTATATTAGCATTCGAATCACCTCGAGAACATACGGAAATTTAAAAGTGATGCCTTGATCTTAATTAAAGGAGATATTTGCCAGACGAGTTCAAAGTCTGCCACAACCTTATCGAAAGCAACAACTTATATTTCCTGCCTCTTGCTTTTCGTAAATCACTGTCACGGGACGGCATCATGAACAACTAGCGAAGTTTAGACGTATTTTTGCTTTCGTGTTTCCTCGTCAAGAGATACAAAAGTGCGTCGACATTCAAACACTGAAAAAATTCACTCCCGCTGGCGTAATACGTGTTTATGTTATGGAGAAATTGTTTAGCAAAATGAGCAAATAAAGGAACTAAAATTAAGTGCTTATCAATAGGCCGTACCTGCCAGTTCATTTTCATCGTGATATTTCGTGTCTTGGGCCCATATTAGTACAGCTTGAACGTTTCAGGCTTTTGTCTTCTCGAAAAACTCACAAAGAACATAGCCAAATGATAAACACACTTCCGTTGTATTTTTTGTTTGAGACCAAAATGAGAGTAACCCCACTAATTTCTGTGGCAACTATCTTTGAATATCCAACCATAGAAAGTCTTTCCCACAGAACGTCTCTCATCGTCTGCACTCGTCTTCGACCTTTTGTCGTTTTGAATGAGCACAGCGCATGTCTTCATTTATATTCGCCGTGTGCGTGCGGTTCAAGGGCTGGACTCTGCCATAAATAGAAGTGCCTGGCACGTAGACTTCTAAAGACTTCTCGAGAATTCAGCAAACGCTTCATTAGACTGCTTTCATCCAAATCTTATTTAGATAATTGTGCTCTATTGATGCATGCAGCTTCGTACTTGGTATAGGAAAGCCATTTTAATTGTTATGTTTCATTTCTTTATTTTTTTGGAAAATCACGCTCTAGTCACGCGCTTGCGGTTGAATAAATAGTTTTAAGGTGATGATTAGATTTGAGTAAAAAAGCGTACTTAATTTTGTGTTTGAATTTAACGAAGCTTTGCTGTTGAACAAGCTACGAAAAATGTTGATGGTTTCGAACATTGATGTCAAAACAGTGCCAGTTTTTTTGTTTCGTTTTGCTGCCATATTTCACCAAAATATTTTCAGAGAAGTATGTAATCATAAATCAGTGGTTATTCAAGGGCATTTGGCACCTTATACTTTGTGGTGCAATATCGACGTCGATACACGTTCGGTCAATATCCTTCTGCGTTGAATATGCTGTTTTTTATCGTTTAATATTACTGGCTAAGTAAAGTGTTTAAAAACAGTGATTTTATTATGGTGTATGTGTGATGAATTTATAACATCCAAAGATTTCCTCGTGCAGGAAAGTTGTGTTTGTTGAACACTTTGCGGATCGAAATCGTTTTGTTGAACATGAGATAGCTCACTAAAACGCTAGACTGTTGTTAAAAAGAATTCTGCGTTAGCACATAATTAGTTAGTGCAAAATACACTTTGTGATCGGTGTCTTGTTGTACCAGGAGCTGCTTCTGGAGTCGTTAAAGTAACTAATCCATGTTTTTTATATCAGCCAATATGCTATTCATGTAACGGTTTTCTGATAACAGTATCGTTGCAGTAGCTAGATTTTTCATCGATAAAAACTCGGCTCAACATTCCATCTACTTCCTATTGATTGAAGACTTTCATTATAAAACTTCAAACGGCTGTTTAATTTTGAACAATTTTCAGTGAATTTCGCTTGCTTCAATAGAGGAAAACACATTTTCTGTATTGAAGCATTTTGCTTAACAACAACCTTATTGTTTTTCACACATTTAGATATTTTCAGTTGGTTGTTGACATTCGTGCGTACACGAATGAAGGAAATTACTCCATATGTCGACAAGTTTCCGAAAGAGTTATTGTGAGGGTGAGTCATTCGATCAATTCGTTTGCTTTGCTAATTTTTTGACCATCCTTATCATTGAGGTTCAAAGACACTACTTTCGACACGTTTTGTGAAAGTGACAAAAAATGTTATGATGAGCCTAGATCTATAATGTCATCATACCAATTTATTTAAGCATTTGACCTAGTATTACACAAATAAATTTAGGTTATAGTATACTGTAAATAAATGACAAAAGAGGGTTCTTATAATTTGGAGTCGACCATATGCTGTTTTACTTTTGAAAAATAACTTTAGACACATCACCTCGCACGAAATTTTCTGCTTGTTATGTTTCAATTTCTTGCCGACTCTAAGGAACATTTTAACATAACCCATCCTTCTTTTATTCTACTCACAGTACTAAAAATTCTCCTAGTATAATGGATGATTTTTTTTCGGCACGCATTTTCTGAAGATGTGCTAATATTCATGGATGTTTTCTCAATTCATTTTCGTCAAGGCATCAAATCCGGGGCAATTTGAAAACGATGTTGCTCTCTGGTGCAAAGACAAGAGTAGCGATAGTGTTTACAGAATGGTATGTTGGACAAAGCATGTTGCAGCTACATCTGTGAAACGATTTCGTTAGCATTTGTTCAACTGTTCACAATTCATTGAAGCTATTAAACGTGCTTTTTTCTCTCTATGATGCATGGGGTCATTCAGTTCTGATCATAAATAGATCGCCCAACATGTCTAACTTTCTATTTGCGGTAGTTTAGCGTATATGGGCGCTATTCAATCGAAACAATCTATGTACTTTATGTTTATAGGGGTATGTTGGTATCAACACAGACAAACCAGATCAACCCCTCACTGTAAATGGAAATATAAAATCAACTGGCGTATGGCTAACACCATCTGATGTTCGACTTACCGAAGGTATCTTTCAGGTAAAGAGATAAAGACATACTTGTATTGAATTGATGAATAGAATAGGAAATCATGTTGCTACGTACATCGTGCTATTGATCTCGGCATTCTTGGTGTAGCAAAATTAATCAACTGCCCATGTGACCTAAAACAGGTTTGGTGCAAAGCATGTTACACCCTGCTTTACCCGCTTGCATGTGTGGACTTAAAGCTTCTGATGTTGTTTCGTGACCTTTCTGGAAATATCGGTTCCTAACATGTCAATGGAATAACGTATTTCCTGCCTTTTGTAATGCGAGCTATTTCATGATTTTAATGCGTACGTGTGTTCAATTGCCATGGACCGTCGTGCAAATATATGTTGTAAATTGCTGTTGTTTGAATTTTGTCGAGAAAACAAATTACTGAAGCGGACATTTTCATTACAGGCGGATACGCGTGAAAACCTGGAGAACGTTAACAACATGCAGCTGTATCGATATCGTTACAAAAAAATGTTCCTTAAACACGCTGGACTTGCATCCGAGGAAACTGCTGAACATTTGGGAGTGTTGGGAAGTGATCTTCGTGCCATGATACCAGATGCCGTTACTGAGAGCGTAAGTCCATGCCCAAATGTTGTTCACGTGCCAGTTGTCATCTTTAATGTCGAGATTTAAGTGTGTGTTTTTATAACTGTTGTGCGTGTACTGCCATGCACTATTGTACGTATTCAAAATTATAGATGAGTGAAAGTGAGTAAGTCCGGGTTTTACCTATTTCAGTGAATTTCTTTTGAGATAAATTTAAAACAGATAAATTTAAAACAAGTTTTTTAAATTTTCCTTTAAAATGATCAATGTATTTATCATTGGTTGTCAAAATTCTCTTTGATATAAATTGTTAAGCTCAAATGCAATGCAAACTCGGGTAATAAATCAAACAGCGCTCGTGTTTTATTGTGTTTGTAGTATAGTGTATTTTACGAACTAGCTGCAATTTGTTTGATTTTTCTACATTTCTGGTTTCTTGGTTTATTCCAGACTGATATCCCGTTGCAAGATGGAAATCTTTTGAAAGATGTTCCAATGATCAACAAGGTATATATGTCGTGTTAACAGATTTAATTATCGTGAAGTTACGTGTGTCAGGCTATTCCTGCTTGAGAAATTCCTGTTAGCATGATATCAATGGAGCGCAAAGACTTAACGATAACATCAAATACAACCACACAGCGAAATTGAAATATAAAGAAAAGCGGTATGATTGTATACCTGTATTGTGAAAGCTTACTCCTGATCACACTCACTGAGTGTATAATTATTCGAAGACGTGGTTTTTATGGCAGTGTTTAAAAACTCTGTTTCGATGTGCTTTTTTCGATCTGAGTGTGGTAAGAATATTGGAGTTAGTTTAAACTTCATAATATCATAAATCAATTGCCTTTGCGCCACTATGTTCAATTTGGTGATACAGTATTGCGAACTGAACCCCATTTAATCTTTATTATTATTCCCTATGCAAACAATTTCGGTTTTGATTGGTCAATTGCCTGCAAATAATTCTCGCGATATGTAATTATGACGTCATATTTACAAACAATTCTCGATATCTGTAGGTATGAAGGCTCTTGGTATGACGTCTTATCTACAAATAATAGTTTCTACAGTTGTTGACGCCATAAAAAGCCGGTTTTGAAAAAATATAATAATAGCGATGTTTGCCAAGTTTCTAAAAACGATATGCGAAAGCTTTTGTGCAAAAAGGATGCAAGAAACATTAAAAAAGGGGCGAGGCTGGTTTTGAACATATTTGTAGCATATTTAATCGAGAAGAACTTGAAAAAACCTTTTGACAAGGACAAATTAGCAAGGGTTTGAAAATGTTTTACCTTGATCAGTTTTAATAAGCTTTCAGTTAGTTGAGGTAAATAATAAAAATAATTTTTGAATTCGTCTTTCGCATAATATCAAGAATCATTCAGACCTCGGTAACTTTTATCCGCCTCAGCTTGTCTTCGGCAGAAAACATTGACCTCGATATCATGCTCAACCTCATCCAATAATTGTTTATTATTTCTCAATAGGACCGACTGCTAATGGAATCAATCGGAGCTATTCAAGAACTTTCAAAAGTTGTGGTAGGCCATTAATTATTTTAGTATAAATAAGCCAGAAGTATACAGAAATATACTTACTTGCTTCTCCCACACAAAATAGTGTGCTAGCATCCATGTTCATGGACCATTTCAATGAGTGTGGTTCCGTGACATTGCAAAACTTTTATAAAGCTTTCCATTGACGATTTTTACAAAGTCTGGTCAACCAGTAGAGTCGCAAATCCATTGATGGTAATAACGTCAGCCAGGTTGTACTATAGTATACCGACAAGATTGCTTTGCATTGTACGTTTCATACAATGGTAGACATTTAGTGTCAGCTACGAAAATCTTTTGCAGTTGCAACGCGTAATGTTTCACGTATGTTTCTTTCAGAAAGTTTTGACGACTCGACTGATCGAGTTGGAAACGAAGAACGAAATTTTAGAAGTCGTTTTGAAGAATGTGGTTTCTGATTCCATAACAACCTAGTGTTCATAAAAGTTGAAATAACAGCATCAATTAAGGAGAAAACATTTTTATGTCCATGGCGTTAGCTCGGCTCGGCTCGCTTTTTTATCATTGAAATCGGAATCTATAAATGTCTCCAAATCAATAACCTCAAATGCGTTGGTCAACTTTTTACAACAAGTAAACTAGTATCGCAAACAATGTACAAAGAAACCTTTCAATTGCTTTTCATGAAAGATTTTTATAAATACTGAAAAAATTGCTTTCGAGAATGATGAATTAGCAGCCATTTAAAAGTGTCTTGCTTACTTTCATTGATCATGTGACCAAGGTAATATTGTTGCAATCATCGGAGCAAACTGTGGCACTGGAAGTAATTGGTTGTTTCGACTGGGGATTTGAGTCCTTCGTTTCCAGTTTCTCTCATAAGTTGTATTAAAAACCTAGCTTTGTTGCTGAACAGTTCTTTCAAGCTTTTTAATTCCAAGTATCTACTTGTTTTTACCAAAATGTTGTCGGGTGAATAACGAGCACAAGGTATGATTTCCTAGAGGTGTATTTTTTAGGAACGATTTCCTTATATTCGTGAGCAAACGTGTCATGATAGCATAACAAGCCTGCATATTTAGACAAATGCTATACATTTGCATTTGAATTTTTATATTTTATTTAATAAATTGAAATATTTTTTTTAGTCGATTTGGTTAAATTAGCTACGAAAGTTTTGACAAATTAAGTACATATTTTCCTGCAAATATATTTGCTTTGTTATGATTACTTAGATATTACTATAAATGCAATCAATAAAACAATCAAACAAATGTCTACTTACTATTACTTCTAATAACTTTCTTGTAAAAAGGAATTTTGAAGCGTTCTGTCATGCAACCAAAGTATTCATAAGATCCACTACTTCTAGGATCGTAATAAGAAGGAATTCTCTTCGGGAAAATCTCATGCAGTTTATAATTGATAAAATTGTTCTTGAAAAATTTTTGACAGAAATTGTCACGACATATGTTTTACAATTTTTTATACGGCTTTCTCATGACTCAATGACCTACAGTTATCTCGACGTAAGTTTCTGAATAATATTTCAATCTCGTCACTGATAAATAGTCTGGGATATTGAAAACACGATACATGGGAAGAAATGCAATCACTCCTTTTTATGTATCACAAGATACTGTCGCTGTAAACAAGTGACATTTATTTTCTTAATAAAGTAAATAGTTTGAACCCGGGAGTATCGTTACATGCTTGTAGATGTAGATCGTCCAGGTTAGTATAATCCTGAGAAGGACTATTTTTGTTGTTGTTGACTGAAGTTTCGACAACCTTAGCGGTAGTCATCTTCAGAGTCAAGTGAGGAGTAAACGTCAGGTTAGCCGTATTTGTTATCTGGTTCTTACGTCTTGTATTGTGTGTACAGGAAATTTGTGGGGGTTTTTTGTGTATTGTCATTGTGGTTAGTGTGAAGTGTTATGTTTTTAGTTGCTCGATTGTATGTTTTGTGAATATGTCATTTGTAAGGTAATTGCTGTGATCTGTTTAGGGGGGTTTGTTTCACAAAATCTAATCTTCATCTACAAACATGTAGTAGTTCTTTGTTGCAATCATTGACGTGAAAAAGTGAATTGTTGATATACTAATTGATGTAAATAATTTTTGTTTCATTTTATTGATTTTCATTATACTTCATGCACACGAGGGCTTAGCATAGTGATAGGCATTGAAATTGTCACAATACGTCAATTTCCAAAGGTCTTCTTTATTTCAATTACACGGTGGAGATAACATAATTGTTTCTAAACCACTGGTATCAGCTAGCGCATTGGACTATGGGGTCTCACACAGCTAAAGAGTTTCATGAAATTATGAAAATATGGAAACAGAGTGACTGTTTCTCCGAGATAGACTGCACGAACTTTTACTCCTGCTAAGAAATTTTTTAGCAAAACATTCTTAGATAGTTAAATCGAGTTTAAGTAAACAACTGCAATATCAAGGGCGTAGGAAGATCGATAAAATTATCACGATATGCAGTGTCAAGTTCATTTGAAATCCGTTGTTTTCAAATGATTGTAACATGTTTCCATAATTTCGTAAAAGCACTATTGCCAATACACATTTAATATATACGACAACTTTTTGGAAAATAGACATGTTTCGACATCTCATGATGCCATCTTCAGTATGAGTTAAATAATAGGTGATACAGGGTTTATATAAAAGTAATATGATACATAAATTAAAACAATAAAAAGGAAATAAGATAAATCAATGAGGAGCGTCCGAGCGTATTATAAACTAAATATTGTATTGAATTTAAAAACTTGAACATTGAGGTCAGGGTTAGTTTTGTTAATGTGGAGTGCTTCTTTGATTTTAAGGGTGAATGAGGTGTCGGCAGTGTCGATGATTTTGAAACAAGAGGGTGAATAGTTGGTTTTGCATGAGTGAGATTTAAGAAGGTGTCGGTAGATATGAGAGTTTTTGTCTGTTGTGGTATGTTCCCTGATTCTGGTGGATAAATGGCGATGAATTCATATACCACCATAGATTTAATTGAATCAGGGATTGGGTCTTTAAATGAGAAAAGGTTTTTGATTTTGAATGATGTGAAAATTAGTCGAATGTCCATATCTGTACAGAAGCGTTTCATAATGTTTATAAGTTTGCGTTGTGTGTGTCGTGAGTAATGTCCGATGTATGGTAGTTTGAAGTATAGAGTTGTTATTTTGGAATTTTCATTTGTGTTGGTTGTGATCGTCGTGTCAGGAGTTTCGGTGTCTAGGTTGAGGTTGTTGCTATGTTTGTTGTCGAGATATCGTTTTACGGTTCTGATAATAAAGTGAAGTGGGAAAGAGTTTCGTAAAAGAGTGGATGTGATGTTTTTTACGTCTCGTTGAAAGCCATTCTTCGTATTGTTAAGTTTGTATGCTCTGTCGATTAGTGTGCGTATAAGTCCGGTTTTGTATGAAAGTGGTGTGAAACTAAAATAGTTCGTCAGAAGTCCTGTGTACGTTGGTTTGTGGTATGTAGATGTTGTACAGCTGTCGTGAGATTTTGTTAGTAAAATGTCAAGAAATGGCAGTTGATCTTGTTGTTCAGTTTCAAAAGAAAATCTAATGTTTGCGTGCTGTGTGTTAATGTAATTATAAAACTTCATGGCCTCAGTTTCGTTAGTAAAAACACAAAAAATATCGTCAACGTATCTGCGGTAAAATAGTGGTTTAGTGTCGTTGTAGTTGTTTAGCCAGTTTCGTTCATGTGAGCCCATGAAAATGTTAGCAAGTATGGGTGCTAAGGGAGAGCCCATCGCAACACCGTCCGTCTGGTCATAAAATTTTCCATTAAATAAAAAATGCGTCTGTGCTGTTGCTATTAAAAACAGTTGTGTGAGGTCTGTCCTGTTTATACTGAACCTGGGGTTGTGAGTGAATATTAAGTCGATTGCTAGGTTGATGGTTTCAGTAAGTGGTATGTTAGTAATGCCTGGTTTCCATATGATCGTTTCTGTCGCTAGAGTCGTTTCTGTCTGTTGAAAAAAGTCCCCTGCGGTGATCAAACGACAGAAGCGATTATTGCGATGAACTGGTTTCCATTAATCGTATGCATCGTATCTAATTTGAACTAGTCACCATACACTTACTGTATGATATATTCAAAATGGCGGCAGTCAATCGAAGAGGAAGACTTGTAGCGTGTTATTTTCTTTTGCGTGTGCTGAGAAGAAGGAGAGAGCGAAAGCAAAAAAGAAAACATCGTTTTTGGGTTTTAATATTTCGAAAATTTGTTATATAAACAATCATACTTCTGTACTTCTTCCATAAATGAAGACGTAGAATTAAAGTTGATAGCCGCCATCTTTAGAAACGACGATCATATGGAAACCTGGCTTAAATAGGCTTTCAACGTCGTAGGAGATGAAGAATTTGTGACAGGAAGTTGATAAGTTGAAAGATGAGAAGTCGTCGAGGAAAGTGAAAGAATCTTTAGTGGAGTGGTCATCTGGTATGAGTGGTGTTAGTAGAGAACTAAGATACTTAGCTAAATTATAATTGTATGCGTTGATTGATGAAACTATCGGTCGTAGTGGAGGCGATTGTTCTGGTTCTCGTTTCTTGTGAAGTTTCGGTAAGCCATTTTTTTTTATTTAATGGAAAATTTTATGACCAGACGGACGGTGTTGCGATGGGCTCTCCCTTAGCACCCATACTTGCTAACATTTTCATGGGCTCACATGAACGAAACTGGCTAAACAACTACAACGACACTAAACCACTATTTTACCGCAGATACGTTGACGATATTTTTTGTATTTTTACTAACGAAACTGAGGCCATGTATCACCTATTATTTAACTCATACTGAATATGGCATCATGAGATGTCGAAACATGTCTATTTTCAAAAAAGTTGTCGTATATATTAGATTGTAACATGCATATATGAATATTGCCCTCTCCAATTATGGATCTTCCTACTCGCTTGGTAGTATATTTGATAGGTCGAAAGTTCTAACATTTGTCCTAGAAGCTAGTGACTCCGCACTGGATTTGACGTAATTAGGAGAACGTATGCATTTAAGGTTTAGCTGCCATTATACTTTCTACGCCAAAAAGCCGATGACGATAAAATGTTCAACTTATCGTTTTCAAAATAAATTTCATTATCTAAAGAAGCCGTTTCCCATATCCTGATAAAGGCAAGTCATTGATTACGTCTTCACATTTAATCTAGAACGCTTAACATCCTCGAAATTTTGCTCCTGAGACGAGTGAATACCTCTTGCTTTCGCAGTATAATCACTATTAAAACATGTCTTCACAACAATGGTGGCTGCAATAACGATAATAAGAGATGTGTTGAACTCTAGTGGTGCTTGCGAAGGCAAAGAAAAACAGAAGTATTCTACTGCTGCACAGATTAAATAATGGTTGGCATGCCATTTTCATTTCGACCTCAAATAAAAAGGAAAATTCAAGTTGTTCTTCGTGCGTTGTACTTAAAAGAGAATCAGATTTGATGAGTAAAAAGCTGCTCTTCGCCGCCTCGATTGCTATCAGCCAACCAGAATGGGAAGTCTGTTTATTACAAAAATATTATTTCAAACGTCTATACCGACGTGACTGTTGTGACTGATGGATCAGTGTTTACATGGAATTCAGCTTCAAGCATTTTTATAATTCCGTGCAAGCGGAAAGAATAAGAAAAGCTTTTTTCTCAGTAATTAGCCAGACGAAAAACTTCTTAAACACACTTCTTTCAAACGAATGTCTTCAGACACTGGCAATCTAAAGTTCCATGGAGTTGATGAAGAATTTTTGACCGTACCTCCATCATGACTGGCAATGCGTTTAAAAACTACATGAAGCTTTTGCTTTGATATAAAGTAAAACATAATAAGATGTCCTTTTTGGATTATGTTTTATATCATATCTGATGGAATTGTCTTCTGGCCAAGGCTTGTGTTTTGACATGATGATTAAACGCGTGTTTCATTTCTTTGATATGCTTGTCCTGGCGTACGTATTTTACTTAACGATGAGTGTAAATGACTGGTGTAAATGTGTGTTCTTTTCGATGATGGAAGGCTAGATATTTAAAACTATCTCACTTGAAAAGAGGCGAAACAAGCTTTACAGACGGTACCATTTCATGAAAATCTTTGACCCATTATGAAAAAAAACACATGAACCTGGACTGAAAGAGAAGAAATTGGAAATAGTTGTATTTACAAATAGACAACTTAATTGATATTGCCTTCTCAGTTGAACATTTCCATTCATTTCCGGGAATTAACATAACAAAAGAGAAAGCGGCCATTGTGTTCCAATAAAAACAGCTCTTTAAAGTTCCATTTCACTTGTACATCGCCATGGCGACAACTTCGCCGAATGAAAACGCTCAATATCTTACGTAGACAAAAGTTAGTTGCTTCATCTCCTTAATTTGCTTCGGGCCAAAATGTTATTTTTCCATGCAGGTAAAACAACAAATTAGATTTACCTCGACGGATGTATTTATTCCCAGATCAATCAACAACATCAAGTCCCCCCCTGATGTTTTTTCGAATCAATTAACAAAGAAAGTTCGCCCGACCTTTTTAGCTAAACTTGCATTATCCTCTGCCGATGATGTGATAGAAACTCGATTTGTGTCTCCTTGCCAAACTTTTTCATTTCTCATTATAGCTATATTTCCAGATCAGCTGTGTCGCAGCATTAAGTTTTACGCTGTATCATACAAATCACGATTGAAAGACGCGGAGTGTACTGGATATTGCACCATTTTGCTCTTTTTAGCCTTATTCATTTTTGCGATCCTCAAGCGTCGATCAATTTAGAAATATTACGAATTCTCGTAGTCAAGCTGTTCCAGTCATTTTACAATCTAAAAAAATAATGCACATACGTCAAGAATTTCCACATTGGTCGACATCCCTACCCGCCTTGTTGCTAACTTTATGATGTTGAAATGGCTTATCACTTACACTGAATTGGTAATAGTGTAAATTACAATTATGAAGAAAATAATTATTATGACTATCTATACTTATTTATTACTTAAAATTCATTAGAAATACTATAAAAATACGTTTGTCATATAGAGTTAGAATTTATCCTACAATTTCAAACTATTTTACTATTTAAAAATTGTGGCCATTTAATAAAAGGTTGAGGCTTTCTACATTATCCAATACTATAATTTCATATTTGTTTTGACGATAAAAAGAGGACTATGTATGAACCGTTCATGAAAAATTGTAATATTTTCGCCATTTAACATGGTGATTTTGCTTTCGACCTGGAAAAATCATTTTGTTTTTATCCTTACTTTCTTACGTTGCTGATGAAAAGGGGGCTTGTCAAAGGATTGTGTGATGGGCCATTATTTTCGCGTATTTTTTGTTATTTTAGCTTTATGGGTCAACTCAATCAAGTTCGCCGTTTCTAACTTGGTGGTTTAACTGAGCACGAGATGTTTGATGATGTGTTCTCGTCAATCACGTGACGTGATCCAAAGACAGTTGAAGCTAGACATTGCAGCTACAGCGTCGGTATAATAACTGCTTGTAAAAAGTTTTCCTTCTCAGCACTAGTTTATGACTGGCAAGCAAAATAGTTCAGTCGTCATTTAAATACATATCCTCAGACTTTAACTCATAGTCTTTTAATATAATAATCGTCACGAGCAGACTAAGACAATGTTTAGTCTTGAAATGAATTTTCGAAAATCGAAAACACAATTAATCGACAATTTACTTGAAAGTAAAGCAGAAAATATACAAACGAACACTATATAAAGCAGCCACTGTTAATTCATTTTTACTGTTGAATTTGTAGAGCTTTAGCTAGAGAGAGGTAGCTGGAACATTTTCTCAATAATCATTTGTTGCGTTAATCATATATTTATGATCACATATAAATGTCCTACTTTAGGAGAATGATTTAACCAATCAGACTGTAGTGCTTTAGCCTTGTTTGCAACAAATAGCTATGTAGGTAAAAACGAAACGATTCGTTTTTCTCAAACTGCCTGTAATTAATGTTTCAGATCGACACATGGTATGTGTTTTGAATTAATTTGCAGTTTTTTCGGGGGATTTTTGACTTAAAAGAGAGCCGAAAAGGCAGCTATTTTCAGTTTAAAGTAGCTCCAACATTTGACCTTCGGAATTTTTGACTTGTTTTAAAGAAAAAAATGTCACGTGTCTTTAAAAAACGTCAAACGAGGCAATGTTCAAAGTAAAATCAAACTGTTTTCAGATGAAAAGTAGACAAAAACAAATCATTTCATGACAGTTCCTGAACTGAAAACGATTGAGGGGACTGTAAGTTGTGTCTTTATCATTTGAAAACATGACAAAGAGTTAACACGAGCTTTCAAACATGCGCACGCATACGTCATATCATTGTTTTATTATATTGTTCTAGATGAACCCAAAATCATTTTCACACATGTTCATGCAGCATGAGCTGACGAGAGCACCCATTATATATACCATGCAACAAAATGGCTTACACGTACGAGACATTTAATCGCAAATTCTACACAGGATGCGAAGCCTTCAGCCAAGGTTTGTGAAATTTGTACGATTTGCTAGTTCTTTGCGCATGCTCAGAGCTAAATGTGCAGTACTTACCCGTCAATCCTGTGTATTGTCGTTTATTCACGACCTCCAGAAAGATCAAAAATCTTAATTAATTTTGTGCTTTGCGACATCAACTGTAGCCCAATAAAGACCTAAAAAGTTTCTTTGACGAGCATATGCGTCAACTCTATCGAAGCATCTAAAATGTAGCAGCACAACTGGGGCTTCAAGAACGGGCGCAGTTTACATCTTTAGGTTGTTGTCTGGCAGTAATAAACCTATGAATGTAATTGTCTCCAGCCTTTCGGATTTCTTTTTACGAAAATGTTCATGAAGAATTCTTAGTCCCACGAAATCAAAAGAGCATGCAGACTATAAAGATATTGTGAACTTTCTATTGCCGAATACATGCTTTTTTTGTTTTAATGTATTTTATCAGACTTTTATTTATTATAAATACGATTGTAGCTCATCCAAAACGCTTTATTCAGGAGCAGACCTTCATGCACGGCTTTCCATGTGAATTTATTCCACTTCGGGTAAATTGATTTTTCATTAACTAAGCTGCAATTGAAAAATTGTACATGTAATAGCAAAAATTTATGGCAAAGTTTCCTTTAGAACAAAGTCGTTTCTAAACATTTTGCTATTTTAATTCAAATTAAAAATCTTAAAACTTTGCGCGCTGATGAGACACCCGTTTCACCAATTCTAAAACGCTTAAAGCGTTAGTTCTAATTTTTAGAAATGCGTTACGAAGCGTCAATAAAATGTATTCCGCGCATTCTGATGTATGGGATTCACGAATTTATGAAATACTTTATTTAGTCATCTTTATTTTCCTGTTCTGTGATCTGGCTATGGCGGAAAACGTTCGACGTTCAGCTTCTTATGATATTTTAAATGACGAACAAAAAAAGATCTTGAAGGATTATTATGATCGAGGAATGATTTCAACAGCAGCTAGTATGAGGGATGTCATCCAAGAAGCTGCGAACCAAGCTAATATCACGTTTGAAAGAGTCAAGGTAAACAGAATGCACGAGTTTATATTTTTTACCCGCGCTTTCTTTTTCATTAGCAACGAGTGATCTTCGCCAGTATTTTTTGATCTGATGGGTTTAGTTATTGTTTCTGTAACTGACATTAAATATAGCGTGCATTTTATATCTTCTAATTATACCCTTAACTTATATAATAGACAGTTTACAAGATGTCAGAGATATATAAACAGATATACTTAGGATTTTCCCTTTATTGGGGAGAGCATGGTTTATTTTTTGACTGTACCACAATACCAGTGTGTTTATATTTAGTATTGCTTGACAATTGAAAATTGCAACGTTTGCTGACGATGTTTATAAAATTTATTCTACTGTTAAAATTTTAACTTGGCCTATTAAGTGTATAATTATTATATTTTTATACTCACACTTGTTTTTACTATGTACTATAAAAAACAAGCTTGTTTTTATTTGTATTCAACCCTCTCGAGCTTTTTATCTTTCTCTGTTGTCAGATGTAATATGTATGTACCACTGGTTACTATATCTTTTTGCATTAAATCGAACTGTAGTTTTCTTCAATAATGCAATTTCTACTTTATAAAAGTAATAAGATTATAGTATTTACATACATATACTCATTTCATAATATTCATATCATAGTATAGAGGTGCCACAGGTAGTACATCTTAAAAAGGGGTGGGAAAACTTGGTAATTTTTCTATTTTTGAGTATGCCTTCAAGACTGTTGATCACAAATTTTTCGTAGTATTCTGAGTTTGTTGAAACTTAAGGGCAGGCATTCTGTAACATCACAAATCTTATAATCAGAAAACCTATGGTTTTCCCTCGATTTTCCCTCGACAATGGTTTTCCAAAAATTAAATTATTAAGTGCGCATTTTCTCTATAACACATTTTTAATGCCCACTGGTGTTTCCCTTTTCCATGAAAGACTTGCTTGGGATTCATGCTATAACAAACAGGGACCTTATCATTTTGCAAATAATAATCCTGAAATATAGGTAAATTTGAGAATATTACCATTAATTAATTGTTTTTTAGAAATCCATAGTTTTCACAGCAAGTGAAATTTTACATTGCATGAATAAATAACTGAGCAGACTATGCTGTATTCATTGCATGTTTTTGAAAGTTTGCAAATGACAGAATCGTTGCAGTTTATGGAGACTCAATAATGTTGAATCTACCTTAAATTGTAAATGCTAGAGATGTTTTTCTAATTTCTACTCTCTGCTAGTCACCCTATTATAATGTATATAATTGCTTTGAAGGTTTAATTGCATTGGGTGCATACCATTGAAGGTGATCAAGGCAAAACCGAAATTAATATACCTTAACAAATTTTTTATTAATTAGGTTAATAGTCCCTAAAAATTTTTATCTTGTTCAGGAATAAGTCACATTTTTTACTTTTTTGGCTCTCCTAATTTACGAATAATTTGAGAAAGAAGTTTCATATAGATGGTGGTTCGTAGTTACATACTTAATGAATTCTGTTACTGGTGAAATAAGCTCATGCTTATTGCAGAATTTTCTAATGAAATTGTTTGATTGTTTGGTTTGAAAAGAAGCATTTATATTTTTTAACATAATAATTTTTTGTTGTTTAGACTAAGTTAGCATATCCTATTCTTCAAATAATTTGAAGGCTTCATGTTAGTACTCTATTTGTTCATACACCATGTAGTAAATAACCTTGGTTAACCAGGTTAGCTACAAGAAAAAGAAAAAGTTTTTATTTTTATTTCTTCTAGAAATGGATTGGGAATGAAAAGCAGTCCAGAAAAAGAAAAGCCAGCTCTCATCAAGATGAGGAGTTAAGACTGTGCCCTTCAAAGCGTAGAACTACAGCATATAATCTTTTTTGCTCACATATGCTGAACTCAGGTTCTGATCTATAAACTGTATGTTTTTTATGGCCTGTACAATATGTATCATCTTTATTCCACCAAAAGTGCTAAGACAAAACCTGTGCAGTCGTCATTTAAACCCAAAAGAGTACTTTGTTTCTTTCTGTTGTTATATGCCTTTTGTAAATATGCATTTTGTAATTTTAGAGGAATGCAAGCAGCTGAGCTCTAATTCTGAGAGTTGAAGTTAGCTGTAGACCACTGGAACTTGTTAGGGCAGAGGAACGTGTGATTTGGGCAGAAAGAGCAAAGGCTGTTCAAAGCAATGACATTCATGACCTGACAGTTAAGCAGCACAAACCAAGTGAAAAAAGGGAAAAAGCAGCTTTTGTCACAGGTACAGCTGTTATTACCCACTGTACATATGTACAGTATTATGATATAAGAGAATGATTTTTACTTTGATTGTTTGTGCGTAGATTTAGTTGAGCATCTCTATAAACATAACGTGATGGTTTGTAAATTTCAATCCATTCTAAAGGAAAGACAATTTACCTAAAGAAAACTTCTACTACAAAAAAATTTGTAAAAGTTGTTATGAATTGTTAGAAGTAGCAAATAAATGCTGAAATTTAGCCAAGTCTACTTGGTTACAGATCCACAAAGTTAGCATTTTGTAACGTTTGCAATTTTACTGTGAAAAATATTAGCATTGATAGACCTGTGTCATGGATGTGAAGGGGGAGTGTTTTGTAAGAAATTTTTGCAATCCTCATAGCTTTAGATAGATTAGGGTGTGCGAGGGGCTCTAATTTCCCCACAAAATAATAGTATACGTATCATAAAATAAGCCCAAAGCAATTATGATAAGTGTTTAATCTAACACATTGTAGATGTGTTGATTTTTATACTTTTGTTTACTTAGAGAAAAATTTGCTGAAAACTTATGCTGTGTAAATTCAATTAAATTTCTCTTTGCTAGCTTACTTACTTAGAAAGTCTTGGTTGTGAAGCAGTTGTTTTATTCTTGGAGCCTGGTGATTCTTGTCTTCAACAGTTTGGAACAGAAAAAGGAATCAACTTTTGAATAAAAATGAAAAATTGGTGTCAATTTCGTTGAGTATTTGGGTAAGTGCTGTACCTACACAGTTATTTTCAGAAACTTGTGGGTCTTGGAATACCAGTGCATTATTTCTCAAGCATTAGTGCTGTTCCAGGAATGTTTATTCAGTTGTGCCCTTCGGATTTCTTTTGAAAGTAAATTGCTTTCAAAAGTAATCACTTGGGCTCAGCTGGATATATGAATAATCCTCTCCTCCCTTTCCATGCATTTTACACGGGCGTTATTTCTTTATCAATGTTTTCTTTATTAAATAGATTCTCCAGAACAGGTTGTCAGAAAGTACCGGGTGTGTGATGTGATAAAACTATTCAACCAGAAATACAGTAAGTGCAAATTGCATTTGAAATGATTTTCCATTTTCTGAGCTTGTGTCATGGTTGATATTTTTTAGTCCATTTTATACACAATTCCTTTTTTGACAATCAAGTTATTTTAAGTCAGCATGAATGTTTTGCACCATTGTGAAACATTTCCAAACTTATCAAATCAAATCATGGGAAAGAATGCTGTTTCGTAAAAAATGAACAATGTGCATTACAGTTTACATATTTAGGAAATATCATTTATTGTGTCTGTCCTCATAGTTTTGTACTAGTTAAAATCTCTCCCCCCATAAATATGGGTGGGACTTTTTGTTATTGTCATTGATTGTTGCAAGCTACATTTATGTATTACCCATCATTGTAATTTTCTTCGAAGGTGAAGCTTGTGGGAAAATGTGCCGAGTACCTTATTTAAAAGGAGGATTTACTGTTACTGGTTTGCCAGAAGGCATTACATTTAAAAAACCCAGTCAGTATGGTATTAAACAGATTTCCAACATTATGAAAAATGCGCAGAATATTCATTTCAAAATAATCGAATCACCGCAAGTAGAAAAAGTTTTGACAGAGAATCGTAAATATTCTGATCAAGAGAGAGAATATTACCGATCTGTGTTGAAGAAAGTTGTTTTTGAAGAAGCCAAAGTATCAATGTGCTTGATACGTAACAAGCAGATTGAAGAATGCGATTTGGTGGTAACTGATGTAGATTTGACAAAGTCAGAGCTCGATTTGTTGAATGGGAAACTTAAAAATTTTTTTAAACCTGATGCCTTTGCTACTCTTATTGCCAACTGTAAAAGCAGTCGAACACATGAAGGATACATTCTTCCGGTTTATACTGACTCTGATGAACCGTATTGGCTCTTCTATTATCCTGGTGCAGCTGAAGGCATTGAATCATTGTCTACTGAAGATAAGATTTGGGGATATTGGTTAGACAAGACGAGCTCAGAGCTAACTTATAAACTCATTAAAACCCAGAAAACAAACATTATTGGATTAAACCTAATCTGTTACCAGGACAAAGAATTAGGAACTTTAAGGTTAAAAACCAAAATTTTTACATCCCAAATAAGCATACCTTTCCGTTTTCACACGTCTGTTCTGGAATGCCTTGCTAAACAGGATTTCCTGTAGTGTGTTAAACTTTTTTTTGTATAGCATGTTCATGTTGTTACCAATAATTGTATGCACCTAAAGTATTCGTATTCTTATATTATGCACAAGTGTAGTTTTAATGTTAAGAAATAACTATCGGGGGAAACGAGTAAAAAAATTTCCAAATGTTCTTGTTTACGTTTTGTTGTTTTTCTCACGCTATTTCAACACCACGTCTATTGTCTCCACTATATATTGCCTTTGCTCATTGCATTTATGCCAACTTGTGATTTTGCATGACATTCAGATAACAGACCAAAATACTTAAGAAATTTCCTGGAATACTCAAAGTTTTGAGGCTCACAAAAGTCTCAAAATCTCTAATTTTGAATCAATGAATTAAGCCCATTTTCGTTCTTTGCCAATTTTATTTGTGGATTGTTTAATAAAGCTTCGTAGCTACCCCAATGATAAGTAAAGTCATGTGGCATTTGTCAGAAAATGGGTAAAGCACATTGCAGGTTAAAGGAATAACTAAAAAATATAGACATTGTCAATTGTTAACCCATTACCCTTATACTAGAGTATACCATTTAAAAAAGTTTTAGAGATTTGGTAACAGTTTTACAAAGTTATTCTAATGGAAAAGCAATCGTTTTAAATAAAATATGCAGTTTTAATCGCTTTAGTAATCTATGTTTTTTTTCAAAATCTGTTTACTCTCCATACAACGATGGAATGTGCTGTAATGATGAGTTGCAAATGAATTTGCAAACCTGTGAAAGATTGGTAAATGTGTTGAATAAGATTGCAAATAAAGATTAAAAGGAAATTTTATATGAAGTTTTGTTTTCATCTAATGAGAAACGTTATCTTTGAACGTGATTTAGATAATAAATTAAGTTTGAAAACACAAAAATCATACCATGTTGTGGATGAAAATGTAACTGTTTATGTTAATGATGATGATGATGAGATGATTGTTTCAAAGCCACTGATCCAAATGATATTGCAATGATTGATTGGACGGATGAATTTTACAAAATATATTTCAGAAAAGATGACGATTTAAAAACTATATCACAAAAATTTCGACAATTTGTTGGATTTTGTCGTGATTTATTAAAAAGTGAAGAAGAAAAGAAAAATCAAAGGAAAGGAAGCTAAAGAAGAAAAAGTAAAAAAGAAATGCCAAAAACTGTAACAAGTAAAAAAAGACAAAAAGATATTGAAAATAGTAATGACATTTAAGCTATTAATGTATTGAAAGAGTTTTCTAATAAATTGGATATTCCAATACATGATTGCATTGGTTATCATAGTGAATTTATGAATGAAATTTTAGTGGAAAAATTGGAAAGAAATATGATTTTGTAGAATTTTATAAAAAATATGGCAATGATAAAATTGAAAGGACATATAATGATATATTTTTTTCAAAGCTTGATTTTCATCATCCTCCAACGTTTCTGAATGATGGTGATGAAGAGAACGAAGAAGAAAACTAATAATTTAATTAACAATGACTTTATAAAAAGAGCTGCAAGATTATTAAAAGGTGAACATTTAAAAGATAATAAACAAAATATACATAATTTGTATCAAAAAAATATAAATTTTTAAATATAAATGTATGAACAAAATTTATTTATGATCTTACTTATTGATTTAGCTGAAATGAAAGATTTGGCAAGATATAATGATAATTTGTGTTATTTGTTATGTGTAGTTGATGTTTATTCAAGATATGGTTTTGTTCAGTTATTGCAAAATAAATCTAGTAAAAATGTTATGGAAAAATTTAAAGATATTGTATTGAAAGAAAATGAATTTCCTAAAGAAATAGTATCACACGAGGGAACTGAATTTCAAGGGTTTCGAAAAGTATTGTCAAAAAAATATAATTTTACAAATTATAATATTTATAATCGTGAAATTAAAGCTACTCATGCTGATAGATTTATACAAACAATAAAACAGACGACTGGAAAAACTATTGACTTGTTGCAAAGAAGAAAAGGAAAAAAAATTACTTATGAAAATATTTACATTTAATTGTGGAAAGATATAACGAAAATCCTTATCGTGGATTACTTTCTGACAATCTTTCACCATATGATGTTTATTTAGGCGGAAAAAAATTACATCAAAAGATTATCTAATATTATGAACAAAAAAAGAGATAAAAATTTAAGTATATTAAAGAAAAATGATAAAGTGCAAATTTCAAGAATTAAAAATAATATTTTTGAAAAGGAAAGTTTAAGACAGTGGGTTAATGAGACTTTTTATATAAATAAAGTTTTTTTGACGGATCTTGTTACTTATAAGCTTTGTGATATCAACGGTGAAGAAATTCAAGGGAAATTTATTGTGAAGAATTAAAAAAGGTTTCACAATGAAAAATATTACATTAATTTGAAAAGTTAATAGTAAAAATTGCTAAAAAATCTATATTAATCATTTTGCTACAACATTACCTGGTCAAATTGATGCATTAAATAATAAAAAATACATAACAGTGTTAAACGTTTTTTTATCCAAAAACAGCAAAAACATTAATGTAGATGAATTCTGGTGTGATTTAGAATTAAAATTTTCGAAATCTTTTATTCAAACGGATGTTACAACTAAAAATATTGATATAAGTTTATATCCAATTTTAAAGTTTAATTTACCAAGAATTAAAATACCATTGGGAATATATAACAATAAAATTATATCGCTTGTGAATGAATATTTAAATGATTATAATATTTTTTAAGAATAGAAATAGTAAAAAAAATATAATTTTGACAAATGGATATATTTGTTACTATGTCCAAGGGAAAGAATCTTATTCTAATCAGGGCAAAAATATGATTTTAAAAATTATATATGGATAAAACCTATAATAAGCAAAATAAAATATACTGATTATGCTTCAGGAAATGATACAATTGAATTTAAATTAAATTTTTCAAAAAAATTAAGTTTTATGTTGGGGTTAGACAAAGAAGTAATAAAATATACATTTGACTCTGGATTTGATTGTAAGAAACGTGAATTTGTGAAAAAAATAAAATTATTTCATTGTCCATATCTTCCTGATGAGACAGTTGGAATCAATAAAATGTTTATATATCGTGACAAAATTGATAGAGAAATTGTTGGTAATTCAAAAAGGGAATTGTTATGTATTGTTCCTTTACATTATGCAAATGAAAGTGGAGACAATTTATTTGTGTACAATCCTCCAATTATAAAAAAACAATTAATTTCTTCAATTATTAAAAATTTAACTATAAAAGTATTGCATCATCAAGGCAATTATACCATTTGATTCTATAAATATAACGTTGGAATGTCAAATTGATTTAAAAAATGGAAATTAAATTACGACCTATTAAATTACTGCAACATACTGATACTTTATCTCAAAATTTTTTATTCCTCAGATGGATATATTATATCCATTTAATTTAACAGGAATTAATAAAAATAATATTTTATATCGAATAAGGAGTTTAAAACAAAAAAACCTCAAAAAAGGAGCAGTATTAAATTAAATATTTTTTCTGCACTTCCATATAATTTACTCATTTTACAAGTGGAAATGTACAAAAATCCCAGAACTTGGTGAAGTAACTAATGTGCAAAATTGTTTACCAAACAGTATAAGAAATTCCGATAGCAAACCAAATAATATTTCATCTTTTTTATTATTACATAAAAAACTTTTTTTAATTTAAATGGTGGATTATCTAAACTAGATGCTAGTGCTAATTTTAATTTACAATCAATACATATAATGAAATATAAAAAAGGTCCTTTGATTCTATTTTCAAAATATATAATATTTGAATTGGAGTATGATGATTCAGATAATAACTAATTACTAACAAAAACTAGATATACTTCTGGACTTAAAATTTGAAGAAACTAATGAATTTCAATGAAAAAAATATATTATTTATAAAAATAATTTGTATAAATACTATGGAGATGTATTAGAGGGTAATAGAATGAAATATTGTAATCCATATTATAATTATATAAAATATAAATTTAATTCTATCACTGAAAAAAGGAATTTTTTTAGCTGATACTGCACTTAATTCTTTATTATAAAAACAATTATCAAAATATGTTGTAAAAGAGAAATATAAACTTCCTATATATATACATATACATAAAGTGTATAACAATGTGACCTACAGCTATCACCCTAGTAAAATGGTGAATGCTGCACTTGGGACACAGGATGTATGGTTACACATTGTATGGATTGTTTTGTAAAGTCCCCAGAGCGCTCAAACCTATAAAGTTGAGCTTTGCATATAGCGAAAGCGTTCACTATTAACTTATAATTATATATATATACACGTGTGTATATGGAATTATTCTAACTCGGTGTCTGATTCAAAATCTGAAAATTGAAGCAGTGATTCGCAGTCAGTCTCGTTATCAACTGAACTGGTTTCAATCTCTAATGTATCCTCAATTATGTTTGTTGGACGCAAAATAGATAATGCATGCTCTGCTTCTATCTTGAAGAATGGTAATTTACTCTTACTAGCTTCTGTTAAATAGTCATTTAACATATGTTTCAGTGAATACAGGGCATTATTTATGTTAATTAGATCTTTCTTAAAATTTGCTACAGTTCCTCTCAAGATTTTGCTCTGAACTTCCCCATTAACATTGATATAGGACTCCAGTTCTTGTTTCTTATCCAAGTAATATTGTACTAGTCTTTCTGTTTCCATTTCTAACATCTCTTGTTCCTCTTTGCATCTTTCAAGAAAGTTATGCAACTCAATAGCAGAACGTTTAGCAGTGAACGGTACTGTATCTTTATTTGTTTGAAAGTTAAAATCACAATAAAGTTGCGACCTTGGATCTTTTGCTTCGTCGAATTCAATTTTTCTAGGTAATCCTTCAATCCAATCTTCCAAAGACTTTAGTGATGCATTATACTTGGCTATTGTAGTTTTAATGGAATTTGTTCTCTGCGTTATTTGTTTGGAAAGTTTAACGGCTATCGCTTGGCCATCTGAAACGCAAGATAACGCTCGGTTCAATAAATACAAGTTAAAGTCATATAGCATTCATAATTTTACTAAAGCAGTATACCACCAATACAGTTTCTGTAAAAACTACTATTCAATGGGTTTTTTTCATAATTCCAATTCGAAGTATTAAAAGTATTAAATGACACTCACTTAAAAGGACTGGGCAAGTACGCACGCACTAAAGTGAAAGACGTTTGAAATGCTTAGCAGTATATTTAAATGTTACATTAGGAAGAATACCTGCATATTTATTCTTTAAGGATACAAGGAACATCCTTTCAATTGCTAAAGAAAATGCTGACTCAATAACAGACTCATTCCGTTTCAGCTCCAGCGACAAAGCTGCCGTATTAAATTCTCTCTCCCCAGGTTTCCACCTCTTCGCCACTTTCTTTCTCCTCTCAATGTTTTCAACCTGTTTCGTTACTCTAAAAAAATACATCAAAACAAATTTAAACGATAATATTACAACGAAACGACTATTGGTTTAAGGAGATTGAAATTCTTCTCAACACTTATTCATGAGGTTTTATCAGCGACAAAAAAAATGCACAATTCATATAGTCAAAAGGCTTGCCTAACTTCTTAGTCTTTTTTACAATATCCGCAAAGTGACCATGATCAACTTCCTGAATACAAGCAATCTGCATTCTATAACGAAAAAATGTCATCTGATAGTAATGATTAATTACTTCAGTATTACATACACAAAGCCATACACTACAAAATAAACAGTGACGACATCACGCATTTATCTCAGCAACCTATTGAGCAAAACTACAGAATCGCATTTGTAAAAATATTTATTCATGCACTTGATAAACTTTATATATCAAAATTGTATACCTACAGTACCTTAGCTGGTAAAGTTGCAATAAACTTTCCACATATTTTTGTTGCCATGTTAACGGAAGTGCCCGTTTTGCTACAAGAAATAATCCAGTCATCTAATAAAAATTATGAGCCAACAAGTTGATGGAAAGGCACATTACATACAATTCTTCTCATTAATTAGTTTTTCTTCTTCCTTCATCCATGTCTCTAATAAATCAGAGTCATACAGAACATCTAGCTTCGAAAATAACTCTTGTATTTGTGATTGCGTGTTAGTAATAAGTTCAGGACATCTTTTAAGTTTAGCAGCTAATGAAGATCCTAAAAAAAATCAACAACTTCCAGCACTAAATAAATAATATACAAAAAACAGAAGGGGGGGGGGAGGGGTTACTAGTTTACAAAACGTTGACTGATCAAACAGTTGTGTGTACATTACTAAAGTGATTATATCAGGGTCTTGGACAGGATTTCTTTAAATAGTTAAATCAATTTTAAGAGCCCTTGCAAAAGATGAAAACACACGTGCATTGAAGATATAGCATTTTCTATACCGGTTTCAAGTAAACAAAAAACGTTTACACAGTACAAGTTTTGGGACGCTATTTCCTTCTAAAAGTCTATAATATTGTATGGTGTTGACACTTTTTGAAGCGATCGTGTTGTCCTATATATGTCAATTCCAGCTTTCAATCACCTACTTGTTGGCCAAAAAACCCCATCAAGATAAAATTTTTGTCTATCAAATACACGTATTGCAAATGTTCTCAAAATCAACTTGACTATTAAAAGAAGTTATTTCCCTGAGCCTAACACGTGTACTTTCAGTAAACACACCAACCAAAGTGTTCAAGTCGACGAGAAGAATAGTGCAGTAAAGCATCTGTCAGAATATCAAGACGGCGACCAGAGCTCATCTCCTTGGTCATGCCGGAAAATCCCGAAGAAATGACCATAGTCTTTCCACTCCTTCCCCATCAGTTAATCCATATCCTTTTTTTCTTCTTGGGTTAAATTGTATCTACACGACAACAAATAATTTGCTATTAGCTGCTTATAACTATTTCTATTGAGACCGAACATTATTTTTCGTACCCAATAAATATTGTTCACGTGGATGCAATGATAGCAAAACATTTTGAGTACGTACAGAACAGTCTCTTTTAAATCTATCATAAGATGTATTGTTATCATCAGAGAAATAAAATTAATAAAATGTACAAACCTGACACGAGGACTTATGACCATAGCAGTGGAAGACAGGAATAGCATAATCGGCTCTCTTCACAAAATCATGCTTTCCATTTTTCTGGAAAAGAACAGAAGATGTCAATACAATTTTACTTGGTTTTATTACGGTTTAATGAACTCTACTGCACAAAGTCATTATAAGCAAACAAAATAAACTATTAATGCTTTAAAAAACCAACCATTAGGTGTGCCTTCAAAGTACATGCAATGTCATACATGATTTTTATTGTTGTGTTTTCGTTGGAGTTAGAGAGCTGGTGTTTGACACTAAAAACTGAATAACCAATCCTAAAAAAAGAAGCAAATACTGCAGCTAGGACATTACATGATTTTGGTAAAACCTCTTAATATTGCAGACACAGCAACATTCAACAGAAGTTTCACGAAGGTCATTAGCGTGTTCAATTGAAATTTGAAATATAGTTTCAAAAGGCGAAGTGCAATGGGCTAGTAGCCCAGGGCTAACTGCTACAATCGAATTAACATAACATGTTTGTATCATTTTGGGGAATGACTAAAGCTATACAACAGAAAGAGCCTGCCACTTGGAAAGATTTTAAATGGTACACAAAAGATCACTTCATTGCATGAAAGTATGTCATGACTGTTACCAGACTTTCTACTTTTTATTAACTCTAATGGGGTTAGACAATCTTGCCTGCTATAATCATTGCAATATTTGAAACAAAGATGGGGTGGGGAGGATGGGGTGGGGCTAGTATGTTCACATGAAAGCAGGTTTGTAGTAAATGATGCTTAGATAGCCTGACTATAAGCTGTAGGTCATTGTGGTATGGTCATAGTAAGTGGATAATGATTGCCTTAAACATTAAAGAAACTATGTTAATGACTTCAAAAAATACCTTTCTCCATGTTTTATATTCATAAATCCTTTAGGGTAATCATGCCGGCAGACACAACCAAAAACACCTTTCTCATCGAATAATTTGTTTCTACCTTTTGATCGAATCATGTCAGTTTCTTCACCTGCCTTAAACTCATGACAATCCTTAACAATAAAAGGCTTCGTAATATTCAAAAGTACATAAAATAGCAAACTTGAGGGAAGACAATTTCTGAAATTCAACCACATTTCCCAATACTTACAGTTTTAGCTTGTTCAGCACTTGAAGTGTAGTTATCAACAAATGAATCAACTTCTTCTTGATTGTGGAACAAAATGGAATTATGCCTTGACAAGAACTGAGCCTTCCCTGAAGTCTTTTTTCTCACAAGACCAAAACAAGCATCCATTGATTCAATCAGAGTACCAGCTTCATCAGGCTATCAATGGATGAAATGAATAACAATGATGCTTTTAGAATGAAGACATTAACAACTTCCCTACAACTGTTTTAAATATTGTGTTTAATGGCTAAATGTGTACAACTCCATAGAACAAATGTCTATTAAATTTTTAGAATAAGAAAGCTAGCTATGAACGAATTGCAAGAGATGCACAATTATAAATTTCGTACTTTGGGACAGAGAGGGCACAAATATCTCCCTGGGACATGTTGCTTTACAAGCGGGTAACCATTTCTCAACAAATGCCGATGATACCTGCAAAATAAAGAAACCACTAAAAATTCAATCATACACTATTACCAGAGCAATCATGAGACTTCAAGATCACATCCCTCAGTCTTTCTACAGTACTTTTTGCATCTAAGTTTACACAATAATTATAGTTTATGAAACTAATTTATATTACAAACCGAAACTCATCAAATGAGTTGCTGTTCAGTGTTGAATACATGTTCTTAATCTATAATGAAATAAAACAATTACAACAATATACACATGCACAACAAGAGCAGGAGCAGGGTGAAATATTTAATCTTTTGTAATGTGCCTTTCTATGAAAGATTAAGGTTACAGTTCAAGAAAACCAAGTTTTTCTATGTTTTAGGCAGGTAACTAGTAATTGTTACAAACTTTTAACAAGCTGTTGCACTGCTCTGGGGTATCTATATCATGGGCAGCTGTGCAAACAGGATTTTTTTTGGGGGGGGAGGGTGAAATGAATACTTACCCACAATGGTAAAGAGGAGCACTTTGTCCATATTTTTAGAGCATCGCAGAATTTTCGAAGTGAAACATGACATTCAAGAAGTAAGGTTTCAGCCAACTCCATCATCTTAAAATGAAAAGCTAAAGAGGGACGAGTAGCACTGCCAGGCCAAAGTTTCAATCTTATTAACGTTATTGAATCTTTTTCACACTCACAAAACAGAATTTGTTTCTGATGTTGCCGGCCTATTTGAAAAAATACACTGCAAGTTCTGGTTATCATCATTATCAGTATCATAATGAAACATACAAAGATCACAAAGAAAGAGGGTAGGTGGTAATTGAACATGAGCTTTGCAATAAAATTTAGAATTTACCATGAAGCTAGTATTTAAAGAAAAAATACTGATTTAAAAAAATGAGCATGCAAAGACCTTATGTATCAACAAAATGCTAACGTTGATAAATTATCAATCATTAAGTGACTATATCTAAGCTAGTAAACAAACCATATTGGTCAATGCAAATGACATTTCTTGCTTGAGCACTATGGCAAGATTTCTGATGCCTTGCTGCAAGAATACCATGATTGGGAAAGTAAGGTAATGTATACCCATCCTAAAAACATAATGCAAGCTATGTTTCAATAGCAGTTTATACAAATGTATGATACAATGACCATGAAGACATGAATTGAAATCAACATTTGATCACCAAACTTATACACCACAAAACGTCATCATAACTGAATTTATCTTTATTCTTTCCATCCATACCTTAAACCGTTCAAGCACATGGAAGTAGTTGCTTGTTTCGTGAGTGCTGTCAGCACAACCTTTGCAAAAATATTTTTCGTGTGCGCATTCGTTACAACGAAATTCTACCCCAATCACACCACATTCAGAGCATTTTTCTTCGTTAAGAAAAACTTCTTCTTCAATTCTTCCGTTTAACAAAGACTCTCGAATGGTTTGCCAGCCTTGAAATTCCTTTTCCCGTCTGTTCTGATAGTTTGTTGCATAAGCATGCTCTTCATCACAGTAACCTTCACCTTCATCAAACTCATACAAATTATGTCGTTCTATCGCACTAGAAGGGACATTTGTTGACTTTAATTCATTTGAAATACGATTTGAAGCTTTCAGAGCAATATTCTTCGTGATTTTTTTGCCACTCGTAGAGATAGATCGAACGCGAAGTTTGCAAGATTTGAATCGCTTTGAGGGGCGAGTAGCCATTTTGAACCAAATGTACGGAGCTGCACGGAGCTACACATTATCTAAAGAAACTGGAACCTAGTGTAACATATCTTGTAGAATGCGCGGAATACATTTTATTGACGCTTCGTAACGCATTTCTAAAAATTAGAACTAACGCTTTAAGCGTTTTAGAATTGGTGAAACGGGTGGATGAGAAAGATCCATGCATTGTAGCATAAAACACTCAGTAAGAAGCAAATTAAAAGCTTCAAATTTTCCTGATGTTACAGTTTATATGCTATGCTATAACATGGAACAGTCCATTTGTTTTAGAAATCTTTTTATCACTAAATTTGTCGCAATCTGGCACAGTGTTGAATATCGACTATAATCATAATATTTCCACTGAGCTATATTAGGTACACATCGAATGGTGCGCAGATAGTGTAATTCGAACGCAATCGAACAGAAACGAACAATGCATGGTGATATACAAAGATGTATCTTTAATATAACCACAAAGATCGTAGATAGGAATCGATATGATAAAACAAGTTGTTGATATTGTTGTTGCTGTTGTTGTTGTTGTTGTTGTTGTTGTTGCTATTGTTGTTGTTGTTGTTGTTGTTGTTGTTGTTGTTACTATTGTTGTTGTTGTTGTTGTTGTTGCTGTTGTTGTTGTTGTTGCTGTTGTTGTTGGTTTGAACTAAATAATATAATATACAAACATGCATGTGAATGTTGGCTCTCGTCTCGTAAATTGCAATTGCACAATATTAGACAAACGTAAGTCTTATACCTATTAGATACAAAAGAATTTTCACATAAACAAGCAATCGAACATTAAAGATAACAAATCTCATACATAAAAAAGATAAACTTAAAAAAACAAACCATGCTTTTTCTAGTAAGTAAAAAATGAATTAATTTATATAAGTTAAAAGTTAAAGCTGGATAGCGTGTTAGAACTGAATGTTTGCGAGACAATTTGATAGATATAAAAAAGAGGTTTTATCCGCACGCTATGCTGAAAGCTATACGTTACTAACAAAGGTTGTTTCAAAACCAACATGAACTACTTTTTGTGAATAAATCAATTATTCGTCTTATTCTTCATCCTAAGATACTTACTTATCAAAATATATTCAAATTTATTTGAGAACAAAAAACCGACGTAGCTAAAAATCCAAAACAAATTTAAATTATAGTGATTGCTAAATTCCCTCTTCAAAACAATTCTATATACCGGAATGTGAAAAATGAATGAAATTCGTGTTGCATATTTGAGGTTGAGACAACTTCTACTTTTGTAAACCTGTCATACGGCTTAAACGTCCTCCAATCATGCATGATCATGGCATTGGCAAATACATACTACGTAATTATTAATTATTATTGTTTATCTCAATTCTCCGTCATTTTTTCTAAAATCAAAATATCGAGCAGTAGCAGGGATGAACTCGCGCTAAGCCCTGAAAAATTTATACGTAAAGGAAAGTTTGCAATAAATTTCAAGAGCGTGGCGAAAGTGGGCGACGAAATGAAAAGGTTATGGTCGTCTACATTGGACAACAGTTTTGGCTTTCCATCTTCCACGCACGAGGAGCTTCGAATAAACTATTTTTTGGTTAAAGGATCCGAAATAGATTAGATCGAAGTACACCATAAGCATTTTCAAGTTCTCGATTTAAGTATGCTTTACGTCCCTCCTCCCCAACCCCCACCCCAAAAAAGTAATACACGCACTATTTACTCAAGATAGACGAGAAATCTTTCTGCAAACTTGATTCATTTCTTTTGTTACTTTTTAAAATCTTCACTCTTTTTGGCAGGAGAAATTTCAAAGAAAACTATGGGTTTCTTAATTTTTATTATTGTTGAAACATCAAGAAAAGCAACATGTAAAGTCATTAGAACTTCCATTTTTCTTTAAGAGTTTCTCACCGCAACTTTCAGCGTTGCAAGCATTTTTAAGGAATATTGACTAGTGGGGTTCAAGTGAAAGTAAGGGCCCATCGTCAAGACAAAGATAGAGTTAACTTAAATTACAACGATGTTTATTCACATTTTGGTCGCATTTATTGAGCAAAAGTAGTTTTTCGACAAAAAAACTAATAAGTAACTACATTATATAAAATTTAAAGGAATCCGCATTCACGCACAAAAGATTTTCTAATAAAATCTCTGTTTTGATAAACTTCCTCGTTTGGTACTTAATTGCATCCATGAATTGCAGGTCTTGGCTCAAAAACACAAGTCCCTTTTCTATTTTGCAAAACTTGCATGATTGAGTAGATTGTGTCTGGTTTAAGATGTTTTGTCAAATGTCTTGATATCGTTATAATGTGATACAGCTCCATCCGTTGCAATGCTGTGTGGTGTTTGCGTTGAGAATACAGAAAGAAACTTTTTAAGAATTGCATAGCTAGCGTGCGTCAGTTTTGTCGAGCGTAAAGCCTAAAATGTATCAACATTATTAATGTCAGCAACATGATTCTTACTGCTTATTTTGCCCATGACTCGCAGACATCATCAGCTCCGAAAATCTGGCTGAAAAGATATCTACTGGCAGTAATCAACTCTACAGGTAACTTTGCATTAAGGATTGCCTTCATGTTGCTTATATTAATATCTTCTTCAATATTCATTCTCTGATCAAGGAAGTTGATTGCAGATTCAATAATTGCCACAATTGACGCACAGTATTTTTTTGTCTGTACAATTCATACTCCTTATATGGCATTAACCTTGGAACTTACCGGCTTATGCTTTTCAAATTTGGTGAATGAAAGCACCATGGCTAACAACTTGAGAACATTCGACTCATTCCTGGCCTTTATATACACATCGTATGACTAGATTTCTATAACAAAGCCTATGATTACGGTATTCTCTTCAACGATATCGCTAAATTGTCTTTATGCATTGCTATCGCAGACAAAATAATTAAATAACCTGAAACTTTTTGCTCATAAAGCCTGGTTCTCAAATAGTCGTCCGAGTCGATTCATTCGTCGCAGTTGTTTCTAGAACACAAGCCAATAGAACAGAAATTCATCTACAATACTAAAAAGGCTCCATTGAGATGACTTGGACGACTATATGAGAAACAGGCTTTAAGTGATTCGGTCGTCTTTCATATAATCACGTCATCGCAAAGATATTCAACTCCGTTTCATTTTACAGTTAAACCAAGGGTATTTCCGTTGATTGATAGTTTGTATGTCAAAAATATATAATTATACCTAATTTAGTATGGGTTTTGATAAAAACAAAATGTCAAACTTTGGGTGACACAAAAATCCGTTCTCGTTTTTATCATCAATCGTTGGGGCTTGGGCTCTAGAAACAGAGGTGCTTCTTATAATTATCATTCGCAGTATATATCAACTACAAATCCATGTACGAAAATCGACGCAAATTATATTGTTATACAAACTTGTCAAAGGCCGTAGCTAGAACTTTAATGAGGGAGAGGAAGTTATTCATATACTCTGTCGTGTCCTAGTCTCGACCGATTTCTTTTGAAAGTTATTTGGTTTTCTGAAGAAATCAGTCGGCAAAAACTGAATGCATGAATAAACACGAGCAAAATTTCGGGCTCCCTAGAAAACGCGCAAAAATTTCTCATAATTCTTTTGAAATTCTAAAAATTGGTAAAAATTACTACAGGGCCTGTTCACACAGACACCAAAAGTGTCTGCTGGTATTTTTTCTCTTATTTTAGTGTTATAACCTTGCTTCGTGCTTGTAATCAAAAAGCCATAAAAACGACATTCAGGCAATTGGAATTAGACAAACACATTAATTTTCTTAAAAGTTCTAATTTTGAGGACAATACCTTAAAAGTGAGAACACTAACGATCGATTTCTCTAAGCGCATGCTCAATAAATATGACCGGTGTGACGGTTTTCTCGGGACTCGGGTGCAAGTGAGTATAGTTGCGTATGTCAACAATGTAATCATATCCTTTCGTATTTAGCCGGGTCGTTTGCATAATAAACAACCGGCTTGAAGAAAATCGATTCGTTTGCAATTGGTGCGCAGTTGCGCATCACAAATTGCAGTGAGGAAACATGGACGAGATGGACGATGTCAGTTTGGATTTTTTTAAAGAAATAGCGGAAAACGGAACTCAGGGTGAGAGTACAAGTTTTCTTAAAAAAAAAGTAATCATTAAAAATCAATTCCTCTGTTTCTAAATATTAGGTTGAAACTGTAGCACATCTGGACTATCCTATAATAGAAATATCGAAATATCAGAAAGGCTGCTGCAGAATCGCGGGCATTTAGGGAATAATTTTTTAAAATTCAGAACAGAATTGGTGGTATTTGCAAGCACAATACTATAATCACCTTAGTTTTTAATTCACTTTTGACATACGTCGTAAAAAATGCACAAAAGCTAAAGCTTTTCCTCAAGGTCTTGCTCTTATAGTACGCAGTATTTCCTTTAAATATAACGAAAAACATCGTCAGAAACATCTGTAAGGTTGTTCTATTCAGCAAGACGCTCGTTGCAACTATATTCTTTTTTCTGCTCTATCTGTTGGTGTACCAACCCTCAGTCGACGACTCTTCCAATCTTTTTATAATCTTTAAAATCATGCGGCATTCAATATTTGTTACCTCGCATTTCTGAGCCATGCATGTAGCTACACTACTTCAAAAGACAATGCGCTTTTCGGCAACATAGGCACAAGCAGTGCAAACAATTTGATCGGCGAAATTTTCATATAAATACGGGCATGATGATTCGAATATCGTTTCTTTATTTGATATCAGTTAAGAATATCGCTCTTATATTACGTGGAGATTGAACTTTTCCGGGTGTGTTGAACTAAGATCTATAAAAAGATCGATTAATTCGATTATGGCACTCGTCATATCAAATCAGCAAAGTATGCATTCGTGCGTTGCAAATGTCGTACTGTTTTATTTCTCAATTCTCTACTTCCATTGGAAATTAAACTCGAATTCTCTGACATTCACGATAAGCATGTGTTTTTGTCATCGTCGCCATTCAAAGTGCGCGTTTATTTATTTCTCCTATCCAAACGCGCCGTATCCGTTCCCCTATGTTTCATGGATTTTTTTACAGTGCTCATTGTGCTACGGTTAAATCGTTATGATATCGCTAAAAGTAACCAAGACTTTGAGATTACTGGCGTTTTTCCTGTAAATTCCGAGCAAAGCGAACTACTAAACCCGCAAACTTTCTTAGAAATAATTATATCTGCGCAGCATTTAATTAGTTTGCACTTTTGGTGGTTTGAAGTTGCTAAAGGATTTGTTTACAAATTAAATCATGTATTGCTATCTTGTTAGCGCTGTGTATCATTAGGAATCTGCATGTTGTCAAGAGGACATGAAGTGAGGTTTGGTGAACAAGAAAACAGGTCACTGTTTGTTCACGAAATATACATGTACTGGGATGTATGTGTGCATGCAGCGGTTCAGGGTCCACGCCGTCAAATGGAGAGAGACCATGATGTAATCCGTAACCGGCCACTCCTGAAATCGCTTCACACATAGAGCACGTGTTGTGCTGGCATGACAGAAAATGGCATTGCATTTTTATGTAGCATACATAAAGAGCACTATATTTCATCGCAAAGTCTCAGATACTCTTTTTGCTACACGTAGCACGGAATTTATTGCAGTAACCCAACATTCGTTGAAGGCTTTTTTTCGCACAACCTTTTTGCGGTGTTTTTGTGGTATCCTAATTGCTTATTATTTTTAAAGATGGCAGATAAGAACTCCACGTGATGTCACCGTCAGTGGCTTTTAATGGTTGTCGAAAAAACAGAAACCACACTATGTTGGACTTTGATTTTGCATGAGTGCATAATTAACAATTTATAACAGATGTCAATTGAAGTAAATGATGGACGGATCTCACCGCAGACCAGAAAGAATCGTTGTCATAGAATTTATGTTTTAATAGACACAACCGTGTTTACGTTTAACGTAAACATATTTTGCTGATTCTATTCAATCATCAATATAATAACATTGCTTCCAATTGTGACAATTAGAGTTTCAAATTTAACACGTCATCATGTTAAGAGGAATGCGTTGCCAACAGCGATAATCGAACTGTTTTTGTAATTGTAGACAACTGCTGTTTTATTTTTGTTATTATTGAGTGTCCATTATCAATAATTGTTATTTCAACTTTTGTGATTTTATTTTTAAGGTATAAGCATTGTCGACCATCTTAACTGGCAGGAACCAGTTGTACAGGTGGACAACAACTTATCATTCGACACGTAAGTGAGCTGTGTTTATACTGACGTTATCTTACTGTCTAGCATGTTGTACTTCAAAAGTTTCTATTGAAATCACTTGTGACTACGGACTATAACATATGAATTTAGACCACTCCCTAATGTCAATATGCTGCACTCCCCGGCTCGTATTCTAAAATTTCACGGAGTGCGAATAAGAAATTTCCCTTCCACCAAGTCACAGCAGTTTTAGTACAAAAGAAAAGACAAATACTGCAAAATAATCCACCATCATGTGACCTTAATATGGCCAATTCATTGAACAGTGCTTTGAAACATAATATTGTCTAAAACTAGCTATTTTTATAACAATCACACAAAAGAAAATACCGATGTTTTTTAGAAAAAAAGACATTAAATTGGCTAGGGAGTTGCCTGATACAGTCTGATGCTGAAATTCGAGTTGTTTAAATAACTTAATTTTGCGTTTTCACAAGAATATATATATGAGCTGCTCCACGCTCATAGTCAGAACGATAATTGGAGAAATGTGGGCAATGCTCATAAGTATATATATATATATTTATTTTATAATCCGCAAACAACAATTACCAAATTTTTAACTGAAAAGAGGATATGTCATCCAATATTAGTAAACCAAATACCAATACATAACGAAACAATTCTATTCCAGCTTCTCATCATTGGATTCTTCATTGCTGCCTCTAACCCCCCCTGGATCAGACCCAAATACTCCTACGTCGATATTTGATCGAAATTTTGATGTAACCATGGCAGGTAAGACACCTTCTCTGTCATTCAACGAAGCTTGGGAAGGAGGATACATCTTCACCCTCCCCTCCATAGATTTATATCCTTGTTTTCATACTCCTTGCGCAAGAGCATTTATCTATACCTCATACTATAACAAAGTTTTAAGATTGTCTCTGACTTAATGTTATAAAGAAGTAGAGATACAAAGGCAACATCAGGTTTACTTACACGAGACACGTCAGAGACGTCACGAGATGTATCGATGGGTTCTTAATAAAGTGGGTTGGAATTTTCGTGTGCAGTTGCTCATCATCATGAGTTATGTAAGATCTGATGTAATCCGTCTTTCGAGTAAGCCGATTTGAAACATTCCACAAAATCAGCTTATTTTTAGCGTGAGTAGGCGTCATTGTATTGGTATTGATTGCTATCTTGGTGACTGGTAGGAACAAACTCACTCATGTCGGACTTTGTACTTGTTCACATGGCCCATGCGTTGTTTGTGGTCATTTGATGACTGATCTATTTTATATAAGAGCATCTTTAGTGGTCACGTAGCAGACATGTGCACTTTGCGCAGTATGAACACTCCAATGTACCAATGTGCGACACAAGAGGTTCATTGTCTTTCTAATGACTCAATTTTCATGAATTGATTTTGCAAACGCTGATCTGGTTGGATTATAAATTTTGTCAAATAAAAAAAATGCTGTACAGTAGCTCCTGCCAGTAGCTTTGCCTGGTTAAATCTTCTTTAAAACAGTTTCTTATGAATTATTTCTTGTGATAGATGGCCAAGCATAAATATACGTTGAGATTCTTTAACTAAGCTAGCGAGTACGGCTGTATTATTCTTGAGTTTGTATTTGTATGCTTTTAGATTTCCCGAACGTCATACAATTACAATATGTCGTGATCACTGATCAATGCAATAGTATTGATATATCCTTCAATGCGTCCATTTGAGCGACCTTAATTTCTGCCATATGTAGGAGGAAACACATCATTAGGATTTATAGGGTCAATAATACATACGAATTTCGCTTAGGTAGCTCTTGGCACCCTATGCATTGCACAGCATTCCTTATTCTTAAATTGGTATTCGTAAATAAATTTTAATGTACGAGTTTGAGATTCCAAGTTTGAAACATCCTGTTCCGTATTTTATCAATGTTTTTTGTTGCATCCGAATCTTACATAAGCTCATAACAACAAGAGGCTCACTAAATTGTCTAAATATGTAGCTCTGTAAAATAATCTCCCTAGATATGGTTTATAATGTCTCTCTGGTGTAATGGAGTAAGTTAACGTTAAAAATGCTTTTACTAGATTCTGGACAAACCTGTTTAACTGACGCACCAGAACTGGAACGCTATCTAAGACGGACTAAGTGAGTACGCTCATATTGCAAGTCTCATGTCGTACCTGTGGTTTGATCGTTTTTTCTGTGTGCTCACTTTTTTTGGGAATGCTACAAATACGATGATCTTGCACTATATGGATCCTTTTCTTTGTTAAATTAGTTTAGCCGGTATTTCCTGAGTTTCGAAGCAGACAATTTACGAGTTTAGATCATGTTCACGCGTCGGCCTGAAGTATAACAATAATCTTCCTATCAAAACAAGATTTCATCGCTTAATATTAAAGATAGCGTTGGCTTCGAAAGGTCTATGATAGGTCTGAAATGAAATCTGCAGAGAGACGTAGCTAATATTGCTAAAATTAGAAAATGAGGTGGAATTAGAAGATATTTGCGAAGAAACGTTACCTTCAGATGCATGAAGAATGATATTTTTGAATTCAACAATCAGTATTGAACGAAGAAAAATATTTAGTTATTTTACTTTTAGTCCTCTGCAAAGCAAGGACATCAAACGTAAAGTCTCCACTGAAAGCGAAAGAGAAGATGTCAAACCGATGAGATTGAAAAGCATTTCTCAGAGTGGGTGACTTTTCGTTCTTTCATTATTTAGTTCGCGAAAAAGAGAGAAAGTGTTCGCAAAACGTGTCATGTGAAATTAAGAAAACGTAATGAAGCCGACTGTTTGCGTTCTAAATTCACCAAAAAGCCTTGAGCGATTCCCATGTTGTACTCTCGTCATAACACTTAAAGTGCCTGTATAACCCTCAGGGAAATAATCTATGTAGATAGAATGGATCATTTTAAGAACATTTGAAATATATTTTATTAGAAGAAAGTTGGTTTATCCTTGACTTTTTTGGCCTCAAAGTTGGCTTTTTGGTGTTTGGCCGTGAGGTGCTATGATCAATCACCTAGAATCCAATTTACTAGATGACTGACTCCGCCAATAATGTGTAGTAATGAGTGAGGCAAACCGCCATCTTGAAAGGTGGTAAAACTGACAATATTTACGAATAATATCTGCTTTTGCTAAGTTGATATAGAGTTGCAAAGTTCATAGTTTAGATTTAATTCTTCAAATGTTTGATAGGACGGGTTTTTTAAACTTTGCTTTAACTTACTTTTCATTTTGAGTTTTACTTTTTGCCACCTTTCGAGATGGCGTCCTTGCCTCACCTTGACACGGTAGTAAGACATCTAGAAGACTGGGTTCTAAATCAATGGCTGTGACTATGTCTAGTTATTCGGACGTGACGTACATTATAGAGCACGCTGCTTTTTGAGGGTATAGTTTATAAAGACATTTGTAGCAAAGTCGAGGAATATATTTTTATTAAACTTTTTTTGTATTGTGCTCTTTGTAATTGAATCACACTATAATTCCACGGCGTTAAAAAGCAGTGTATTCTCCAATGTACGTCACGTCTGGTGAACTAGACCCAGTCATTGAACCTCACAGTCAAACACAAAAAAAGCCAACTTCGGCGCCCAAAAAGTGAAGGACGATTAAATTTTCGTTGGATAAATTATATTGCATTAAAGTCATCGATTCTATCTAAATAGATTATTTTCCTGAGGGTTATATAAGCACTTTAATCTCATTATTCCAATTGCACAAAAACCATATGAGGCACTCAAGATCTAAAATGAAATTACGATGTTCATAGAGGGATACAAACTTCCTGAAATAAGTGTTTTGTAAGCCGTTCAAAGTACAGTTTGACGTGTACGAATAAAAAGAATGCAGAACGCCTCTTGTCACACGTTGGTTCTTCAAAAATATTAATATTTTTGGTAACTATTTCATTTTCAGGTGATTCGGGAGAATGTCCCCAAGCACAAAATAAAAGAGCAATCAGATGGACTAAATGTGATACAGAAGAATGGCATAAAATATACGAGTCCTCTGTTCAATCGTAAGCTCGTTTTTTACAGAAATCGATCGCAATGGACGTTGTTTCAACGCAAGCTTTTTATTTAAACTTCCATTAAGCAGTTTTTTATCTTTTTTTATGCTCTCTTTGGTAGGGAAGAGCCATGTCTTCATATCACCTGTGATAAAGGGTTATCTTTTTCCCCGGCAGAAAGTGTTTTCATCTGCCAGAAAAAGAATCATTTTCAGGTTTGAAAGTTGTTGTTATAGTTTTCTCAAAGATTGCTATATGAGCAGATGCAAAAGCATGCAGTTTTTTTTTCGCCAGTCCTCAGCTATGAAGTGTTTGCATGTGACGTCAAAGCGGCCTTGTTGGGGGAGTACATCAAAGTGCTGATGCTAAAAACAGAGCATGAAATTAACAGAAATTGTTTTCATTATATGCGATTTCCCCCAACGATGGCAACTGATGAAAACACTCTATCTGATAATCGTAAGCGTTTCATACAAAATGGTTTTATCGAAACACTACACAGAAAGAAAGCTCCCCTCTAATAAACAAATTATTATAAGTGCTTAATGAATGAGATTTAGCGAGCCCCAGAAACGCCAATTGTGATTAGCATGTTTTCATTCGATAATCTGTGTATGACGGCTACCATGGAAAATAAATTTGCTGAATAGTGAGTAATAATGTTATATTACTTTTCAATGCTAATCTTGAAATAGGGTGTTTTTGAATTCAAGAGACGACACGTACTTTTTTAAAACACGAGCGACCTCATTCTATACTTAGCATTTAGCAAATCACCTTAAGTCTATTACTTAGTGCTGCGTTAAATCATCTGAAATCATTGACCTCAAATACAAGAAACGCTACCTGAAGCAATGAATTGAAGTCAACTCTTACACCCAAACACGCAAGATTACACCAGAGTGAAAATTGATTGAACTACGCACGCGTGGCTGGGGGTAATCTCGCGTGGCTGGGTGTAAGATTTGGCTTGAACAAATTATCAGGCTTTTCTATTACAGGCAGTATTCCATGTATTTTAGTTCAATGTCTGGAATAGATTAATTTAGAATTTACAGCAATATATCTGGAGGAGAACTTTGTTCTTGTGTTGTCTTTATATATCTAGATTGAAAAATATATTCGCCTATACATGAGCGATTCTCCCGTTGTGTTCGTCATTGACGCACTAATTATATTTTATGTTTGGGATTAAGAGTAGACAATAATCAAGACCTAATAAACAATTGTGTCTTAGAAAACTTTATCTGAAAACATATGCTGTTGTAATTATTTTACTATTTCGTGAGAGGTACGACAGCAAATGTGCAACGTCCCGTGACGTGTGTGACCAGCATGGAAAAATTTAAATTTAAGTGTAAGCTCTTCGCACAAATGGCACACTCTGTGAACTTTGATACCTGCATCAAAGTAATCCAATAATCCTCATTTAATGATTGCAATAATCCTCAACTGAAACAGGCATTTTCAATATTATAACACATGATATGTTTTCGTGCAGGCTAAACTTCAAAGAATTGCCCAATTGCAGACTTTTAATTTGAATTTTTCGTTTCAGTTCTGGCATTTCTTTTGCGTTTTATAAATATTTGCAATTTAAAATTCTGTCGGTTACGATTTACAAATTTTTGTTGCTCCTGATTTACATATACAAAAGCCAAAAAAGGATACGTTACAAGAGAAAACAATTTTGACAATGGCATAAAGATGGTCAAAATGGCTCGTTTCCTGGCAGAAAAATGCCAGAAAAAGAACCATTTTCAACCATCTATATACCATACAATTACTTCTTATAAACTTCATTCTTGTTATGTGCTGGTTTGTTTTGTCCACTTTTGTTCTTCCCGTTAAAGGGCATATGACTAAAAAATTATACTACTCAAATTATTAATTATTAATTATTAATTATTAAATTATTAATTGTTTCATTTAACAGAACTTTGAAAATGATAGTTTTCTTTCTAAAACAATTTCTGAATATCTCTTTTCATTACGGAAATATTGAAGTTTTTGTAATGTCCGATCCATACAACTTTCTACGTCATTTTTAATATCTTTTCCCAACATCTTTTATATTCAAGTCCACTTTTGGTTGAAATAATTATGCAATTGTTTATACCATGAGCTCTTCACAATTTTGGGAACTCTGAACGGTTGAGGTAATATATCGGCAAATATACCTGCTATTTCAAATTCTCATTATGCAAAATGACGTAGAAAGTTGTATACATTGGACATTACAAAAACTTCAATATTTCGGGAATGAAAAGAGATATGCACAAACTGTTTTAGAAAATGCACTGTCATTTTTAAAGTCCTGTTAAATGAAACTATAATTTCATTAGTAAAATTTTTAACTTATGTTACTTTAAATATTTGCATTCGATTTAAGCCATTTTCCATTTCTTTACGACAATGTAGATTTCTTTAAATCTGGAAATGGTCTTTGGAAATGCAACTCTTGTTGAAGTTGATGTAAGTATATCCAAGTTATTGATCCCTGGTACAATTTTGCAGCATAAAAATCAACAAATGATACGATTTTTCAGGGTGCTTTTGAACGCGTAAATTTCTGCAAGATTCATCTATACGCTTTAAAGGTACAATAAAATATTTTTTCTCAACGCATTGTGCACTTTTCTTTTTTTTGTCTTGAGGGTCTTCACGATATAACGTGTGTCTTCAGGGTAGTTTATTCATGAGAAGCAGTTTGACGGTCAAGTTATAAATCAGTAGTCGTATTATCACTGGATACGGAAATTTTTTTCGTTTAATGAACGTCCTATTTTGGCGGCACTTCAAACGTGATACCAATTTATGTCCATCCTCATTTCCAGGCTGAATCTCCTCAAAAGAAGGTTAACATTGAGCAGTCCAGTGCCGATAGATCAAAACGGCCTTATGTGCCAGTAAGGTACGGCATAGAATGAGTTTTCCAAACTGCTGACTACATGCAGAGACACCAAACAGGCGGAAGGGCATTGCGGGAGATATTGTCAGCGTGAAAACGTTTTGGTGCGCATTCATCTGCATTCAATATTGTTGTCTGTATCAATGAATAAGCACCCCGTGTAGTGGGATCTTTGTTCTCCAGAGAAATGCCGGTCCCCTGCGTCGCGCTTGCACTTATCGCATGGAAAAGAAATTTTATTTTAGTTTAAATGAACTTGTGTCAAACAGAATTACATTTTTTGATGCACATTCCATCACGCAGCCTTAGCCGAAAAACACACGGTTAGATTATTAGAAGTAGGTTAAATTAAATTATTAGTTAAATTATCAGAAGTTATTAACAAGCGACGACATCAGCTTATCTGTAATTCTCATCATTGCGTTGATATAAATTGTTATTGAATAGAATTCCCAACGGATCCTCGACGAAAACGCTGACGATTGGTCGATTACATTTCTGGTGAGTTATATTTCAATTGAGTGAGATGAGAATGTAATATTATATGATAATACTTCCTACCTCTCTCTAATATATACCGTACACGGTCAGTCAAGGTACATACGTCTGTTTGCACGCACGCTATTTATTGGTCAAATACAATTTTATGGTCGTAAGCAAAAATTTTCTATGTGAGAAATCTATGCATTTTCTAAAACATAATGTCGATTTCAGCTTTTGTCCACCAGCTGTCCATTCTAATAATAATGATCATGTGATATTGAGGAAACTGTTCCATGAATTATTTCTTTATACAAGTTCTCTCTATATATATCTATATATATTATTTTATAAACGTTCTCTGTGTTTTACATATAATACTTGAAATAATTTTTGGAAAATCTATACGAATCTCTCATTTTGTTTCATACATCTTGCGTTCCATTGTGCTCAATTGCATTTTATTGTGCTTGTCATGCATTACAGTTGAGCTATTCGCAGCATTTTCGCTGCAATTCTGAAGCACGTTCATAACTCGATTTCATTCCATGATGGCAGTTGCTGTGTCGGGTTTAGTAGAAAAGTACGAATGATTTTTTTATCTTTGTATAGTGAAACGACCTCAAACAATATGCGAAAACAGGGCAAACTAAATCCAGATCAAAGGTAGAAATTTCAATATATAATTATGTTCGTTTGAATAAGTCTGAAGACAAAAAATAAGAACAAGAAAGTGGATAAACCCATTTAAAACTTTTCCAAATCATGATGATATTTCCGATTTCCATGATACGACTTTGCTTTGGTTTTTAAGCTGTCAAAACCTTGTCACAAACTAATTTAATTGTATATCTTTGCTTTACGATAACACGAAAACAGTTACGGCAAATTTCAAATGATTTTTTCAGTTGGTTTTTATTTCATTTGCAAGCACTCTTCTTGGCTTGCAACCAATCATTTGGAATTTAAGTGTCCCCAGCCAGCTTTGGATGATCATGCGCAAATGCATGCATTGATAAATGCTTGTATCGGATCTCCAACATGCATGGCTAAATAGCAAGTCAAGAATGTCTAAAAGAAGCGTAGCGTATGTACTAATTTCATCTGGTACAGTATTTTTAAAATGGCTTATTTGAAATAATGGTACAAATAACTACCCAATGAGACTCTCAGGAGTACATAAGCTAAGGCATAAAATACATTTCTAGGTATAATTCCCTGCTTTGCTTTCTTTAATGAATTTCGGTGTGGGTATAATCATATATCTTTGCTCTTACCGGCTCTATGATTGTTGTTATGTTATATGCTGTGTGGCATTCACCAAGAACTAGAACAATGCTTATTTGTATGCCGCGTACCTTCAGGTTCAGTTTCCTGGGCCAGTATAGCTACTTGAACAAAATCGACGATGTTCACTTTTGCTCTGGGAAACAGCTGAAAGGATTATAGCTAAATAACAAATAAAAGTTTCAGTCATTTGCTTTTGTCTTAGAGACCAAAGGCACTCTATTAATTTTTGTGATGTATAACCTTATAAATTCAAGAAACCAAAATCATTCCCTTTGCTTTTCTCGTCGTCTGCAACAGCTCATCGCTGACCTTTTTGTCGTTTGAACGAGCCTTGCATCGCGCATGTCTTGTTTATATTTGTTGGGTGCCTGCGACTCTAGGGCTAGGCTATCCCGTGAGGTAGCAGTGCCTGGCACGCATACTTGTAAGAAAAGTCACGAAAGTTCTTTGAATGCATATGATTCGCTTTTTTTCTGTGGAATATGGCACAACATTCTAGAACATTTCCACGACGAAACGTTTGATCTTTTCTCAACTCGAGCGTTTGCGTTTTCGAGATCAATTGTGGCATTCATGTGCCAGCTGGCATAGTTTTAGTTTGAATCGACGTAATATCGAATTTATCTTGGGTACTTTCTAACAATTATGTATAAGGGCAATAAATTTGTGAATAGTTGCATTCGTAAACGTTTATTTATTAAACTAAAATTTATCGAGGGTACTTTCTAACAATTATGTATAAGGGCAATAAATTTGTGAATAGTTGCATTCGTAAACGTGAAGAGCAATTTTAGAACAGATTTTCTGCTAAGTTTTGTCAATAGTAAATGCAGTAAGGGTTAGAGATTACTTTGTGTGCTTGTGTGACAAGCATGTTTACAGTGGAAGGAAGCTGTAGCACACATTTAATTGGTTTTACTATAATGGGCGTTGATTTTCATCGAGGTGCAGTATTTCAGTAGAAAAACCATTTCATGCCGGAGTGGGTTTCATATCACGAAGCGTTTTAGACACATTCATCTTGGGAATTTTTGAAAAAAATACGTTTTCAGGGTTATTATTACATAATTAAACTTGTATTTTGTGTCTTATTGTACCAGGAACTCGTGCAGTTATTGTTCATGTTTTTCACATCAGCAAATTGATCCGTATACACATACATACATACAGACGTCATTTATGAGTTAGCTGCTAATGCTAATTGGATATTGACGCAAATTTTTAGAAAAAAAATACAAAATACTTGACTTGTGAAAAAAATGAATTCGACTCTCGCGCTACCCGCATTGCTTTCATATTTTAAACGAAAATATTTTTCGTTTTTGAATTGCTGCTTTGTGCCTTGTTCCAGTCTTCTTTAAATGAATCATTCGTTCAAGGAATCTGTCGCTTAATCTTACGAAACCATATTGTATCTTGTATATGGATGTAGGTATTTTCAACTTGTTGTTGATATCCGTGCGTACACGAATGAAGGAAATTATTCCATATGTCGACAGGTTTCCGAAAGAGTTATTGTGAGGGTGAGTCACTCGTTAAACTAGCTATATTAAGTGTTTTCCAAGATACGCAGTTTCGCTGTTTCTTATTTCCTTGTGTTCTGATCAACATTATCAGTTCTAACTCATGCAAATGAAGTAGGTCGAATAGAATTTAAAGAAATGTTTTGGAAGATCAAAAGCTATTGACCATATGAAATTTTGAGCCAAGTTTCCTTGGACAATCTAGTGACATAGACATTCCATTCTATATGCTAAAACAAAATAAAACAGATTCCGAAAACAGACATCTCATTTTCTTCATATTCAAGATGATACAAGAGTTTTAGACAACAGATTGTGTAATATTTGGAATAAAGACGAAATATTACACAATCTGTTTTCTAAAACTCTTGTATCATTTTGAATATACAGAAAACGAGATGTCTATTTTCGGAATCTGTTTTATTTTGTTTTATTTAAATTGTCTGCTTGTCCTGGTTATTCTATATGCTATAATGCGTTTTCTTCAGGGAAATTTTTTTCATGTTTAGAACCTTTTTTCTCTATGCATGTCCAATATAATTGAACTATTAGTTTTATATACATAATAAGTTCTTTCACGTAGAGCTATTTGCTGAGGATGCAGGATTACTCATGTACGGGTTTTGTCAATTCATTTTTTATCAAGGCATCAAATCCGGGGCAATTCGAAAACGATGTTGCTCTTTGGTGCAAAGACAAGAGTGGCGATTGTGTTTACAGAATGGTATGTTGAACTATTGTTATGTACATCTTTGAAACGATTGCGTGATGATTTTCAATGATCATAAGTAATGGAGTATAGGGTGTTTAAAAAACTTGAGGGTGGACATAAAGAAAGTTATTGGTACGAAGTTGAATTTGAATTAAACGATAAACATGCTACCTAGCTTTTTGCAGTCATTCACCGCGCTCTATCATAATAAATGAGAGTTAACGATCTCACCACGCAGTCGACGTATATAGTACCGCAGAAATCGATTATGAAGACGTCTTTCTGTGAGTACCGCCATGCATTCGTCAGGTGCCGCTGGGTTTTAATGCGTATGATTACAACACTCATGCGTAGATAAAAACAAAATAAGTCGTTGAACCTTCTTTCCTCATGTATATGAAATTACATAGAAAAAAACAACCCGCTTAGAAACTTAAGTCGTATATATCTTTTGCTATGAGCAGCGATTTTAAAGTTTAAAGGACGAAACGCTAAGTATAATGATGTTGTAAAATGTAGACTCTTAAATGAAGTTTTGTTTTTCTCTCTGGAATGATCGGGCCTTTAGAGTTTCGATCATATTTAGGTGCCTTATATCCTGAACTTTATATTTCGTTGTTTAGAATATGTATCATCTACAATCGAAACAACGTTTGTACTTTATCTTAATAGGGGCATGTCGGTATCAACACAGACGAACCAGATCAACCCCTGACTGTAAATGGAAATATAAAATTAACTGGTGTATGGCTAACACCATCTGATGTTCGACTTACCGAAGGTATCCTTCAGGTAAAGCGCAAGAGCAGTATTGTATATGTCGGTTTTGTAAGAATGTAACGACGTCCTAGTTTTCTGCCTATGTATTGAGCACGATAACATTCTTGAAATCAACTTTAATTTTGATCGTCAAAGATAATTCCATCCGATTACAAGCCTTTGACATATGATTGAAAATAGCATATAGGTATTGATCTCAGCCTCCTTTTCAGAGTCAAAGTCTTTTGAACTCGATCGGGGTGGATACTAAAATGATAAATGGCTCATGTGACCTATAACAGGCTTTTGATTGCTGCCAAACGTGTTTCTGTCAGCCTTATCAGCTTGCGTGTGTGAACTCAATGATCACAATGTTGCTTCGTGGTCATTCCACAATATTTAAGCGAATTCCATGCGAAGCTTTGCAAAAATTTCTTCTTAGTTTTAAGGTGGCAAAAACAAACACAAATAATTGGAGATAGCAAAAGCCACACATGAAGATTCAATAGTTCTTTGAATCAGATGCCTTACGAATCACTTTTTTCGAGACGACAAATTATTGAAGCGAGCATTTTTAATATAGGCGGACACTCGTAAAAACTTGGACAACATCAACAGCATGAAACTGTATCGATATCGCTACAACAAGATGTTCCTACAACACGCTGGCCTTGCATCCGAGAAAACTGATGAACATTTGGGAGTATTGGGAAGTGATCTTCGTGCCATGATACCAGACGCTGTTACCGAGAGCGTAAGTCTATGAATAACCGGATCTTGTTTATCTTTTAACCGCTTTAGTTTTAGCTTTAACCGCTTTTGACCGCACCGTCACGCACGTATTTAACGATAGCGTGTTGATGGGTCACTTGGGTTGGAGCCTTTGATGTTTTTGCCTCACGCATGTTGTACCGCCCATATTGGCTACAATTATTCCAACAAAATATCTAGGGTTTTTTACTTGTTCCAAACCACTAAAATGACCCAACGTTATTTCTTAAGTTGCAATATTTTCGATTTCATAACGAAGAAATGACGTCATGTTATTGCAGTGGTTGAAAACAAATGAAAAACCCTAAGTTTATCTTGCTGGAATAATGGTGACCGATAACCTTTGCCGACTATCCTTGGCCAAGTCACAGGCTTATGACCGATATATTGTCAGTTTAAAGGTTGAAAGGAAAAAAATATTTCCCTCCTAATATTTCAAACTTGCCTAAACCTGTTAAACTTGTCTACGTCAAGGACATGTGAATGGAAGGAATATCGCAAACGGTTTGGTATGAACCGTATGATTGTGTGTATGTTATGGTTTAGCCCATGCCTTGTAGAGTTTGTCGCTATCAATTTATATCAATTACTGAGCGTACACGTACAATATTATTGTATATTTTGGGTGTATTATGGTTAGGTAATGGTTTGAGCATGACCACGTGTGTTCTATGGTATTTAGAGCTCCGAGCATTAGATAGAAACTCACGAGGGAGAAGCCGGAATAAGTTTATATCTAATGCGAGAAACTTTAAATTCCATGGAACAAAAGTGATCATTCTCTAACCGTCTTAGAATATGGCCAAGCTACGAGAGTGTTTATTTAACCTCACTAGTATTTTTATTTATAGTATACTAATAAACTATTGTTCTCCATTGTTTTTACTCAAGATGCATTTTATTTGAGCTTTCTAGCCAACAGCACTTCACGAGTTTTAGGCACTATGAGATATAGAACATCAAAATATAGGATGTTGATTGGCCGAGTGGCTTTGGCTATGTTCTCAGCAACGAAAGACTTGATTATTCTGATGATCAATCATCTCATTGTCTGACCTAGCTACAAGATGATTATTAGTTCGACTCCATTTCTACGTTTTTTCCTTATTGCAGACTGATATCCCGCTGCGAGATGGAAATGTCCTTAAAGATATTCCAATGATCAATAAGGTATGTCATTGACAATTTCACAACGTTCAGTGACCTCAAGTTGAAAAGCAGGTCGGTCGATTTTTAACGAAGGTCTTTGATCGTCAAAAATCTTCGTGGGAGCTCGTTTTTTCAAACACTGCACGCATTCCAAAGATAACCACAAATATTGTGCTAAGTGTGGATTTGTGCTTTAAGACTTCGTGAGTCAAACAGCATGTATTAGCTGTTGTTGACTGCAAATTATAATGCGTAACAATTAGATGAATCAATTTTCCATTAGGAAAAATAAATTCTCAAACGCTTCTGCCTTTGTGTTGTGTTATTAGAAAAATTTTACGACAGTGTGCAACAATGACGTAGTCTTAGTATGGTATAAATTTTACTAACTTAAAAATTATTTGTCTCTGAACAATAAACATGAAAATTTCTCAACTTTAATTGGTATGTAGAGCATTGTAATATATATTTGATAAATACTAGTGCCAAAAATAGAAAATCTCCATGTCCAATAAGGGAAATATCCGGGCGAATTTGTTTATATGATATTTTTAACAATGCTCCTGATAGATGAGTATATATAACAGTCAAGTACATAGAATAATACAAGGCAATAAAATAAAACATTTCACAAGTTGCAAATTGAAATTATTACAAACCAAAGCAATTAGAATGTCTGGCATAAGTTTAAGTAGATTTTCTTTTGCCACCAAGTCCATAGTTCACTTGTTTTGGCTACGTGTGAAAGCTATGGAGTTGTGAAAAACATAAATGACGAAATTGAAAAATACGAGCTAAATAAATCGCTGAAATGTTCCTACAGCGTAGTTAAAGATTAACAGAATTGAGAATTTTTGCCATGTATATTATTAGTAAGTAATAGCAGTGTCTCACTTTTTTTCTTCTAATTTGCACTCGAAACCATACTATTACATATAGTTAAAACCCTCATAAACCATTTTTGTCAACAGGACCGATTGCTGATGGAATCAATAGGATCTATCCAAGAACTTTCAAAAATTGCAGTGAGTTGTAAATCTTTCTATTTTCAAAATATTTCAAACTAGTTTCCATCGTATTGATCACCTTTGATTGTAAAATGACGAAAGAAGAGTCATGTTGATAATGGTTTGGTTTACTAACACGACACATGCGCATTTTTATTTTAGAAAGTTTTGACAACTCGACTGGTTGAGTTGGAAACCAAGAACGAGATTTTGGAAGTCATTTTGAAAAATATGGTTTCTGAATCCATGGAGACAACTTAGCATTTAAAGAAAATTGAAAAACTAAAAATTTGGTGTCATTTTTGTATCGAATGTGTCATCAAAACATGGCGTCGCTTGAACAGTTTTACTATCTGTGGATTTAAGATGATTTTCGATATAACGAAATTTGAGGCATTTGATTTAAATTAAAACTTCCAATCGTTTCTTTTACCACTATGTCTACTTATTTGCTTTGTAAATATGTAAATAATAAAAAGAGTTATTCAACTTTAGCAGAGAAACACTACATACTTGCATTAGGCTAGTTTAGATCTTCAAATAACAAAATAAAGAATACTTTTTTTACAAATTAGCAGCGGTCGGAATCCCACTGTCGATCCTGCTTTCTGTTTGTCAATAGCAGGCGGCGTAGTTTCTGACCGCGGTCCGCGGTCATTACTTTTATGTTTGGTACAATAACTACAAAAATTTTTCAGATATGCACATTCAACCATTGCTAATATAAAATTTCTGTCTAATTCTAAAGGAGAGCATTTTTTACCGGTTGTATTTCATTCAATTCGTCCACTGATTAATTTTCAACCTCTAGTAGTGCAACATTGAAGGAGCGTTTATTCTAGAAATTTGGCAAAATGAATAGTTCTTTTGTGACACATCTGTCATCTTTGTTTTGAAAACAATGCAAGTTTCATCACCATGTTCAAATAAACCGTTTGGATACAAAGGTTGTCAATGGTATTCGTGAAGCAAAGAGCGTGAAGGACACTGACAATGACGACTTCATCGGTGAAACTATTCAAATCTCTGGGATGAATCGATCAAAAGAAGAGTGTTGTGACTAAGCACTATGTTGTTATAATATCTCTAATGATCAAATGAAGCACAAAATAGTTTTGCTTCAAAAAGCAGTTTTCAATTCATTATAAATGCAATTTGCGTTCAGTGAAGGTAAAAAGAGTTTGGGCGTTTCAACTTAAAAATATGTATATGTGGATTGCAAGTTACGTCACGGCAGCCATGTTGGTGGTCAAATACAAAACAATATTTTATTAATGCTTTTGTGGGCACCAGCCGTCGTGGACGAACCACATTGTTTCAAATTTCCCTAGAGAATGGTTGCAATCCAAGAATTTTAGTACGTTAGAGTCTCGAAAGTGGCCTACTTTTAAAATTAGTGGCTCCGGTGGCGGCTGTATCCGGGGAAGCGCTTAGTTTCGAGTTATTATTTTTAGATTCTAAATCCACGCTTTATGAGCTGTATTTTTCAATGCATTGTGTAAAGTTGCAGTAGTTGACACAAATGCACAACGTTTAATTTGGATACAAGTGTAAATGTCAAAGGGTTCTTAGAAGTTTTATGAAGATGCTGACCACCTTTGAGGGGGCAGCCGCTTTAGAAATTTTTGAGTAAAGACCCATTCACACTATAAGATTTGTGGGATCCTAAAAAACGGATCGTGTGGACACATACAAAGCGAGCTTCCAAAAGTCCATCAACCTAAGAAATCGTATGAAAATAGAACTTGCTCTATTTTTGGTGTGCAAGCTGAGCCATAACCGGCACGTTTGATGATTCGATTATGACAAAAGATTTTTCTTATTTGCCATGCAACTTTCATTTAACATGGCAAACATTCCATTGCTCTCCTGTCCTTAGTGGAATGGTTGCCCAACACATATTTTCATCCGACAAGAAGCCGACTACTCAAATTACATAGATTAGACAAAGACTTAGAAACAAGAACAAAAATACAAAAAATATATCGATAAATGTACTAGAATATAAATATCTAAACGAATATAAATATCAACAAAATTATCGGACCGTCTGAACAAGCAACCAAAGGTCTGGTACCGAAACAATCGGATCAGACAAAGCGGATCGTGTGAACGGGTCTTAAGTGTTAAAACAGGCAGCTACTTTTGTGGGGGTAAGGATAACTTTGAGACTCTACGGTAATGATAGTAAGGATGAAAATCATCATACACAAGCAGCCGCTGAAAAATTGTTTAAATATATTGAGTTATTGAAAGGCTTTTCAAGCTTTTCAAGCTATATCCTCTTTATACAGGGTGACCCAAAAAGATTCGTACCCATGAAAATTTCAATTATGGCTTCAATTAAAAAGCTATTTATTTCAAATTACAACCACACATCATTCAGTTTATGGAAGACTATTCACATGAGTTTCGGCTATTTCTGTCAATTTTTAGTCAATTTATGGCTTTCCCAAGATGTGTTCCAAATGTCCACCATTTCGTTGCAAGCAAACCTGTACTCGTCTGGCAAAGTTTTGAATCACTTTTATACACTTCTCTTTCAGGATGGCTCTTATTTTTGAAGAACTTAAAACTGCCATCACATTTCAGTCATCACATTAGAATGCATAGCGATTGGCAACTGTTGACAATTATATAGCACGATTGATTATATGGCAACCATGCAGTCTTGACCAGATGATCGGAATTCTTGATTTGCCACTAACTTTTGGAATTCAGCAAACAATGACCTTCGCCCGCGTCGGCTGAAATCTTTAATGGCATCCATAAATTATTCTTGTGTAACAAACCGCCAGCATGCATGGCTGACAAAAAGCATCCATCGATTAAATCGATGTCTCAACTAATACTTAATACGAATATTATCCATGATATGTGTCAACAACATTGTCAAACTTAATTCCATCGGAATCGATTCACGAGCATTTGTAAAGCTCTGCATTAGTTCTCCAGTAAAAGCACAACAAGCATCTTATTTTTGTCTAAATTCGACGAAGACAATTAAATCAATGTCTTTAGAAATGCAAATTTTTTCCAACAAGAAATATTTTGTTATTAAAACATTATTTAGCGGTAGGTACTCTACATGCCTGTCTTAGCTGAATTCGATTGAAACTTTGCTAATAAATTGAATTAAATTGCTTTCACAAAATGACTTTGGATAGGACACTGACGCTAAACTTGTGTTTGATCGTAATACTTGATGTTGTCATTGCCGTTCCTGAAACGATTTCGGCTAATCGTCGTATTACGGATCGCTTCCGCGTTGGCAATAAAGAATGTACGAACCCTAAGACAAGTAGAAGAAACCTTTGCCCGTGTCCTGCTTTATTTGAACGTGATGGTTTGTGTTTGTGCATTAACAGTGCAGCTAACTTCTGGAACTCGTCTTCTGAAAGCCCCTTTACGACTGTAACGTTTGGAAATTTCGGCATTGAAAAAGCTCTCATACAAGGAAGTAATTGGGATAGAGGCGGTGAGTCCTTTATAGTAGCTGTTGAACACATCGTTTAGATAGGCTGTTTTACATGTAACTCTATTTTCTCTGAAGTCACGCTAATGAAATGAATATCATTCACTATTTCTCGATGTGCAAAATTATCTTACAAAACCGAAAGTGAGCTGATAAGCCCTTAATGCCATGGAGAGTTCGTGTTCAAACCACCCTTACAACACCAATTGTGGTAGTCAAAATATGTTTAAACTGTTTGTGATTTTCTTTAAAAAACTTTTCAGAGCTTAAACGAGGAAAACCTCATCCAAAATTTAGTTTCTGAAAATACAACAATTGAAAAGACAAAATCTTAAAAAACTATAGAAACTATCATTCCACTGTCCGCCCTGCAGCTAAGGCCTCCTGGTCCAACTAAAGAAAATTGTCGCTTATTGGACTTATTTTCCCAGGATTGTAGCTAAATTGTCAGTTTGGTATATTTGTAACGTTTTTATTAGTATTAGCCACAAAAATATTTCAACTGTCTGGTATTTAAACGATTCAGAAGCAATTATGCGTGAACTTGGATGCATATGAAACAGCACAAATATTTTTCTATGCTCAATTTTTCTAGGTACTTGCTGGAAACGGGGTCTCTGCCGAAATTTTTTTGTAAATTAAGCCAGCTTTTCTCTTCAAATACTTTAGGCATGGGAGAAAGCTCGGTTGTTGTCGAAATCTTGTTGTTTGCGCAAAAGGTTTCTTGCATTCTTCAGGTTTTGTTAACGGACATTAAACTTGGAGCATGGCATTGAATAAATTTTTTGTTAATTGTAACCTTTCGTCGTTAAATTAACAATTCTACGTAAACCACATAGTGTAATAATATCTCAAGACGAAACGCTCTAATCAACAAAAAAATCGTGTTCATTCACATGATTGAAAGTTTTGGGGGGCAATTATATTTGTACAAAAAACTCGTTTGCAGCCTTGCAAACCCATAGTTACAAATAGGTGTTATTACTATATATCAAAATTATTTAAGAAATAAATGATGTTTACTGTGTTCTGTGTTTGCACAGGCTTATGCAAACCGAGGCGACCTTTAGGAAAACTCGAGAGCAGGTCAGCCCAAGCCCGAGACCGAAGGTCGAGGGTTGCACCTGCTCAAGGATTCTCACAAACGTCTCCGAGGTTTGCATAAGCCAGGGCAAACACTAAAACTTCTTTTATTTTTTTTATAACATAACAATGATGCGAAGCAGACAAAATTAAAACAACTGTTATGATTTTTCACTAAAATGTAATCATGATCCTTTTGCAAATTCTCTTTGATTGATTGATTGTTATAATTGATTTGATTGGTTGAGCTCGGATATGTTTTGCACAGGCCAATGCAAACACAGCTCTGGACCGATCAGCGCACTTGTTTCATTGTGTTTATTTTATAAATACATATAACTCAGTAGAAAAATAGAAACAACCTTGAACACGAAAAACAAATATTATAAAATAAAAAAATAAAACGCGTGCGGTGATTGGTCTATAGCCATGTATGCATTAGCCTGTGCAAAACAAATCTGAGCTCAACCAATCAAATCAATCAAAGCAATCAATCAGTCAAAGAGAATTTGCAAATCGATCATGAATACATTTTAGAGGAAAAATTAAAATGTTTGTCTTTTTTGCATTATTTTATTTTATAAAGAATTAAAAGATGTTTATCGTGTTTGCACTGGCTTATGCAACCCTCGACCTTCGTTCTCGGGCTTGCACTGATCTGCTCTCGAGTTCTCCCAAAGGACTCCGAGGTTTACATAAGCCCGTGCAAATACAGTAAACATCTTTTATTTCTTAAGAATAACTCATTTTGACATTACATATATTTTGAGACCAGTGTCACCAAATACTCGATTGTTGGGTGACTTAACCTTTATTTAACAAATTCTGATAAAATGTGCATGTTTTTGAGCTCAAACATTTTTTCGGGTGAATTAAAATTCCTTTTAATATTGCTATACAAGTAAATCACAATGTCAGTTGGGGTCTTTTCAAGCTATATCAAGCACTGCTGACAACTCGAAAGCGTTCCTCTTCAATCCTTTGGACTACAGCGCATGCAGCTACATGTGGAAACAAACTTGGGCTAGTTTTCCTAATATTGAAAGAGACGAAGAATTACTCTGGTTGAACAAATCGTACGTTTCTTACAAATCGCACGTTTTTCGTAAAATATACGATAATCCATTACACGTCGAGGTATGGAATGATTAATTTAATAAATCAATATCACTTTCCTGACCCACGCTTATAAAAGTCGAGGTGACCACCGTAATCTGTCAAAGAATATGCTCATTTGTAGTAAAAAAGTTCTTTCAAAGTGAAACCTTGGTCTTTCTCAATATATTAAATATTTCCATTTTTAGTACGAAAACCCTGTAATGGTACTAAATGGAATAATGCATGGTTATGTTTCCCAGTGCCGCATCAACTTCAGTTTTTCGGACTTAAACACTTCCTGCACGCCAGGTATGCCATGCTTACCATTCAAGGTTTCTGGAAAATGGTTTGAATTAGAGCACAGGAGAACACCATCAGTGTCAAAAATAGTATCGATGTCAACAACGTCATCAATTTGGACAACGCCATTTATTTCGATAACGACTTCAAAATTGTCAACAATGGCATCAGTGCTGACAATAGCGTCAATGTTGACAATGAGGTTATCATCTACAACAGCTTCAAAGTCGAGAACACCATCAATGTTGACTATGACATTACTGCTTACGTCGGCATTAATGTCGACAGCAAATATGGCAACAAATGTATCAACTCCAACACTCACAATATCATTAAACCACTCGTCAACAAATGTATCAACTCCAACACCCTCAAGTTCATTAAACCACTCGTCAACAAATGTAACAACTCCAACACCCACAAGTTCATTAAACCACTCGTCAACAAATGTAACAACTCCAACACCCACAAGTTCATTAAACCACTCGTCAACAAATATATCAACTCCAACACCCACAAGTTCATTAAACCACTCGTCAACAAATGTAACAACTCCAACATCCACAAGTTCATTAAACCACTCGTCAACGAATATATCAACTCCAACACCCACAAGCTCATTAAACCACTCGTCAACAAATGTAACAACTCCAACACCCACAAGTTCATCAAACCACTCGGCAACAAATACATCAAAGCAAATGTTGACAACGTCATCAAACTCGACAACGCAGTTAACTATGAGTGCACCATCAAGTTCGACGGCAACATCAATAATGTCAACAATGACGTCAGGTTTGATAATAGCGTCAACATCGACAACTGAATCAAAGCCAACGACACAATCAGGGTTGACAATATCACCAATGTCGACAGAGTCATTAATGCCAACTACACAATCACATTCGACAATCTCATCCATATCAGTAACGCCACCAGTGTCACCAACATTTTCGAATGGGACAAAGTCATCAAATGACGATGAAACCATAATCATAATTTCGAGTGTTTCTGCTGGGGCAGTTCTACTTATTATAATTGTTGTTATATTTTGTTGCTTACACAGAAGAAGACATGTTGAACGGTAATTATCTTCTCAATATTCTTATTTGTTTAGTACCTCATAAAGACAATTGCCTTCGTGACAGATGTAAACACAAAACAGAAAGAAAGTCCTATGATACACTATAAATCAATGAATCCCAGATAATTAAACATAGCACCGATTAGACTAGCGGTAACTTGCTCTGCCAGGCAAAGAATGGAGTTACTCGCGTTTTTAAACTTATCGGTCACTTGAATTAAGAAAGACGGAATTTCAAAATTAGCATTAAAAAGTGGAGTAATTGCACTAAATTCGTTTTTGTCACTTTTGTATCTGGTTATTGTTCATTCTAGTAGCGGATCTAGGGGTAGTCACAGCGAGCAGCAGCGAGCAAAATAAATTAAAGCTGCTTAATTTGAAATCCAAAGTACTTTTAAGAAAAGCACTATTGGTTTTGAAGCTCTAAAGAAGTTAATTTCACCAATGGACTTGTCTCTGAGGGGCTTAGAAATGTAATTATATTCCAAAATGTGCAGCGGTAATTTATTTTGACTAACCCTCGATCCGCCACTGGTTTATTCAATGATTCACTAATTTAGGCACGAGTGACAATATTCTTCACTTGGCATAGAGAAAATTTTCATAGGGTTAGTTAGTCATGTGTTGGATTATATGGAATTCATTCATTTAGCACTTAGTAATTTATCTAGTGGGGAATTTTCTTTTTGTGTGGTGTTTACTAAGTGAACGTGCAAGTGTCTGACTTTATCACGAATTAAAGCGTTTGAAATTTTTAAGTTTTCGACATCACATCGTCATCTGTAAAGAGTAAACTGCTCGCTTAATTGCATTAACAATTTTATTTCTTTTTTGTTTCAACAGCCAGGGAAGCAGAGAAAGAAGTCACTTTATTTCAGGAAGCTTCAAGCGCTCAGCAAGCACCTACGAAGGACCTCAGGCATACACTAATGACTTATCACATGGTTCCACCAGTACGTTTAAGGCTCCTTCAGATAGCATGCTTGCCATGAACGAAATCCAGTTGACAGAAGTCGAACCGGAGATGCCCAGTGTAACAGAAAAGACCGTTGACGAGATTAGCGAGCCTCCAATTTATGATAATGAAGGCATAATTGCAAACGAAATTATACCCATTCCAGAGAATCCTGAAGACATAGAGCCGGACGTCTCCACCGCTAACGAGAAATCGATTTCTGTCGATGAGGATAATTATGCAGTACCAGATATTGGAGATGCAAAAGTCAACAATGTTGTCGATGATACCCTGTATGCAACACCAGATGCGACTACAAAGAAAGAGCTGGATGATCAAAACGATCCAAACGTAAACCGGATGCTTGTTAATGGATCTGCGTATACGATACCAGACAAGAGTTCAATGAAAGTAAGAAATTGCTTTTCCATTTAAATTATCCACACCGCCATTGCGGCTATAACTATGCTATAGAGAGCAGTTTAGCCGGCTACCGGTATCCATTTTGTGTTGATCATGAGAACTTCATGAGACTAATTCCGTTTCAGCGTATAGAGTTTTAAAATGAAAAAGAGAAACCGACACAAAAGCAACTTAATTAACGTTAGAGTTGCAATGTCAGTTAGGATTTCGGTTAGGGTTAGGATTTTTAAGTTTGAAGATAAATCTGAGCTATCAACTGTGCAAATTTTTGCTGAAAAGTCACGCGAAGTTCCCTAAACTACCACTCTTGTGCCTTAAACTATGTATTCAGTCGTCTTTTATTTAGATGACATTTACATTTCTGATTTTCAATGTTTTGACTTGCGATCTTTTGTACAGCATTTTTATTCCACATATTATAAGCTAACACGAAGTTACTCGAGATATTTTTCAACCAACTGATGTTTTACAAACGTATTTATGAAAATACTGTGTAGTATCATGCTTAGGATCTCAGCAGGATCTTATCCTGTGAAGCTTTGAAAGCTGCCTTAAGTTAAACATGAAAAGTGAAAACAGTTAAAGATTTTTTCTCTTAAATCATATACGTAATGCTGTCTCAGTTAATGGTAAAATTAGCAAAAATCTCTTTTTTTTAACTTATGTCTCTGATTTTCTTTCTTCATATAGTTTGCTTCTTGATGCCACCTGAAAGTGCCATAGCTTTTTAACGTATGAATGATTGCTCCGTAATTTTAATCTTATCAACCCCAGTGAAGTCTGGAGATAGTTGTAGAAAGGAGTTATCATACCCTTCTAAAACATACGGGACTAAAATGACGAGAGGAGTATTCCGTATAGTAGGAACTAAAATACTAGCAAATTCAGAATATCAGGATATTGTATGTATAGCCAATCTGACACCCCAATCTCTTTGCATTTGCCCCGTTATAAAGTTTGTAAATTTAAGAGCATTATCATTGTTGCTTTGTTTAGAAATCTTTTATGTTTTTTGGTATAAGTAACAATATAGTTTCGAGCGCAATTACCGATAAACGTGCACGAGTGAGTTTTTAAAGACTGCGACGAAATAGATGTAAAGCCTCCTTGCCCGCCCAACTTTTGTTAACTTTCACCGCAAAAACAGTACTTGCTGATTTGTTTTTATTCCTTTGCATTCTTTTGCAATTCTTGAATTTCACACGAATGCAATTGTTGAAATCCACCGTGAAAAACTCTTGCTTACCTACAACTTCCGCTATACTTTTTTTTGAATTGAAAAGAAGCTTATTTGGCTCTCGATACTTTTTAACCAATCAGGTTGCAGTAATTGCAGTGCAATTATACATTTTCCACTGTGCAATTATATTGCTTCATATTGTGCAATTACGTTTTTGCAGTGTAATTACAGATAAATGATTGCACAGCAATGAACCAATCACAGTCGACAAACATTTCAAAGTATATCATTACAGTTACGCAGAAAAAATTAGCGTACCGCAGGACTAAATCAAGGAGTAGACGGTTCTGTATATATATATAACAATTTCACTTTTTCCCTTATTTTAGATGAAACATTTGAACAACGATTCACCATCGAACGCGACCAAAGAAGATGTTGAAGCGAACGGAACGACAGAGGAATCCTTGCAGGAACCACAATACGCAAATGTTGCTGACATGTAGAAAAACTGATTGCAAAGCATAAATCATGGTCGGTGATTTTTTTTTTTCAAAACAAATGTGCCAGTGCAAAACTTGCTGTTATATTGCCGTTGTCTGAGATTGAACCATTAGCAACAAACGAATAAAGCAAAGACGTGTTGCTGATCATCTCGAATTTATATAAAATAGGTATAAGTATCATGCATCAAACGTTAGAATTTCCTTCGTGGAAAAGAAATCACAATTCATTAAAATATTTTTAATAGGTAAATTTTTAGATTGTCGTCCATTTAAAAATAGTCAAAACTAATGAACTGAATATGACTGCAAACTTACCTCCCGCGAAATTTGAAGCCCAAATCTCTAGTCCCAATCTTTCCACGCACGGTCTAAAGAAATATTATCGTTGATAAGCTAAAATTTATACAGGCATGTTTAGTATAAAGATGGGCTTCCAGTTCTATATTTAGTTCAGTGGTCAAAATTGAGCTTCACTTGACGCTCTACCTTCATGTTTGTACTCTTTGCAACGAACATGCATAGAAAGTAAGACCTTTTTTTATCCATATACAATATATGAAACTATTGATAAGAAGAAGAAAATACAAAAAAACTACAATTTCATCCCGACAAGCCTGTTTCGTGATTGCTCACTCTTCAGGGGATTTAATTTAATCCCCTGAAGAATTTAGAAATTAAATCCCCTGAAGAGTGAGCAATCACGAAACAGGCTTGTCGGGATGAAATTGTAGTTTTTGTGTATTTTCTTCTTATTATTAATATTTACGCTCTGCTCTCGGGCATCGAGCACTGTTTTATACGGAAAATCATCAAACATAAACTTCAATATATGAAACTATATATACTCATACAAACAGTGTTTTTTTGCTCCTGTTTTTTCGCGGTTATATCCGTTGCTCTTAGTTGGATGGAACTACAGATAGCGTTTACCTAAGAGCGAGAATTTTATAAACAGGCCATTGATTATTGAATTTATTCTTTGACACAGACCACCAGTAAAAGCAACAGTAGAAGTGTCGCTCCCGACGTTCACCGCCAAAAATTCCTTTCTATTTTATTTTATAATATCATGTTTGCATCAACTTCTTTCGTTGTTGTAAGACGAATTGACACTATATTTACCTAATTAAAATTCAACTATTCAAATTCAACAGAAGTATCAAAAGTAATACGACTTTGAACGTCCTCTGTACTGGTAGTGTTACAAGCAATCTTGAATTTTGAGTTTAAACGATAAAAACCACTACAAATATATATATATTTATATATTTATTCGTGCTCGATCAATTTCTTTAGAATGCCAAGCCACACGCCTTAATTAGCGTTATAGCTCGTTCCCACTATTCAAGCGTAATATTTTTTTTCTGCTGTTGGGAAATTAACATACAACTTTAACATGACTATAATATATGCACACAGCTAAAATCTCAGAGAATTAGTGCACGCAAGCGAAAAGACCAGAACGAAAAAAAACGTTAGCACCTACGTACAAAACAACTGAACGTGAAAAAATGTTAAAGCCTTAAATGATGCTTTAACCAAACTAAAAGGGAACATATTCAATGGGATTTTTTTTAAACGTTAGCGAATCGTTGAAATTTGTTAAAATCGTGAAAAATCGTCATGCAAGAGCATCGAGAACTAGAAATCTTAAACCCACTTGACATTGAGAACTTTATTTAAACAAAATGAGAAACCTGTTTAATCAAATAAATTTTGAATACAAATAAGCTCTATTTCTAAAACTGTTTCTTAAATCAAGCTCAACATATCATAGCTCTCTCCTTTGTCGAAAGGGGGAAAGGTGCCTGTATGAAGATGACATTCTGCAATCTTTTAACTGGCATTTGGTTATGAATAAACAGGCGCTAGTGCATAGTGACCTACATAGCGTGCGTGTAGTATTTCATGAAGATTTATTTACTAACATCATAAGAAATAGCCTATCATGTCTGATAATTACGTAAAGATACTTATGTTTCGAGAACTTTATCTGTTTCGTATTCACTGCACCTAGTAAAGATAAAGTACGTATTAGAGCCGTGCAACTAAATTTTACACAAAACTCACAAATTTTGTAAACAACCTCTTCGCATTACCATTAAAGTTTGGTTAAAGCATGGACAGATTTAATTTGGGGGATGCAGGGTCCCACCCCTAAATAAATTTCTCATCTCTACAAAAAATATTTCAACTCCCCCCCCCCCAAATTTTTAGCAAAACAAACCAGAAATACGGTTGAACTGAGTTTTTCAAGAGGAAAATTTCTACTTTCTATACAACCTTCGGCACTATGAGACGACCGTAAATTCTAGACCCTTAAATTTTCTTTTATCACTTCCTTACCAGCTATTTGAATTTCCTAACAAAAATAAATACAAATTAAGCAGCCTCCTTTTGATGGTTAAGCAATTTTGGTTAGAGAGTAAAAACTTAACTAGTTTGTAGTGCATACTCACACATATTCTTGAAAGCTTCAGATTACACTGATCAAAAGACGAGTCAAATTAGGTTGTCATTAAAATCAGAAATACAGTCACAATAAGGTAATGCAAAGTCTACATTTAGTGAGCAAAAGGTTCAACTTCTAATAAATGCCATTGAATAAGACATGATACATTTATATTATTTCTATTACCTTGGTGTGTAAAAATAAAACTAATGAAAACTATACATATAGTTTTTGAAACCACTCAACAACCCCAGTAATTATGACTATGACAATGTGGTGAGGGCAACTACTAGAGATGGGGCGTTTATTAGAGACAGAGGCGTTTATTTGATAAAAGATCGTTTACTGAAAAAACCTATAAATTAAGCAGTCAAATACAATATAACGGTTTATGCAGTAGGTAAACAGTATGGCGAATGGACCATTTTTAACAATAAATAAACCTATGTAAATTTTTGAGTCTTCGCACAGATTCAACCCGTTGTTATACCTTTCGAATCAAATTTTTTACAAGTACTAACGATATTACGATATAAATAAACAAACTAAATTTGCTATTTCTTCGCAGTTCACTGACCTTTTTTTTATTCGTTTCCACTCATTTTGAATCACTGCTCTTCACGCTTTCATATGGCTTTCACAATTTCACAGTTCACAGTGTCCTGGATTTGCGGGCAAATGTTCGGGTAAGCTAGAATTGCAGGCTATCGCTCGTCAGTGGCCAGGAACAGAGTCCTGTAATTATAGCCATTTTTACATAGGAAATAAATTATGAAAAAATCTTTGCAATGATTTTATGTTGTGTTATAATAGTACCAATCAAAGCGATGACGAATAGAAACATACGTGCTCCCTTGTGTTAAAAAACACTGTGAACAAGTGTTACATCTAAGTGTATAAATTACATCTAATGTTTTAAATAAATGCTTCTATATTATTATGACATCTATAAACAACTGAGTTCCAAAGGTAGTGATCGCTGTCTATTCATGAATAAGAAAATTCAACAGAAAACTTGTCTTTCCACAATTAAATGCTCTATACTTGCTGGCTTTTGAAACAAAAATGACGGACGCCAAGCAATTTTACTTCCGGTATCCCAACTCTCCTAATACAGGGCTCTGGCCAGGAACCATCCAGAAACACTGTTTTTTAATACAATTTAACATACTTTTCTACGAAAGTCAACGTATGAAACCGTAAACAATGGCGAAACTAAAATTATTAAGGGGGGTTGGATATTCATATATTTAGCTCTGCTTGACTGATTTGGTTTGTTAGTGATTAGAAGTCCAAAAGAAATCAGTAGGGCATAACTGAATATAAGAATATCAACCCCCTCTTAGCGTTCTAGTTTTGCACCTAACCGTAAATATCTCAATATATTGAAAAATAGTTTCTCTGACTCAAGGAAGGACCCTATACATTTTATGAGTGTCAGAGTGGGTAGAGGACCAGGGCGAAACTAGTAATTTATTCATGTATTCAGCTCTGCCCTGCTGACTTCTTTTGAAATTAACATCGCAAACAAAAGAAATCAGCAGGACAGAGCTGAATACATGAATATACACCCCCCCCCCCAATTAACGTTCTAGTTTCGCCTCTGTAGAGGATATTGAAGAAACGATCACCGCTTATAGTACCATTCGATAAAAATGTCTTGAATGCTTTGTCGTCAGCTTTGAGAGCAAAGGTTCAAGTGTCAAACAAAGATAGCAAGGAGCTAGGTTTTGTGTGTGCCTTGATGCTCGATGAAGTGTAAATTCCCAAACTTGTAAAGTTGAATGATAAGAAAGTTTGTGTTATGTCAAAAAACATGCCATATCTTAATTCATTAAAATATTTCAGAATACTATAACTCTATAATGTCACTTGAAAGTTGGAAGTCAAATTCTGCTAATGTCTAATAGTAATGCATGCTACGCTATATACTGGTGCTGTATTGAAATTTGAAACATCAAGCCCGTTGGAAGTTAGCGCCATTCCGTTGAAAGTTTTTGTGCCACCTATATCTTAAATTACTCATTTGATTAACCACTAAGTTAACCGCAGCAAAGTGGACCTGTTGTTTATTCCCTTAATATTAATTGTATGATACAAAAACACGCATACGTAATTTTTTTTTGTTTGTGACAATTTTGTCTTTACCACATCAAAACACAATTAAATGACATGACTGGACAAAACAAGAAGCACTTTTGCGTTCCGAGTTACGGACTCGATTCCATGCCACTTAGCGGCATTTTCATTGTCACCTTTAATCAATAAGTTAATCTAATAAACAGGCGCGATGCGCTCAAATTACACGGAAAACTGACATAAACTTTGTCTATTTGTTTGTTAATGGCAAACCATTAATTGGTATTTCCTAAGCACGCAAGCCCATCCGACCACTGAAAGATGCTTGATTTGCAGTTGGTGAAAAGAAAGTGATCAAGTTTTGAAATGTTTTGATCTTTGTTGTACATATATGTACAATAACAAGTCTTTAATTGTTTTTGAAAGCTGAAAAGCTCAAAAACCAACATGCGATGACAAAACAAAGCCGCGCGCCGACATGTACAAAATGGCTCAAGATGCTTTCAAACTCTCGTTTTTTCTTTTGTTGTTAAAAACATGGCAAGCCTCGACGTATTTTGATGGTCTGCTTGGTGAATCGGATGTCTTCGAGAACCCATCGTGCACGGAGGTGGACTTGGCGAGTGATTCTTGCGAGTGTAATCGCTTCCACGCCGAGTGTTTAACCTCTACATGCAAGTTATGCAAGTGTCGAAAGAAAACTCGAATTTATCGTTCGGATGTGCGCAAATGTTTAAGTGATATCAAAGCAAGAGATCCTTGTAAGTAGCCTTTGTGTTCACGCTTTATTTTGAATTGTAATTTGCTGCTCGTGATGTAATTTCGAAATTTAGCATGCCGCTATGATAAATATTATATACAAACAATGATTATTTATTGACATGGCGTGATTCTTATAAGGGTGCTAAATACAAGTTCAAAATTAAAGTGGCCTAGTCTAATGAACTATGAATATAATAATTCACGGGTCTCTAAGCGACAGTCGTTCAGTAAAGTTAGCATTATGTGCGTTTTCCTTAATTAATATCTCGCCCTGCATTACAACAGCTTCAGTGTTTTCGATTTATGAAGAGCAGTTCGCACCCTTTTTTTGCGATTTTTCATGTGAACTCGAATGGTCGCATACGTCTTTGAAAATCGACGACATGACAATATGATTCTCGTCACGCTAAACATTTTCTATTCGCATTGGGTATTAAAAACATATTATGTACAACCAATAGGAGATCAGAATATGATATACTTTATCTCTTTGTACCAAAAGATGTTTAAATATTTTTTTAAGTCACTAATATCCCATTCCTTGCAGACTGGATTTTGAGATAAAACCTCTCTCCGTGGGGGCAAAAAGCGTGAAATAGTTTGTCAAACAACATGACAAGACTATAAATAGTCATGCGATGAAGTTTAAATGACGAAGTGCGTTTAATAAACGCATTTTTGGCGAGTTGCATCCAGATGAATCAAACCCTTTGTTTTGAGAGTTTTTCCTTGTAATAAGCAATAATTTTCTGAAATCGAAGGATTTGGACACTTCATTCGTTAAGATTAAGTCATTAGACATTAATCGTCGTCGCTATGGCGGCAATTTAACAACTTGGACACACCTGTCGGGGTCATTGGGTCACGAAAGCAATAAAAGGATATTTTAACATGTGTATTTTCAGTCAATATATTGCTGACGTTTTTTTCAAATATACGTTGAAAGCTGCTTTTGATAAAATGTAAGCTTTTCTGTGTTATAAATGCGAAGAGATTGGAGCAACATATAGAAATGGAACAAACAGAATTCAGCAACCTCCCGCCACAAATCTCGTGCCAAATTACAATGAGTCCCAGAGTCCCACGCATTGCCAAAACAAAAACTGAATGCAGAAACGGATGTGCGGGATAGCACTCTCGAACGCGCAAATGCTATTCAAGTTTCGTTAAAATAGGAAGGTCATGAGTTCATCTCATGACGTTCATTTGAAACCATTACAAAGGTGTTTTCGCTCTGCATCACTACGATTTTTGAAAACATATCATTAAAAAGACAAAAATTAGATTTGCTATGTTCCAGTGTATCGCCATTGTTGTTTCGGACAAGTCACTGAACAACTGAAACTTTTAGGCAAAACTGAAAATTTTCCAGTGAGAATAAACATTGCAGCTCGTGAATTGATGTTTCGCTTTGCAGTAGCTAAAACGAAACTATAAGTGCATCTTGATTCTTGAATAAAAAAAACAATTTTCTTTTACCATAAAGGGTGTCGCTACCAGTTTCTCAACATTCGCGCGGATGTCATACCAACAATTGATCTCTCAAAAAAATGTGCATCAAAGAATCTATGCTCCAAGCCAATCAACGCGCCTTTCGACAAGACGAAACAATCGTGCCATTTTGGCTGGATCAATTTCCTCGAGAATGGCTCATGGCATGAGCAAACCATCAGGGAATTTTACAAAACTTTCAAACTGGAAGAATCAGACTATGTTTCTAAAGGTGGTTACATGTACAGTCTTGAGGTATTTTAATCATTATTATTACTAAGCAAACAAAAGTGCAAACGATAACAATATTTTTGCTCTCTTATTCCTGCTATTATGTGCCATGCAAATTTTTATGTGTTTACTTACTGAACTTTAAAGATTTCTAACGAAATGAGTACTTGTAATATTCTGAAATTTAGAAGTGAGGACTCAAACTAGCATGCTGCATGGCAATGCTAAATACAAATGGCTATCAACACAGTTATAAAATACGCAAAGATATTAACAGCAGTGTTTTACTTTTAGGTTTATCAACTAAATCGTAAAGATATTTTCAGTGTAATTCCTCTTTTTTGGGATAGTTTAGATTTTGGAATGAATATAACTTTCACCACTCAAGTGAATATTAATCGCTTGCTAATACGGATGTGATTAAACTCTGGAATTTATAATTCCCCATTTTTGTGGTTTTGAATTCACACCAAAGGGGTCGTATATTTTCTCAAAAAAAATGCATTGGAAACAAAAGCTATTTTTAGCTACATCTTCTACCATCGCTGCATTTTCAAATAATTTTAAATATTTTTTTATCTACAGTGGAAAGGTTCCGTCAGATCCGACGTTCAAAAACGTTTGTTTCAAGTTTCCGTAGAATGTGTTGATCTTGATAAGTCGAAGGAGTCTTATTGCTTAATGTTTCGTGTTCGAGGTTAGTTGGATCGTGTCATCATTCTGATCCCCTGTCGGGGTCATTCTTTCGACATGGTGTTTTTATGTCAATCGTGATTCTGTCTTCGAAAATTCCTTTATCAATCTTCACTTTGTGACTTGCGTAGGTAAAAATGATCCAATCTTGCTTTCTGCACCAAAACCAAAGCCAACAACGGCTCTTCAAACGTTCAGCAGCGTCATTTCGAACACAAAAAGAGACGAGGTACGAATCGATGTAGCCAATCTGCGAGTTTGGTCGTGCTATGTAAGTTTAAGGGCATAATTGCACGAAGGGCGAATAGAGCTATCTACCAGAGAGCAATATTTTCGAACTCTTGAGAATATTATGAAAGGGGAAAATCATTTGAACTTGACAAGCAATTAAATACAATGTTACATGGTCCTAGAATTACACGAAGTTTCATTATCGTAAAGAAAATATAACTCTTTTTCGCACAAGTTATACCATTCAGATAATTACTATCCAGCGGATAACGCCATCCAAGTTTTGTGCAACCAAACCCAGATCACTATAGAATTGTATATTTCTTTAGAAATCTGTATTTTTTTAGAGCATTTGAACACCGATATAAAAAACATAGCATGACCAATTTTGGGGGCTGGCTACTCAACTGTTTCGGCTTGACAATAGTTCATTCAATGGATGTTCATAATGTTTAACTGTGAATGCTTCAAGAAAAATGTAAAGTTCAATGTTAAAGTTCAATCAATTTTGCAGAAATATCGTACAGATGGGCCTATACGGTATGGAAAAGACCTCAACAACGAAGAACCAAGAAGTGCAAAAGTCATTGTTGTCAATGATAGTTTTACACTTATCTTAGCTGCAATCGCAGGTGCTCTTGGTACAGCATTCATTATCATCCCCATTGCTATATATTGCCGAAGAACTGCCAAAAGGTGACTGACTTTTAAGATGTCTTCCTTCATTCTTTGCTTGAGATGGCGCTTTAAGTAGCTATATGTTCCCTACATACGGAAGAAATCAATGTCCTCGTCAGAAATCTACTATTCAAAAAATAACAAAAATATGTGATTATATCAACCTATGTCGTTTCTACAAATTATTATTTGGTCACATCCGATAAAACAAGGCTAGGCCAGGCTAAATTTGTACCCTTGTGGAGCAAATATTGTGTTTTCACTTTTTATGCACTTGAAGAACTATGAATGAAAATAATTTTCTGATTAAATTAAAACTATAACTTTGCTAGATAATTTGCACAGAGAAGTAAAAGTTCGAGTGGACTTTACCTCTCTACTTTGGTAATGACTTTCGTCGTGGTTGTGTGATCATATAGCTAATTGAGTGGTAAATTGAAGGTTGGAGTCCATCTCTACAAAGAATACGACAAAAAATATATTTTAAAATGAGGGGAATGAATCATACCTAAAACATACTTAAAGAAAAACTACCAAAAATTATCATGTTTATTTGTCTTTTTCTCGTTTTTCATTAGACGAGGTTCAATGGCCGTAAAGACGCAACGAAGACTTGTCCAACAACCAAATACCAGTACTTCTGACGGTAACTAACTTTATTCTGGAGTAACATACGTAAATGCTTTATAGCTCTTTATAAACTAGCAACAATAATATGCTTGCGCTCATTGGTCCATGGCTGAGTTTGAATTAGCCTGTGCAAACCGATTTGAGTTCAATCATGAATACATATAAGAGAAAAATTAAATCGTTCGTCAAAAATTTGTCTGCTTACACAATTGTTGTTTTATAAAATAAATAAAAGATGTTTTTTGTGTTTGCACTGGCTTATGCAAACTGAAAAGACTTTTGTGAGAATTCTCCAGAAGACGCAAACTGATCTACTCTCTATAGTTCTACCAAAGGTCTCCTCAGTTTGCATAAGCCAGTGCAAACTGCAAACACAGTTAACCATCTTTTATTTCTTAAATCGTGCTGAAGTGTACTTATTAAATCAAAACCTGTAAAATATAAAAAGTTATAAACATGCTCAGCTGAAAAAGGATAGTTGGTTCACTGGATCTAGTGTCCCACTTTGTATTAAAAAAGGGTTGTATTTTTGTAATTGATGAAGTAATTTTCACATAAATTCCACATTATCGTCCTTGACTTTTGAAGAAATACGATTTAGTTGTAAGAGTTGCAGCTCACCCAGGATGCAAATTTATTTTTTTTATTTTTATTAGTCAGTTTCCGAGGTTCACTGTGCTCGTTGCTTTATTCAATACTTTATCGATTATATAGAAACGTACTTAGAACCACAGATTTCAGCGGAGACCTTAAGCTCCTACGCCAGCTTAAGCGCAAATCGTGAGCCACATTCGATATATCAACCTTTAACAAGAAGACCGGACAGCGATGTAAGTGAAATGTTTCTTGCCGTTCTATTTAGCATAAATTTTAAATAGCATTTGCCTGTTTTCAAGATTACAAGGAAGCTGTAGTTTAAATTAAGCTTTGGCTATAGAGTGCAGCTTGGCCAGTCACCATTTTGCGTTGATCATTGAGTTGATCAGTTTGAGTTAACAATACAATAATAACGTTGTTTCACACTACAAATTAATCGAAATACAAAAGCACCCAATTGAGAGTAAAAGTTTGAGTTGTAACCTAAATATACCATTAGTTTTTTCTTTGTGTAAGCATGCAGCTTTTTCCGCAAAACAGAGACACAAAGGGTCCGATAAGTGCATATGCAATCAAGTTAAACCTCGTTTGAGCAGCATGGGAGCCGTATTGCTTGGTTTCTTCGTTAGTCTTCATTTAAGATTGTTTCATCACTTGTGCATTTGTAGACAAGAACCTAAAGAAAACCTTTTGTCTATCAGCGTTACTTTCTAAAACGCGGAACTTGTTTTTCCCAACACATATCATAGAAAGACTTTTGTAAAGTAAGACAGTACCATGAAAAAGTATATTAAAAGTGTTTCCGTACATGTAGAACATTGTGAAACCTGCCTTTTGATTTTTGTAACAAATTCATTTGCGGCTTCATCACATTCGCATATCGCTGTTGTCGAAAGCACTATTTTCCATCAAACATTTGTAGGCAGGTTGTTTTCGACGGAATACACCATGCAGATATGCATGAATGTATGTCAATATATTGTCATTATTGTTTTACTTCAACTGTTGTTTTACAACATTTTTAGTCTCTGGTCGAGGAACCAATATACATATGTGTGGAGGGCGATTTTGAAGAAGAACCAAAAAGTCCAAAGGCTTTTCCAATTTACCATGTCTTGGAAGGACCTACACATGAGGAAGAAAATAGTCAAGAGGATCACTTGCAGGATGATATAGTTTCACGTTGAAGATGATCATGGATTTCCGTTAACCGCCACATTAATTACCACAACCTGCCACTTTCGGAATCAAATCCAAGAAAAGATAGAAATGAATAAAAATTTCTTTTGTAAAATATGAGAACAAGTGACAAATAACGATCGAAGTGGACATAGACATATACACCAGTATCGAGATGATAGATGGTGCTTTGAATTGTAGAAAGTGCACGAGGTTGCAAAAGATATCGTTTTATAAATTGTAGCATTAGTGTTTGTATATTGGAAAATACATTATGAACTATAGTTCTAAAACAGCTCCCTTTAATTTGAACTCTTGAATGAGTCAATGTTCCAAACCGTTCTTTTCTGAATTCTTGGGTGATTTTGGCCATTCACTACTGGCAATTGCGGTTTTCAAGGCAATATTTGGATTTTTCACCGCGACTAAGTCCCTGCATGTTGTTGTAATACATTATAAACTTGTCGCACAGTTTTTCTTGTTTTATTCCTCTCTCCTGATTTTTATGTTTCCCATTCCTTTTCCCTATTTCCTTGCACCTATTCCTAGTTCTTCTTTTAAAAAAAGCCAGATAGTAAATGGGGAGACAGTGGAATGATGAGCAATATAGTGTGTCAAGGACACGTAAATCGGTGTGGATTCAATATTTGGATTAAATAAAATGTAGCCAAATTTAAGATGCTTGGCAACAATTGACGTTCTAATTTTTTATTCGCATGGTCGTTCTTGTGCTTCGCTGAAAAAGCAAAAAATTGAATGAGTCTGCCAAATCATTAAAAGTGTCTGGATTTAAGTCTTGTCAAAGTCTTGGAGTTTTTTTATACGAGACTACAATGGAATACGGATCTTCACTTGGCTTTGGCAGTTTGATAGTTTTTGTCGTAAAAATGGAATCTTCTAGTGAGAAATGAATGGTATTATTGAAAATTTAATTGCCGATTTTGACCAACGGAGACAGCGTAAGTGAACGAGACATATGACAGGTTGTGCTGAAATTGAAGGAGCCAGGAAACCTTAATATGTTTTTTTTTCACTTGTTGAAGAAGAGAAATTTCAACTACTCTGCGGTGTTCTGCAAAATTGTTGAACGCAATCCGTTTTCAAGTTAGTTTTGTACAATGGCATATTATGTCAGAATACATGAAAATATATAATATTCAAAATATTTGAAAAACAGTCCTATTGGTAAGATTTTGGTTTTAAAACATTCTTTAGAAGTTTGTTCTATCCACCTGTTTAGTTGACACGGTATTGGGACTGTTAAATGAGATGCTTGTTTTGTATTATATTTACTTGCATCTATGGTTTTTAATGAAGCTTAATAAAAATATTAGGAGACTTTTTAACTTGCCAGACTTCTTCAAACTTTTAAAGTGGCAGGGGGTGAGCGCTGTGTCAATAGCTCGAATAAAGGAAAGCGAAAATGCAAAAATTCATACAGTATATAAATATTTTACATAACTCGAGTGATAAAATCTTACGTATCAAAAGGCTGTAAAGAAATCAAGGACAAAATTATTAGAAAATTAAAATTCGATTCACTCTTTCTGCAGCGAATGAACACACGAGATATTTGCATTTTCTGAAAAAATAAACGAGATGGCTTGGCTACTGTAAAAAAACTATATATTCAACTTTCTCTATTCTATTTTCTTTGGAGAGAGGTAAGAACAATATACACTTTCATATGAGTGAAAGTTGTGTTAAGGTCTGACTGCTCCTTTAAATTTAATAAATACACTTATTACAACAGAAATGGCTTTAATGGAAGCGACCAGTTTCTCTGCAAAATGTTGGTTTACTAAGCAATTACCAAGCAAAAATAGTTGTGATTTGTGTTTATTGAAGCACACTTTCTAAATACATATCCCTGATTATGGCATTATGAGAAACCAAATTTAATAAAAAATGTCTGGCAATTGCAAACAGCTACCAAAATACAATCCAAACTAGTGCACCCTCCATGGATCAATTCTTATATTACATACAGGTAATGGATACAATTAGTAATTACATATCAAAGATTTGTTGTTTACCAAAATTGTAAATTCTATTTCAAAATAATATAAAGTTGATGTACATGAAACAGAAACATATCATGTCAAGCAACCAACTGCTTCAGAAAACATCATTTTTCTTGACTGACTTGCTTAGTCAGATGAATGGGGGCTATCTCCCATCTCAACAAGTGTTCTTCTAATCACCCAATGTTGTCTTGATTGTATCATATATATTTAAAATAAAACACATGAACTGTACATTTGGAATTCGCTCCCTGTTATTTATCAAGATATTTGACTTTTTAAAGAGTCATTGATTGTAGTCTTTGTATTTCTTTCCCTTTACTTGATGCGTTTAGAGATTACTACTTAATCAAAAAAACTTCTCAATGATTGACCATAAACTTGATATTGCATTCTTTGGATTTGATTCCCATTCCAGCATAAGATTCGAACAAACATTTACCTTACAAAAAATAACCAATGAACTTTCGCGCCACTTGACACGATCATGACCTCCAAAATTCATTCCTCTGTGTGGTCCATGTGAATCATCCTCATGTGAAGGTTTACTTCACGGCTAATCGTGAAACATGGGGTGTACCTCTAAACTTCAGATTTTTCTCATTTTTACAAGATTTTTACTAAACATGCAAAGCTTGAGATAAGCATCTTGAAAAGTTGAGCGATTGTTAAATTATGACTTTGATAATCATGATTTTAGACGTCAAATTTCGAGTTCTGCTCATAGTTCTGGTCTATTTTTTCAACATATCTCGGACATTTAAAGGCACGCTATAAACTATTTTGAATTGCTAGCCATTTGCAGCTGGCCGAGATCAAATGGCAACTACGGTTAAAAATTATTCATTTGTCCGATATTGGTGTTAATTAAGCAATCGGACTCTCACAGTCAATATTTTTCTCGTTCCGCTATAGTGGATATCCTACTATAGATCCGCTATGGCAGATATCCGCTTTTGGCGAACGAAAACTTTTTGCAGCTCCAAATGGATTTAGCATGTACATGTAGGATATACATCTTCACATGTTTTTCTTCTCTGTCAACCCACTTACTCCTGAGCCACACCAATTACGTACTATCCCTCAAAGACTCTGTGTTCATGTTATTCGGAGGACCGGATATTGCTCTCCTGTGATGTAAACGAGCCTTCAAGTTCCTGATCTTCTGCCGTTTGTTTGTATTGCAAAATGTCGGACCTTGTAGGTTTGAAGAGGTAATAACTTCGTGCTCCTTGTATGGTTTGATTGGAAGCAAATATCCCCATCCAAAATCCATTCGAACGCTTTCCATTCTTTCATCTTAATACTTGTCTTTGAAATAACACCATGATAGATATCTAAAATTTTATTCAAGTGATTTGTTCCAATATGGCACGTGCCTTTCTTTTAACTGTACAGCCAATGTCATTTTACGCTAACTTGCTGTGGCTTCCTGTAACAAACAAAATACAACTTCCATCAATGCCAATATCGCTTTTTATGCAAACAAATTGAACGTATTCTGTAGCCTTTGTATCAAACAGGAAATTCGTCGTAAAAAATATTGAGCTTCAATTATGGTGGGTTAAAAAGCAAACTTTCTCAAGGAACCAAGAATCAATGCTCAAATATTGCCAAGTTCCTCCTTTCTTTCTTAAGAAATTTCGTTTCATATGTAACGATGTATGAGTATGACGTTAGGTTATCTATAGCCTCTACCAGCAACTCGATAAATTTACAAAAGTTGAAAGATTTCTTCGCCATTTTTGATCAACAGGTTGTTTTTGCCATTGTTGAAAGACTCTTCCAGCAATGTTTTAAGATATTCTTGTAGAGAATCATTTTCTGAGCATTTTTTGCAACTGTGAACCATACCAGATTTATTACAGCTTTAACAACTGTTAGGTCGTATCCTATGGTGGATTATTGTTCAGGTTGAGATGCAGAAATTCATGACTAAGTAAAAACAACATAGATGTACTGATATGTACTCACTTAACATAAATCTGCCTGTTTACATCCCGAAAACTTGCAATCAAGAGAGCTAGAGCCATCAAAAATTCGACATATATTTTCTATATCCGCCATATTGTTTTGTGTGAAATTCGCTAAATTTGCTGGCTCATATTCAAAAGAACGGTGCTAAATAATGATTAAGGATCAATCTTTCTAAGTTAATTTGAAATGATATGTTTAGCTATTAATCTTCCATAGCTGCTTGATGGACAAAAAGACTAAAAAATGAAAAAACAATTCTTGAAATTGAATTGCGAAGGAGTCCTTCATCTTTTTGTGTAAATAATATAACGATAATAAATTGGCACATGAGATACTCAGAATCCTTTGGTCGCCATCTAGCTCCTGCTGTACACACTGTGTACCTGGAGCAGATGGTCCAGTCATCCAAAGAATCTCTAACTGACCATTTTTCATGTGCCATCCATGGCTCACAGGAGGTTGAACATTAATGTGCGATTGCAAACTATTCTTCCAGATGGCTGCTTGGTAGTTGGCTCTCTTAATGTGCAAAAGCATGCTATCTGCATTCGGGGGAAGGCATTCGTCCGAACACTTGCCAGATGCAAAGAGAGTGTACCTAGGACCGAAAGAAATACAAAGCAAATGCAAAAAAGACGATAGTAGCAAAAATATATTTTATATTTACCTTGAAGCATTAACTATCGCTGAACTCTTGTCAATAAATAAAGATCTTTACCAAATTGTAGAAAAATTGGACATTCCTCACCATCAGTAAGACAACAAAAGTAAAATCATATTGTAGGTAGATTAAGTACAGAACATGATGTTACAAAACAGGTATTGGAATACCTGTAACATATTGGTTTATTTGTTACATTATTTACCGATTGAGTGGCGAAGGACTTTTCTTGCTTGCATATTATGCATATTGATGGCAAAACTGCTATAGTTCTTATCGGAGGTTTAGAACTGTCATGACAAAACGAGGATGATCGTAGCAGTTTCGTGTGAGGCTCATTTACATCTGTCGACTTATTTTCTTGTATATAGTTTTCATTGACAGTGGCTGCTGAAGCTTCAAACTTTTTGCTCATTCTTTTTTCAGCCCGTCTAATCAGGCCAACATTGGTGAACTTTGCCTAGCAATTTCTATGGTACTTTAACTCTCCACGGTACTCAGCCAAAGGACTTTTCATGGACTGAATTTTTTTCATCAACTTTTTGTTCTTTTCAGCGATGTCTTTTTGCTCACCATTGTATAGTAACCAAAGCTTGGGACAATGTAAAACTTTTTTCAAAGATGCCTCGGTAAAATCAGTCAATGGCCCATTTTCACCTTTAAAATGGATTACACATCCCCGTAAGCTCGCCTTTTTGTTGTTTTGATCATTGTGCATGTTACGTGCGTGGTCCCGAAAGAATAACTATTAATTTTGGTTCTATTTCTACACGCAACAAAGATAGTGTGAACCAGTTATATTTCTCAAACAATTTATTGACCAACGCGTAAATATTAAAGTGGATAAGTGGATAATATCAATAAGTATGAATAAAACTTATCTCTCTCTGAGTACAACCGTGAATGAAGTCCAACAATGACTCAACACAAATAGATTAAAGGAAGCCAAAGATAGTTATGGCATAAATGCCAAGATAGTCTCGTATAGCTCGTATGTAGTGGTGTAAACTAATATATATATAATATCTAATGGGAAGTATTTTGTGACCTACATCCCATACGCAATACAGTATGTTACAGCACTAAATAGTTAACCACAATAAATAAATGCGGTTGCTTATATAAGAAGCTTCTAGCGCATGCAAGCAAGCTTCTAGATTATGTCCTAATTAGTAATGACATTGCAAAATGGATTTTAAAGTTAAAATATAAAAATATGGAATGCTTAGTAATATAATATAATATAATAGTAGTTTATAAATGATATTACATGATAGCAGTTGCTATCATGTAACAGTGCACCCGCAATTTTTGCTATATTGTCATCAGTTTCACAAATAAAACAAGATGGCGACAGGTAAAGACGAATATTATGAAACTTTGGAGTACTGAAACTCCAAAGATTGCAATTTCAAGAGATGCAAACAACTTAAATCATATTCAGTCATTAAAAATAAGTAGTTTTCTATGATTTTTATGTGGTCATGAATTTCGGCATTTAGAAATCATTTTTTAGCACATTTTCTTGATACAGAATACGGCCTATGTTACTCGTTTGCAAGAATTCATTGTAGGCGTGGCTCGTCTTTGTAGTGTTGAAAGAAAGTTGTTGATTTTTGGCTTAGCACCAACGTAAATATAATATGTGCGTACTTGAGCCAGATATAATGCACTATTTGTATGGAATACACAACACTTATCTAACTCTTGAAGGTTGCACCAGATCAAAGGCTTTAGCTCTATTTTGGCTATAGCTACTTACGAAGCGTTGTCTCGACTATCAAAGACAAGCGCGAGTCCCCATCATCCTTATATGATATAACTAGACTTTCTCTGTAGTACTTGCTGCCTTTTGCTTTATCGTGGTTTTTGGTGAAGTGAAAGTATACCACGATTTTTTTCAATTCACCAGCGTGTCCAATGAGATGATCAGAAATATCAAAGTATGACGCTGCTTGAACTATTTATCACGATTCAGGGTGAGGTTTAGGATCTGATAATTCTCAAATGTCTCTCTCACATTAGTTCCTTCGGCCTGTCCAGGCATCTTCATTTCTTGCGAAATAACAGGCTCTCTAAAATCGTTTTCTATCGTCAAACTACTTTCTTCTACTCCTATTGCCGCTACTCCTATTGGAGACACCTGGAATAGAACGATGAAGAGCTTGCGTGCATCAAATTCCTACAATTTTCTGCGCATTATTATTATTGTAAATAATGTTTCGAAAATTATCTTTTTGGACTGTAGCTGCCATTTGAGTGTGTCATAAACTATTGCTAAACTAGCAATTTAATATTCTTTGAAGTGTGCATTTTCAAGTGCATGGCGTATGCTTTTGGTTATGATTGTTGAATGCTTGACCCAAAATAACGATGTCAATAGTGCTTTAACCGGAAGTCGAAATTTACTCTCCGAGCTAAGCGTATGCATGTACAACTGTAAATGAATGTTATTTGTTTAATGTCTAACACATAAGCGTCAGTATTACGAAATATTGAGAAAATGGAACAATATAAAATATACTTCAAAACATTTCGTCAAAAATGTATAAAATACTATTGACCAGTCAAGTGATATGATTTATTACTCAAATTGGTTAAAGTTTAGTTACGATTTAGCTACAGATCACAAGATTGCAATTGATATAGTTGATGGTAAGCTATTGTTTTGTACACACAGCTCTTGCCATGTTGTACTATTCTTTGTAACAATATTTAAGCCGAATGACATATGCTTCTGCCAACTTGCACCAAGACAAGCCATATTTTTTTCAGAGCATTGGTGAATAATTGAACAGAGCGTTCCGTAGTCGCTGCATGATCTTTGCGCAGTTTCATCTTCATATTTTTTGGCTTTATTTATTGATATACATATCGCTTTAGGGGTGTGGATAATGTCTTTTTAAGATCCTTCACTCTTGACGATCAGTTTTGGAACTTGATTCACGACTTTCTCTTGAAACGTTTGACGATTATTTGCCTCGATCACCGGGACGAAAAGAGGGGGTTGTTCTTTCTAGAATCCTATTTAACTGGGCTGGCTGTTACTCCATCTGATACAAGATGACAAACACATAAAAATAGTTGGCGAGGCGGGATCTCGAGGCAACATGTTCACCCTCGCTAGGCGGGCTATCATACGCCTCATGGAACATACGCATGCCCTAAGGGTGCCAAATTTATATGCAAATATTTGGAAGAAGATATTGGGAAAAATAGAAATATTTTACAAAAAATAACAATAAGACCAAACAAAATTTTCAATCAGTATTCTACTGAATCAATATTCTACTAAAGAAGAGAGCTCTCAAGAGCTCTACGAGAGCTCTACGAGGACTCCACGAGAGCTCGACAATCGTCAACAGCCACCAGTCGTCTATATCTATTCAATAAAGATCCAAGGGAATTTTGGGGAAATTTTCGTCGGCTTTAATCAAGGGAAATTTGTTGCTTTAGTAAACCTATTGGAGAAGTTATCTGGAAACAAGGACGTAATCTTACCTATTGTCAAATGCGAGATAACAGACAATATAGATGCTCTGGGACAGTGCCAAGAGGAAGATTAGAGACGTGGGAGATTATCAAATGCAGATAGAAAAAGATAATCTACAGATGTCTACTAGATATGAATTAGAGGAAGACTTTAATGGGCAATCTACCGATGTCCAGTGGATATGAATTAGAAGAAGACGAAGATGGGCAGATGAACAATAGTAAATGAGGAAGAATAAGTAGCATAAGAATAATAACGTCGTTATAAAACAATAATAATAATAATACTTTAACAAGAGACAGAAAAAAAGATGAAAAGAACAAAAAGAGTGAGGAGAAGGAGAAGGAAAAGAGAAGGAGAAAGAAAAAGTCAATGAGAAGGAAAAAAGAAAAGGAGAAGGAGTTTCCTACATGAACAGTGATTTGGCTGACGTCGGTGCTAAAATAATGCAGACAATGTCAGTTCAGAGAACGATATTTGAAAACTTGGGGTGTATTTGTATTTTGCATACATTTCATGCAAATAGTGTCTTTATTAACGATGGATTGTGTTGGTGCATTATTCATTTTCTCGAATATGGCTGTCTTTGTATTTCTGACACAAGTATAATCTTTTGTGCACAGTTTCCCTTTCGCCCATACGAACCTATATTAGATTTTGCTGACAAAATACGTATTGCTTGTAGTGTAAAATTTATGGTATAACTCATACAGATTTTATAAGTTATATTCTTTTGAATCCCAATGATATTCTTTAAATAATCAAATTGCAATATATCCTCAAATATCTATAACAGGACTGAAAATGGAACATCATTGATCAATGCATCTATCAAATCCTTTTCTACGTTAATCGTGTTGGTATCCAACCATAGGTTACTTAACAAGTCCTTGCTTATATCTCCACTGCAGATTGCTTTAAATACACTGTCTGTCGTGTATATGGGATCTGGAAGTAAGAATTTTGGCGTGGAGATCTTTGCTGTCACGTTTTCTCCTGTAATGGAGTGACCAACAAAACAAGTGAGCCTCTTTCTGTGCGTTTCATTTACTTCAGAACGCTAAAGACAGTTCAAAAGTGATGTTAACTAAAGTCTTGCATTTCTCTCATCTTCATGCATGCACTTACACAACAACTATGAAGCATTTTTATTTATTTTAACTGGACTTAAACTTTGTATGATTGTTTGACTGGTCAGTACTCATCAAATCGCTTGCAAACATAAAATATGTTTGATACAAACGATGATAAACAATATTTTGCATTCATTTTAGACAGTTGAATTTTGCAGTGAACAAAACGAGTTTACTTGATTCATTATCATTAATATTGTCCTTATCAATTGTGCACAGTGTAAAACACCTTTATGCACATTTCAAATTCACAAGAATATAGCAATGGTCTATGTATACACTCACCATGATTTGTGATAGTTCACAAGACGAGCTTTGTACTTCATCTGTTGTGTGATTTTCATGTTCTTGTTTGTCATCAGTATTATTTTCTGGCAATATTTGGCGTTCATTCGTAGAAAATGGATTGTATGGTAGTTTCTCAAATTTATATCCACCTTTCTGTCCTTTTACCTAGAGAGTAAAAAAATGATTTGTTAACTTCACTTCGTGACAGGCTCCACACTATTTCTTTGTGATTGTCATGTGGAGAGGTCCAACAACAGACAAAACCTTTTGAGTGAAATCTTTTCACGATATATCGATGAAAACTGCTTTCTGTTTAACGAGCATCAACACGACAGCACAATTTTGTTCTCTGATAGTTGCACTAAGTCATTTTATTGAAAATAAGAATATTCCTAAGATTGGCAATAAAAATATTTCTTTGAGCTCAATATCAACAAAAAAACAACTTGACCCTGATGTGTTTTGTTGTAGCTAGCTGCACATGTGAGAGTGAAAATCGTATTCAAAACTTCAAAAGCAGTAATCATCAGTCGAACAGTATGTGTTTGGGCTAGCGTTGTCACATTACCGGTCATTTTCGACAAACTATTGGAAACGTCTGAGATTTTCTTCCTATTCATACGCACAGTTAGAAGATAACTGCAAGTTCGTAAACATGTATGTTGTGATGGCACTTAGTAATGTTTGTTTATGTGTTATAGCTTATCCTTGTGTGATTCGTATTGTGTTCTGTTCTGTAGTGATCTGTATTCGTGTAAAGATATGTCGTTCCATTGATTGAGAGTTACATTCATGTTAACATTGTAAATTACTTCCCCGTGTGCTTTGATCGAAAAGTGCGTAAGATCGAGACTCTTTCATGAAGGCAACAATTTAAATTTCAAATTCATACTTATTTTTTGGGATGAGATTGTCCAAAAATTTGTGAACGCCATAAGCCTGTTCCCATATCAAGTCATGAGACAACGGTGCTGCTATTTACGACAGTGGACAAAAGCTTGTTCTATCGCTTAGCTACTTTTATGTCGACTAAAATCGGCATCTTATTTTGAAAATTTATTCCTTTAATTACAAATGAATCGTCAATTCTATATGCAAGAGTACAATCTTTTCCATGAGATGCCCATATATGAAGAAATTGCAACAAGCGACGGCGTTTTGAAAATATAGGCTTGTGAAATTCTTATCCCATGTGTTGGGTGAACTTTTTTGTTCTCTTCTTAACAATATATAGGCAAATTTCATGCTAAAATCCTTAAGTTGTTTTTGGGAATCACATGCTACAGCCATGTGGCATATGGTTATAGATCATGAATGAGTAACAGCTACCTTTTTCATTACTCCAGACTTATAGTACTGTCGTATGGCTCTTCGCAACTTGTTTTGGTTCATATGAGGTCTACCTTTTATGTCACCCCACAGCGTTGCGACTTGATAAGAATCGACAATCTTGAAAGTCATTTCATTTTCGTCTATCCATTTTATGAACTCTCGGCATTCCACATCTTGCAAAAGGCTTATTAAAAACTCCCAAAGCAGCGGTGTCGTTCTTGTGCTCTTCCAAAAACGCGCTTTCTGTGTCATTCTCCGAAGCTCGTTGCAGTCTGTGCTTTCGTGTTGTTCACAAGTCGTGAAATACCAGAACTAGTGTGTCGGCCATTCCTTTTATTTTGAACAGCGAATTTTGAAATGTGCACAAAGAGAGTTGTGACGTAAGTCTCATTACACCTCTTGGGCTACTTCCGGTGAAAGAGAAGATTGAATTTTGAAACAGGCGTACGCAACCGAATTTTGGCTGAGGGTTTGTGTATGGTCTTAACATATCATTTCGAATAATATTTTTTATCTTGATCGCTTGCAATAAAAACTCACTCGTCTCAAAACACTTAACTTGGGTGTGTCGCCATAACTTGTCGGCATGTATTAATTTAATGCTTGATCAGCAAGTGTTCGACATTAAATTTAACTACACATATAAGCAGAACATTTTACAATTTGATATAAAAGTGCACTGCAGCAGTTTGCATTGAGTTTTCCTAAATGTCTCTCTGACCTTCTGTCATTTTCGAACACAAATGCTCATCGCCACTTTTCGTTCGTAGAAATCAAATGCGATTATGTTTTAAATATTAAGTGTACAACGAGAACGAATTTTTTGGCAACAATTGTTAGAAATAATGCTTTCGTAATTGTATTGGCTAGTTGATAATGTTGCATACAAAAATCTCTTTCACCTTATCGCATACGTAAATTAATAATTGTAAAGAATGTGGATAAAATAGAGCTACAGTCAATTGATCCGATATTACCACGATTTAAGACTTGAAATAACACATTTAATTGGAAGAAATATTTGTGAAATTCAACCCAGTTATGTCCTAATGACCTTTTGGATCATGGTTCTCACTTCAAAGGGACTTAAATTATTTATTTGTTTAACTATTCATAGAACCTTTAAACACTTGCTAAATTTCTCTGTAAGAACGACAATAGTCACGCCAATAGTGAGAAGCGTAGAGCGTAGAGTCCTTTTTCCAAACATTATCATTGCAGCATCCCATTTTGTCGTGTTTGAAGGTAGACGTTATGCAACTTCCACTTAAGGTGTGAAATGGGTTTGCTGAAGTACTTCGGAAAGGGAATTGCGAGGGTTGGCGAACACGTCCGGTAAAGTTCAAAGGTCAGCTCGCTGTCAAGTTTGTATTGTATGTGTTCTTATGTACGTTTTGCTTTGCATGTGGTTGAATCGCCTGACTCCTGTTACCAATTTTGCTGCACAAACAAACTGCTTCGCACTTGCTGTGCTTAAGATATCGAAATTAAACATAAGTCTGAATATGTCTGTGTTACACATAACCTTTATGCTTTTGTTACGTTAGTATTGACCAAATATTAGCAAAGCTACTCTTTGGCTTTCGAAAGCCTCTTCTTGGATTTCGAAATTTCCGTAGTCTGCGAATCAAGTGAACTTGTCCTAAGTTGTTCCCATTAAAATGTCAAGTTTGTTTGCGTTCAAAATAAGATGATAAGCACGCGGTATTTTTGCACCCTGAAGCTATTGGAAATCGCTTCCCAATACAGGTTTAATTGGCTTGATTTCGTTTGTTTTCGCCTAGCAAGAGAGGATACATATGTCATTGACACTTCTTAAAGTTAACGAGACTTATCTGAAAGTTGAATTTGATTGGAATTTTGGTATTTCCTGAAGACGTAACACTAACAGAGAGTTAAAATTTTGTTATTGTAAGGCCCTATTGCACAAAACCGGTTTAATAACGGAATATGTTTTTAAAGCTTTTCTGACAATTTCGTGAAAGTTATTCTATCTCTACAGACAAGCCGATCATGGATAGTGAATCGTCTAATTGTAGAAACTGGGTTTTATCTATCACTTAGGAAGCCTTCCGAATATATTTGAAAATTTTGCTTTGCTTCGCTTTGTTACTGCAAGAAAAGATTAGAAATTGTGAGTATTGCTACTGTAGCTGTTGATTAGGTCTTCATCAAGATAACATAGTTTGCAAAAGTTCGCATGAGATTGCGATGTGTAATTTAAACTGTGTGTGATCGACATGTCAATGTGATTCTTATTCATGTGCACATGGTTTTATAAAAGCAGTTTGTTTGTATATTTGCATGTGTTGGTAATAAAACAAAGACTGATTAAGTAGCGAGCTATTTAAAATAGGTTATGTACCGGAAGATCATTGTTGTTGAATGCCTGTTGACGATAACAGGAACATGAAATATATTGACGTCATATTGGACTAATCTGTCGCGTAATTAGGATTTCGCCATACAAACGCGTTCATGGCTGCCCTGCAGATCGTCAATCGCCTTTTATGAAATTTCGCAATCAAGGCGAGGCGCTCGCTATTATTGTCTATTTTTCGCAATAGCACATGAATGACTTCGCAAAATTTATGACTGAGGGAATCTCGTAGTCGATTGTAAATTATGAGACAGTTACGATTCTTAGTTCCAGTTTGTTCTTATTGAAAATGTTTCTGCTGCTAATGAAATTATTATTTCTCCCAAATGCCACTGTATATTTGTGAGGTAACTAAATCTGGCTAATTGAATGTGCATGTTGTGTACGATTTGCTAAAACGTTTCGGATGGCAAGGCACAAATCTTGTAAAGGATGTTTAGATCGATTAGCGTTAGCGTTTATTTCTCTCGGTCAGTTTCTGATTTTCTCTCTCGTTCACCGACATCACCGGTTGCGGTGTGTGGAACTCTCGAAAATATATCATCATCTATTTCCGCAAACTATTCATTATATTTCAATTATAAACTAATAACATTAAATGTACCTTGCAGTGGAAAGTACTTACCAGCTTTGTGTGGTAATGTTATGTTCAGTTTGTTGTTATTTGACAACTAGGCACATATTTTTCGATCGCATGCATGGGGAAAATTTTTCCCATTATTTAATCTAATAGCTACGTTTGCGTTTTGTAAATCGGGCATGTTTTTGCTCACCCACGTGGATGTACGTCAACTGAATGATTAAAATATCAGATAAAGCGGATAATGATTTTCCATGCATTTAGGAGCTGCATACGCTGCACTATATACGTACACTTTCTATTGTATTTTGATCATAACATGGGAAAACCGAGTGAAAGGCTTGGTCATACCATAAATGCATCACAAAATTTGTACAGTTTTTTCTCTTGTTTTTGTGGTTGTCGTTAATATGTCGTTTCCGTTAAATATTTTGATGTCATTTATTCAAGAATGCTCTATGCTGATCTTTAGCAGAGGCGATTCAAGCTTGTAATGTATTTGTATAAGAACTGCGGAGCGTAAAAACTCTCTTTGTGCAGTTTGCGATTTTCTGTTGAATACCTCGACTGCAGACAGTGTAGTTGTTCCTGTCGGTTCGTATCTAAGTGCAATATCGTAAGTGGAACTGCTCCTCGATATTTTTTGCAAGCTTGCAGCCAACAGGACAGGGTCAGATAATTAGAAGTGTCAGATTATCGAGTTTGTAAAACTACGCTTTCCAAAAAACTCGTTGGCTCGTGTTTGCATGCATCAGACGAAATTTATATTCCCTCGCTTTCTACTAAGATGTAGCGATCCACAAGAACACGGGATGTAAAGGAAAAGACCGGAAAAGTCTTATTTCCTGGAAGACATTTGGTCTGCTGCGACCGAAAGCAGTAGCTACAATTTCTCTTCTATAATTGGTAAATTTGATATTTTGTTTACGAGTCTGCAAAAACGTTTCCTTAGCTAAATATTTCCCCATGTGAACACTCCCTTCTTGGGGTGGGAAGATTTTCATCTTGTGTGAATTCCAGGCATCATTTGCATGACTTGCCAGGGCGAACTTGCCTTTGTAGCTAAATTACTCGAGGTTTTGCGCGGAACTTGTTATTTTTGTGAAGCTATCTATTGCTATTTATGTAATGTTGGGTCTTGGGTAATCTCGTGACCATCAAGGTCAAGAGGTCAAAACAGCGAAATCCTGTAAAAACGCAAATGAAAACTTGCAACGAACGTCGAAATCTAGCAGAGGTCCAAAGGATGCTGTCAGTGCTCAGTATTTTTGCTTACAAGCGTTGTCCACGAACATTTCAATTGCAGTGAAAACTTTCTGATATAAGATTGCACTGGAAAGAAATTGATAAAGGTTTAAACATGTATTAAAGTGTGCTCTGATAAAAACATGCCTCATTTATTTTCCTTTTTCTTTCGAAGCTCGATAAATTTTATTATTTCTTTTAATGTTTGTCGTAATTCGGTCTTGCTTGATTCAATAGCTTGAAGCATTCCGCTGTCTGCATCCGTTCTCTTCTCACTCAAACTGCGTTTTGCCAGATAACGTTTCACCAGTTGCGCACTAAGTTTCTGCAAGGATAGAAAAGAGCGTAAACACAAATCATTTTTCAACATTCGAAATACACTCAATTCATATAAACTAGAAATCTGCTGCCTGCATCGTGCGTCTACTGTCATAAAAATGTCTTTACAGAGGCTGCATGCTTTTAATTTTGTTGGCAACTAGGTGGATTTTCTGTGTTGTGTTTAGTGTAGAGGAGCTTTCGTTCGCACGATGGTGAACAGCACGACAGTTTTAAAAAAGATGCATGATCAATTTGCGTTATAGATTATAAACTCCTGACAACATGAAAATTTCATCTCCCAGCGTGCACGTAATGAAACCCTTCGAACTTTCTGAAATCTCGCAACTTCCTGCCCAAAAATTTTTTGCATTAATCTAGCCGCATATCTCTTACACACAGTTACGGATTTAATGATCGCTTGTAATCTTCCAATAAATATAAATCTCGTTCATTTGAATAGTTTTTGTGATCAACTTTTTACTCATACAATATATATGATTTGCCACAGATCAATTATTATTCATAATGATCGGAAAAAATTCTAAGTATTCGCATCCTTTGACTGTAAGGAAATGTATTGTAAAAACATTGTTGACTAACATATTGAATTCGCATGATCACAATTATAACCAATTAACTAATTAAAGTGAGTATATGTTTTTACCAAATAGGCTTGCTTCCTCTGACTGCTATCAATAGTGCCTGCACGATGCAGGGAGAAACGCTTCTGAAAAAAAAACGATGATTGACGAATGACAACTTTCGATTGGCTTATTAGGGTTTGATCAATGTTTACATTAAGGAGTGTTAATTATTCGGGTTTAAGGAAGTTCATGGAGATGATAAACTTCCTCCCAACACCTGCTGTAGTTATTATTTACTAATTCGCATTTTTGTGATTATATATACACCACGTGTCACATGCAACCAAATCACAAGACTAATTTTTAATAACATTTCAAAAGCACTGGATAAAACTTCTTGTGTGGAAACGCGAAGCCAGTATTCCAATTTAGCCACCACGTGTTGCACAGACTACCTGGTACCTAGAAAGTGCGTTGAGCGTCTTTGTGGTTGTTTTTTCAATTAATCATTCCGTTTAAAGGCTGGATTTAGCAAAGACACTTGTGCAATTCAAATTAAAAACTATTCTCTTGGGCGAAAAAAAGAAAACGTTGAGTAATTTATTCAAAGACCGAATAATTTATTCAAGGAAGGGCGCAAAATTTCAAAGTTGAATAGGAAAATGGCAAATGCTGAACATTGGAATAATTTTCAACGTTTGACAATCGGTCTTTTCATAGAAACTGACAGGAAAAATCTGTCACAAGATAACTAATTGTATCTGGCTATCAGAACTGCTATAGCTAGGATTTTTTGACTATTGACTTCTGCAGTTTTTTTCATTACGCGGCCCATTGTGCAGCCAACAATTGTGAACGTCAAACAATGTGCAGCAAAAGGTACTGAGCGTTTTTTATGACATGAGCATCATTGGAGAACGCCTTAACTTTCCTTGTAAGGTGTTCTCATCTGCATATGGAATAATATTGAGTTCAATATTACGTATAACTCCATCTCCACTGGTGTAAAGCATAGGACATCTTATGACATCAACATCTCTTCTGATTTCCATGTAAGGTGTACAAGTCTGGAATGTGGATTATACTTAGTATAACTCCAGCTTCACTGCAAACAGCATAGGACACTGAGCGACTCTTATGATATCGACTTCACTGACAACACCCTTCCCACTTTCCTGGGAGACTGTTCCTGTTTGCATCTGTGGATAATATTGAATGAAACTCCAGCTTCCCCACTTGTACAGCATAGGACATCAACGTCTTTGGAGAATGCCTCGTTAACCTTATTGCAAAATGTTTAAATCTGCATCTGCGGTAATATTTAGCTCGACATTGAGAAAACTTACAGCTTTACCTTACGTGCAGCCTAGGGCCGGGTATTGAGTGTTTCTTATGATAACAGCATCCATTCTAACTTTCCTTGTTAGGTGTTCAACTTCACTGGACAACGCCCATCTAACTTTTATTGTAAACTGTTCAAGTCTCATCTGTGGGTAATATTGAGTATAATCCAGCTCTACCTTAACGCAAATTTTGTCCATGATATAGATGTATCAAATCTGCATCAAAAGTTCTTAAGTAGTATCGTAAGGTATTCCTGTTACCTTAATGAATATATTTTATTTCATTACTAAGAATGTGGTTTGACCCTTTGTAAACGATTACCACTTCGGAGCATTGGAAGCCGTGTAGATAGTGAAACGATTAAGATCTTTGCAGAAATTCTCTTTGATTGCATTCGCTATTTCAAAGCTGCCTTTGCGTTATTACCCCTATAGTTGAAGAAGCGAGACATAGCCAACATCGAAACCAATGAAAAATCATTTAGATTTTGTTTGGTGCTGAACATAGCTTTTTCCTTCAGCCATTTTAATCAAAAAATGTTTTACAGAAGATTTTGTAGTCAGTGAGCCCTACATCTTTCCTTGCTTGGCACATCTTGTCGAACGGAAAATAATGACTTTGGATAAATCTTTCCGTCATGAGATAACGAGTTTCACATTTCCCTTAAAACAACCAACTCAAGTGGCGTCTTCTAAATACTGGCAGACAGATCAGCTGCACGATCTACCAGATTGTGTGAAACGTGCATAGTAATGAGCGGAATCGTTACCATCAGTTTGGTTGGTCAAACAATGGTATAAATTTTAAATAGATATATGCTATAGATGTATGCTAGCAGCTAGCTCAACCTGAGAATCAAATTTCTGTTATAAGTAATATTTACATTAAAGGCAGTTTATTTCTCTTTGAGGTGCCACCTTTCCCTCGTCATTGCATTATTTGAAAAACAGGCTTTTTGCCAATAAAGCAATTGTTGTGCACGCGCCATAAATCATGGATTATTAAGTTTGTATATTCCGACCGATTGGCACTTAACTCTTGCAGATATGAAGCTCTTACTGAACGGACCCAATGCCTCCTGTGCTATGACTTGTAATGCAGTTGGTTATTTTGCTGCTCTTCCCATTAGCCCAAATTTTGTGTCATAAATTTCAAATCACCCACTTTTTTATTTCTTTGTACAGCGCTTTACTGTTCTGCTTTACCATTGTACAAGCAACAGTATAAGTCACCAGAAAATTAATATTGACGCACAGAGATCGATACCTGGAGGCTTTTACACTGAGTCCAAAAGCTTCCACTCATACTCACTGAGTGCAACGTAAAAATTGCGTTCTTTTTAAAAAATAAAAAAATCGTTTCTCTAAAGATGGCAAAATTGTCGCTTCAGCGTTTCAATTCCAGCAATCAGTGGAGCGAAAATGCAGTCTTCGAATAATTATGAGGTGATTTTTTAGCCTCGCTCAATGAGTGTGATTGACCTTTTAGAATACAGGCGTATTTCTTTATCTGGAGCAGCTTTTTACGACATGCTAATATTCGTCAGCGCCGTATTCTTTTTCCCATGATGATGAGAGTGAAAACTTAAACAAAGACATATTCAACATCATGCGAATTATGCCACGTTATTGTCCTAAGCGATTGAAAGAATTGTAGTGTAAATCTTGATTATAAATGTTGCCAAACTGTTACAATTGGTTTTTTATAGTTTTTCTGGTAAAATTCATCTCGATTTTTTTGGTCTGAAAATGAAATATCAGTTGTTCAAAATATTTGTCTACGGGCATGTAATGTAGGGGCTCCGCGAACATTTTAATCAACGCACAGCACTGTGTAAATTTTCTTGCTTATAACCAAAAGTAAGCCATCATTTACATTTGTTTACATTGAAACCATAAAGGCATTTGCATAGCGAGAGGAAAAACTTTCTAGCCACACTACTGACGACCAGTGTAGTTTCAAGGCCATTTAACGCTTTTGAAATATCCATCGTTATACTTACGATTTATAATCAGGGTCGTGGCAAACACATACTTAGTTCTTAGTTACATATCAGTAACAAAACCAGGAATACCTTAACGTGATACGATTTGCCCCAAGATTTGCCCCAAATCTTTTCGATGATCAGGTAAAATATTCTGTAAATCGTTTTGGGTGTCGGAATGATGTTGAACGGAGTAGGAAGTGTCGCGACGTCGTCGAAGAATTCCACCCACATCTGGGCTCTGGCGAACTTGTATTCGATTTCGATGTTGTCCTATAAAGCAATATATATATATATGAACGATGGGCGATGTTTGTTTTCTTTTGATTCCGTTATTTTCAACAGATTACTCTGATCATGCCTTATCGTTATGAGACCTCTCCCCTTCTCCCACTACCCGAATTAGTGATCTTCCTACGTCCACGAGTTTCTTCTGGACATTGCTTATTGTTAGTCGGTGCATGTAGCAACTAATAAAAAACACATGTGGACTTATAAGTTTGTTTTGTTGAGGAATTACTGCACTTGCTTTCAAAATGCCAATGACCACTGTCTTGAAGCAATTTCGCATCGCCATTTTTCTCTCAGTCATTTACATATTAAGCTTCACTTTCGTTGATGATATACGTCATGGTTTGATATAATATCAATATTTTATATGTGTTTTAATACGATAATATCAATATTATGTTTTGCACTTGTATGGACTGAAAATACCGTTTCCAAAAGTTTTAAGTTTATAGATTGCCTCTGCATATTGATTGCTTTTCAGGGCCATCTATTTTTCTTCTGTATTGTATACTAGTGAATTCACAGCTGTCATTTTTGACATTTAAAAGAGCTATTTTAGGCACCCTTTTTATGCTCTAAGACTTAGCTAAGGGAAAAGTAGCCACTAGAACCAGAAACACATCTGGTGGGTGTGGAGGAGCGATCCCCCGGCTTTTTTGACATCATAAAAGTTTGTGTCCATAAGCTGATTGAGGACGATGAAAGTTGGTCCCACTAAGTTGGACTTCTTTATGATATTAAGTTACTACAAGAGTCGGTCCCAGAACGTAAACCCCATAATATTTTTAATTTTTTTTGGGGGGGGGGCTGCACTCTTCACAAGAAAGAGGGGCATTTGTTGTACCATCTAACCTCAATTTGTTGATAAGAATTGGCCATCATTGCAATAAGCATATTTAGAAGAACGATCATCGTTGAAGCATGATAGACCGTAAACAATGCAGCACTCCAAAACTGGATCATGTTGGTGTTGTCAAACGCTTTCAAACTCGTTAATTCGATCATATTGAAACTTGCCCACGACATTGTAACAACGCTGTTCAATAACCTTACGATGAAAAAATTGAAAAGTTGTTTAATTGCTAAAAGTCACATGTGCTCAGCGGGGAAAGATTATAGTGTTTGCCTTAAAGGGATAAAACGAGCTATACAACGGCATGGTATGATATGGTTGTAGTATATTGATGAATGTTAAAAAACCTTTTTAGGGAAAAGAAGTCTGTTTTTATTACCCATTGTAGTCACCATGCCATGACAAGCCAATAAAACCGTTTTCTTCTATGTTTGTTATGTTATTGTTATTGGTAAACGACTGTCTTGTCGAGTTCTTGCTTGGATAGTGTTTCGAGGAGTTGTAGAGCATGTGCATTCCTATTGAGAATGACCACAATACGACACAACTTATGAAAGCAAACTGGGCAATAACGCGTACCATTCTGCTCAAACAGAGTTGGAGAAGACCCAGATAGCGGCTAATTTGACACAAATAGATCAGTCGAAAGAAACTCATGACGATTCCTGCTGCGTAAAAACCATCTGCGATGCTTATGATCATCTTTAACTGCTCGGTGTAATTCGAGCTCGAGAACGAGGCTTTAATCGCTACTGTCGTCCAAATAAAAAAAGCGCCGAATAGCATGAGCAACATAGATAGGTCCATCCAGTTCCAACCGCTGGACAAATAGCGCAGTAGTCCCTCGCTCCAAAGTTGCTTGTATTCTGACCACATCAGACCCAAAACATAACATATTATCAGGAATTCCAAACCACTTGGTGTGTCACCGGCTCGTAGTTTTAGAGACTGGGTGGACGAGAGGGCCAGGAGCAAGAGAAATATTACAAACGCTACTGTGTGGTTGATAAATTTTATCAGTGGTTCTTTCATCGTTATGGATGAATTCCAGCAAGGAAGTACGATGTACGCCACTGCCATCAATGGGAATATAAGAACTCGAGTCGTCACAAAACGTATTTTGTATATGATGTTGTTGTTTCGCCACCCTTTGGCACATTTGAAGATGAGTGACATCAGAAGATGTTGACTAAATGTGTGTGCAACAAACTAAAATGAGAAAGATATAGATTTTGCAAAGAAAATGAATGACTGTTGAAATGATTGTTCTGCGGTTATATTTTTTGTGCGTTAACAGTCGAATCTCTCGCAAGAAACATCCTCGATTTTTATAATTACAATCGACATTAAGAATTAACTGTTAGCTGTTAGCGAATATCACAACGGAGACTGCACGAACAATGAATGAGGGCCTGTTTATATGGAGCCGAGTTACCCGGCTGAGCGAGTTACTCGCTCAACCCGGCTTGAAAAAGTGATCTATTATATGGCACCGGGTAACTCGGCTAGTACTTCCGTTCATTTGTCTTAAATGAAGTTCGGCAATGCTAACTATGAGCAAGGGCGCAGTGTTTAAAAAGTCTCACAGTTTCGCAGCAAAAATGGAATGGGTGAATATAAAATTAAAAGTATGATATGAGTATGTTTTTGTATAATCATGCTGCAAGTACAAGGCTTAGTAGGCATGCGTACAAACAGAGCCAATTTTCTCGCCTAGCCGAGTTACCCGGCAAATGCGTTTATATGATAAAAATTCATCTCGCCTAGCCGGGTAACTCGCTTACACTAACCGAGTTCCCGGTAAGGCGAGTTACTCGGATGTGTCATATAAACGATTCACTGGGAAATGCATTCATTTTATATAAAGGGCCGAGTAAACCGGCTTGGCGAGTAACTCGCTCATCCGGGTAACTCAGCTCCATATAAATAGGCCCTAAGAAAGGGTTAGGGCATTATACCGTGTGTTCTATGGGATTTAAAGTCCCCGGCATTAGAAAGAACATTTTAAAGGCTAACCGTCTTAGAACATAGCCAAGCCGCGAGGGTGTTAATTACATCTTATTTGTATTTTCTATTAAGAGAAAGCTAAAAAGGAAATCGACAATAATAACACAACATCCAAATTAGTATTCTCTATATAGAGAACACTAAAGAGATATATAGAATACCGATAAGCTAATGCTCTCCATTGCTTTTAACTTATGTCTCCATTTTCTTTGAGCTTTAAAGCCCTTACCACTTCGTGAATTTAGGCAATGCGAGGAAAAGAACATGAAAATACTGGATGCTGATTGGCAAGTGTCTTTCACTATGTTCTAACAATAGTTATTACATACTTGTGTCTGTGTATGTATATTTAACAAATAGATAACATTAACCGTTGTCTATGAAGTTATAGATACACGGCTATGACGTCATTTGTGATAAAAACTGAAAAAGTGGCCACGAGCCGTCGGGTGGGTGACTTTTAGTTTTAAAACAAATGTAACTGTATACACAACGGTTAAATGTTATCTATTTGTTTTATATAATAAAATCAAAAAAATGCCCAAATTAAACTGTCAAACAGTTTGTTTTCTTTGTCCCCCAACACTTGGAACATTGAAAAGTCTTGATTTTGCAAATATCACGCTTACGTGATGTATGGGATTGAAGGAATATTATTCGATAGCTTAATCACGTGATAAAATGTGATTAGCTAACAAAATAAACAAGCAATGGCTGATCAATTTTGTTGAAATTTTGTTATCGAAGACGAAGTACAAGACAATGTTTGAAAACAGGGTTTTTTCTTTTCTTTTTGCTCAAATATGTCCACTGCTTTAACCAGGCATTCTTAGTCCTTTTATTTGCCCATTCAGTGATAAATTCAAGTAAATATTCAATTAAAGTGGCAGTTCGTTTGTCATTTAAAAACAAGAAATTTTCTGTGAAGTCAATTCCGTGCGTCTGTCCTCTTATAGATCATAGCTCTCAACCAATGAAATTGCTCAAATTCTTCTGGTTATTATATAAACGTATATGTTTATATGTATTTTGCCGGTGTATTTTTGTATGTGTATGTGAATAATTATGTAAAATTTGTATGTATATTGGGCATTCTCTCTTATTGATATTTATATTACATGAATTTATGAAAGGAAAAACACTGCACTTTGAAGCCAACTAATGAGATGCATCGCATTACTGAACAATCCCACTCAAATTAGAAATTTTTTTCAAAGAGGGAGTATTTGCTACGAAAGCCATGAATTTTGAAATGCAGTAGAAGTAGAAGCTTAGACGTGTATTTCAGGCTTTATACTTCAATGTTCTAAACACGAAGACAGCCACGAATCATCGATTTTTTGGAATATGCAATATTCATTTAAGTGCTGTCTGAAACAAGCGCATGCAAAACAAAACGCAAAATTTTTCTAGCACTTAGTATTATGTAGTTAAAACGTGACTGTTCTGTCAAAGTCTCGCGGCATGCATTTCGAAAACCTTTTTCTCGACAATAAATAACATACATTGTGTTAACTTTGTAGGACGGGTCAAATGCAATTTAGTGGACACCTTATATCGCTGATCAACAAAAAAGTGCAGCAGGGTCAGGAAAACAATAAGCGATGCGTAAGAGTCATGCGAGTTCAACTAAGTTAATAGCTTAGATTTAATTTCAAAATTCAAAGTTGTTATTGTTTGACATTTTCCTGTTAAAATATACTGCAATATGCGCCCACAGTCTTCATGGTCGCCGCAAATGGCTACTGGTGTCCGCTAAACTCATTGAGTTCTATAATAACTGGAGGGGCTAACTTTACTGGGGCGAGGATGCCAAAAAAATGGCGGCCAAAGGACGTATTTCCGCTGAAATGATCGCTTTGCAGAAAAATAATATTCTCGACCTCCCCCTGGTGTCTATTGTAAATTATAAAGAGTTTTTCAAAAACAAACACGATATCACAGAATATGGATATCGTTAGTTCCATATTCTGTGACGATATCTTTGTTGGCATTTCTTTTATAATGCCAACACTTCAATCGTTCAATCGTTGGATGTCGTAGTTTCCACAAAAAGGAACAAATCGCTTCTCACAGGTGAGTTAGTTGTTTGTTTTGTTAGTCCGTCAACGATTGAAAAGCAATTATACATGCACTTGAAAAGCCATAAAATACATATTAAAGATCGTATTTTTTAGACTGACTTGAACGCCAAATATACTGATGTTTTCCAGTTTTTGTTTATAAAATTCTGCATACTTTTCTGTCATTTGTTAATGCATGAAATCGTAAATTTACCCATTTATTTGCAAAATAGTTTCCCTAAAGCAAAAAAGACCCTGCACACATTTTGCTCTGTGAGTAAGTATCAAAAAGAAATGATCAGCTCCAACGGTACCCATGATTTGGAGCAGAGCTTGTTATGTTCTATTTGCTGACAACATGCAGGGAAGACCAAGGAGTAAAGATGACTGGAAGATGTTATTGACCAGGCAGAGTCTTAAAAAATGATAATGCTGTAAAGATAATTGATTTATTGTCTGCCCTATCCAGAGTTATTTAATTTGATCATGGTCAAATTCTATGGATGGAGACAATGGATTCACTAAGGATGCCTTGAATGCTTTGAAGTTAAAGTTCATGATCCAAAGAAAGATGGCAAGAAGGTTGTGTGTGTTTTGATGCTTAATGAAATGTCAATTCACAAACATATAAAATGGAAATGGAAGGCCATAAAGTTTGTGTCTATGTAAACATTTGTACTGAGATTGATGATGACTCGATGCAGATGTGAAGCTTCAAACTGTATAAGCCATTGGGTTTTATGTAACTTAATGTTTAAATCATGTCATATCTTTATCAAAATATTTTAGTTGAGTGTTGTATAAATGTTACTAATATCTAATGCACTACACTGCAGCATTAAAGATTCAGTGATGAAACCTTTAAAGTTACTGTACTGTATATTTCTTCATTATAACAGTTTTTGCTTTAAGAAACAGTTTGAGCTTATGTACCTAGTAAAGTACAGAATGGAGATTTATCATATGCATTATTGCTACTTTTTTAAAGAAACGTTTTTCACTTTTCAAAGCTTTCCTACAAATTTTTTGCTTCTTATTTCTTTTCATGAGATTGATGATATATGGTTAATATAATCCAATAACTTTATAATTTCTAAAAAGCTTTTAAGCTTCTAGCATAAAAGTACACTATAGGTATTTGATTCATTTGGTTAAATTGCCTTGCTATGACATATCAACTTGCACTTCATCATTCTTGTATGAACAAAACACCAGATGTGGATACTCAGAGAACAAAATGCACTACCAACTGCTTATGAAATTTATTATTGAGGTGAAAACTGTGTTAATCATTCAAATTGTGTACTTATATTGCAAATATAGGAAAAACAAAACAAAGTGAAAAAGAAGGGTAGGAGTATTAAAACTACAAATGAATTATAAACACCATTGGAAGCATAAGTGTTTTGATGATTATTTGCATTTTGCCCAATTCATATATCAATACAACAAAATCATAATGTGCTACAACTTTACAAGTATTTGATGCAGTTGCACTTCAGAACATCACAAAAAGGTTACTTAAAGTAATTTCTATACAATATTGTTTGTTTTCATTTACCAAAGCTATGCAGACTTGAGTCTTTTTGAAATTTAATATGAAACTCAATTACAGAAAATCCGTAAATATCCAGAGATTTAATATTTACTTTTTTTAAGAAACAAGTAAAAATCCTACAATTGTGGCGAAAAAAGCCATTGCCCATTGCATGAAAAGAAGCAAAATAGCAATGATAACAAATAAGCTAACTTCTCTCTCGTGAACCGTGGAGATGAACTATGATATACTTTTTTGAATAGAAATAGCCATTTGGTTTTATGTAACTTAATGTTTAAATCATGTCATATCTTTATCAAAATATTTTAGTTGAGTGTTGTTTGAATGTTACTAATATCTAATGCACTATACTGAAGCATTAAAGTTTCAGTGATGAAACCTTTAAAGTTACTGTACTGTATATTTCTTATATAGTTCTTATATTTCTTATATTTCTTTAAGAAACAGTTTGAGCTTATTTACCTATTAGACAACAGAATGGAGATTTACCATATGCACTATTGCTGCTTTTTTAAAGAAAAGTTTTTCACTTTTCAAAGCTTTTCTACAAATTTTTTGCTTCTTATTTCTTATCAT